CCTAGAAGGCGTGAAAACACACAAAAACAACCAACCAAGTCCAAGATCACCAGAAGAGATGATTAATAAACTCGTGGAGAAATCTAAAATCTCACTTCAAAATGGAAGTATGCACTGAAGATGTCGCCTAGTAGGGCGATGAAAGCTTCGCAAATTAACTATCCAGCCGAGAGAACACAACCACATCAAAATAAATAAATATAGAAGTGAATAATAAAGATGCATAAAGATGCTTTCAGGATGTGAATGGTTACTTTAGCTAATTATGACTGTGAAAACCCAGTATTTTTGCCCTGAAATGTTGTGTGTGAGTTGTATTCCAAATAAGTATGCCTGATAGATTTGTGAAGATATATGTATATATATTCAATACATGTTGTATAGGTAAGCATATTTCTATTGAGTGAAGAGACACAAATCTAATTGAATACATCAGTTATTTCACTGGACAGGGCGAGCACGTGTTCTTCACGTGAGAAATAATATATCTATGTCACAAGATCATTGAATAAGAATGATGTATGTGATAAAGTATCGAATGTTTATTATAAAAGATGAAGGTTTTTTAAACAGTCATTGTTATTTGCTAATGAACTGCGCTATAGTAGTCCACCAATCCAACGACCCTAGGAGAAAACACGTGATTGAATTTTATTCATGATTGTGCCTTAAACTCCATAAAAAGGTTTTTTTTTTATTAAATTGAGAGAGTCAACCGGACGGTTAACCAGCAAAATTTATTGATAGGAATATGAATCTAAAATCAAAACACCCCAAGGTATCGACAGCTCCTAAAAAGGCCTTATTCTTATAAATTCATTTCCTCAGGGATAACATCAGCGAGATACTAACATAACGTCTTAAAAATACGGTAAAATGAGAGTTCCCTGATGCTGAATAATGCTGTGTCTTCAGAACCATTCCTCTTTTGCGTTTGGGAGTAAAAGATAAACTCACTAATTTCGCCCATACCATGTGTATTTATCAATTTAAATGCTCCTGTGGAGGGAGCCAACTACATAAGCCGTACAATTAAACGTGTTTCTCGTCGGATTTCTGAACATCACCCTGCGTGATCAAGTAAAGGACAAACAAAATCCATACATAGCTCTATTCTATCTCATTTTGTGGATACACAACACAAGATTGATGTTAACGAGGCTTTCAAAGTCATCCACCGCATACCAACAAATGTTAACTTCGCCTTAAGAGTTCGTCTACTACATATTGCTGAGCCCATTGAGATCCACATTAAGAAGCCTAATTTATGCGTCTAGAAGAAGCTGGTTGAAACACCGTCTTTACATTGACCATTACGGTTCTAATGATTCCCAACCTTTTGCAGAAATTTCCTTAATTTGATTTGATATTCTATTTGCTACTATATTTTTATGCTCATTATAATTTATGCATCTTTGTTGAACAATAATTCCATTGATCTTACTTAGCCAATCGATATTATTTAAAAAACACTAATATTGTTATTGACTACTAATCTAGAATATTCTATGTACATAAACAGATATATATTAGTAGAGCCAGAAGAGAAAATTATCGAAAAGGATATTCTTTGCTCAACTATTTTGCGCTTTATAGAGACACGGAATTATCAAAGACATTATACCAATGAAAGCAGAACAAATATCACACATACGACAAAAATAAAAATTGATGGCAGCACCAATAAAAAGGTTTTAAAGACGTTCGTAGTGGTGTCAGACCTCTTTCATTCCACTAGGCAATATTCTTTCAATTATAAGTGGCAAAGACGAAGGAGGATATCAAGACCAGTTAGAATCGGAAAAGCAAGACAGAACTTCATTCATTTGAAATAGGCAAGGAAAGACCTGATTTTTCAATATAAAGTCAGTGCTTCTACACATCCTTCAGGTATGATATTTGTCGAATGATTAGTAGCATTCCCAGCAGGCGGCTGCAGACTATCACCAACAGCCGCTTTCACTGTATACTGAAGATCAAACAGCCAGAAAAGAAACAGCAATATGGAACTCTCGCAATCAACCAATCAAGAATCCACCCAACTCTGAGTCAAGCATAATTTTGAGTGACACACCACTTGGTAGCCAAGCTGTCGAGTGGAATTCAATAAGGGAAATGAATATTTGGGAGTATGTCCGAGTGTGAAGTGGAGGAGATTGTGTGTGGGGAGGAAATGGAAGCTTACAGTAAATCTTGGAACTAGTTAAACGATGTGAAGAGGAGAATGAAATGGTCAGTGTGCAGCTAAAGCTTTATGCTCCACATAGAACTGAAGGGGATAATAATAATTAAGTAGTATCAAATGAAGGAAAATTGCAAAATATTCTTCAAATGTTCAAAAGCAAAGCAACATTGAATCCACAAACTGGTTCAGTAACAAGCGATTTAAAAGTTAAAACGTCTCATGGCACATTTTAGATGAAATATTTCACTTTAGCTAATACTCTTCAATGATTATGGGGTCGATGGAGTAAGTTGAATTACTGGAACAAACGAACGCAGAGAAATATGGATTACTACATCGTCCTAAAATATGATGTCCAGTATAAAGCTAAGTGCGTCGGTGGTATAGCGGTTAGGGCGCTCGCCGACCATTCACATGGTCCGGGGTTCGATCCACGGCCGACTAACTCCTTTACCTTCACTGAGCCAGAGATAATGATGGTAAAGAGGAGAAGAGCATCAGGCTATCAACCCCATCCTGTAAAATTAAACACTGCTACAGAAACTTCAAGCCACTAGCTTGAAGCCCTATGTTCCACTGGGGAACGGGAAGGAAAAAAATAAAGCTAAGCTGTAAGCAATCGTACCATACAAGAAGATGGGGCAGTCTGAAAATCTAATACAGTAGGCTGGAGAAATATATTGATAACAGAATCTCTATTTATTCAATTAACCATGAATACATTCTTTATCATACTCGTTCAGTAAATCCAAGTCTATATCTTTGATATAGAGTGTGTGCCTTTTGTGATGTTAATGCGCCGTTTGAAAAGACAGCTGGTCATTAGAATCAAAGGAAATCGACTTTTGTACCTATGAGTGTTATTTTTTCTAACCCCGTAGACAAGTCTGTTGAAATATAATACCATGCAAAGATACCAACTAAATATGTATTTGTGTTGCGCTGTGAAACTATCCAACCACAAACTGTTGCTGTTCTTAAAAACCGTCAATATGAAACACAATATCCGTGCCTCAATTGGCTACATGTTCGAAAATCTTGTAATGATCCTTCCGCAGGTTCACCTACGGAAACCTTGTTACGACTTTTACTACCTCAAAATAGTCAAGTTGGGTCGGAGCGGCAAAGCCACTGCAACGACACCAATCCAACGGCTTCACTAAACCATTCAGTCGGTAGTAGAGACGGGCGGTGTGTACAAAGGGCAGGGACGTAATCAGCGCAAGCTTATGACTTGCACCAGGAATTCCTCGTTCACGGGGAATAACTGCATGTCCCGATCCCAGTCACAACGGTGGTGAAACAGTTTGCCCAACCCTTTCGGGCCAGGTTCCCAGACTCGCTGGCTCCCTCATTGTAGCGCACGTGTGGCCCCGAACATCTAAGGGCATCACAGACCTGTTATTGTTCAATTTCGTACGACTTCGGTGTGCTGTCTGTCCCTCTAAGAAGCAGAAACTGGCACCGTACCCACCGGATCACGACCACACTACTCCATAAAGAAGCAATAGAAGCCGCACCCTGAACGAGCACAGAGGACCAATCTACTATTTAGTAGGTTAAAGGCGCATTCGTTATCGGAATTAGCCTGACAAATCGCTTCACTAACTAAGAACGGCCATGCACCATTGGTGACGGATTGTTTATTTGGCAAAATAAACAATTCTTTCATTGAAATCCTCATTAACATATATTGCTGTATTGTGCTTCTCCAATCTTTCCTTCATGTTTTCCATCTAACTTTCTTTCTTAACAGCTGAATCCGCCACTCCACTATTTAAGCTTACTGAGGAAGACATTACACAATACATTACTTAGAAGAGCTTGCCAGTAAACACGCTACACATAAGACATCAATCATAGACTGCACCATCTATTAAACCTTATTGTAGTGCATAAACTCAAATTATATTTTAAAACTTTTATGTTGTTAGTCCCAACTTCTTTTACCACAACTATGGTGTTGTTAGATGTGGTAGATAGATCACAAAGAGCACTAAGTTATGTTAGGCGACGAATATTTTCAAACTCCACTTAATTATTGTAGTATGACTATAGACTTTGACATAAAGATGCTAGATTAGTCAAGTGAATCTACCTGTGTTTATCATGGAAATATCTATCACTTCCGAAAGAAAAGACTGTATCCTCGAATTTCTTTATGGGAAAAACTACTCTACAGAATCTAATCCACACACACACGGTCAAACCGCCAGCTCTTAAACTATTTACTTCCTTTTATTTTCGAATACAACCATTTGCGACTTCGGCTAAATTTGGAATTGCTGTATTCTCTAGTCCTATCCGTGGTACAAATGAGAGGTTATCTACAAGCTATTAGTCAGTTAAAAATGGTTCAGATATTATCATCTTCGACTTTCATCATCCAAGGGGACAGTTTCGTAACAAAAATTGCAACTTGAAAATTAATATAATGCTCACTAGCGACTGGCTCTATTCTGACAGTTAACCTAAGATTCTAGTAGGAAGCCGTGACGAGTAGGGTACAGCAGGTTGATGGTGAGACAGTAACTCATCGAAGAAGACATTTCGAAGTGGTCGCTCTATGCTTTGCATGAATTGGCAGAAGTTAGAATTTATGCACTGGCCATTGGATTGGCTCCTAATAGCCTAATGGTTTACGAGATCGCTCGCTTTGTAACCAGGAGAAGCTGGGTTCGAACCCCTGTGGTGGGTGCCTATTTATGAAGAGTCCCAAACTAGAGCCGAAGAGCTGTTCAGTACTCCCAGGTTAGTTTTCCAATACTTCTCTAACTAGTGTCAGCTCATGATGAAATCCTCCAACCAATCAAATAAAATCCCTACAAAACCAATACTAGAAAAAATCTAAAAAAATTCCAATTAGGTAAAATAAAAAGCCACGAATTGTTTATTCGTTAGGAATGCTGTTTTTTACTTTTCGATAAAAACCCCCTATATATGAAAAATTAGTTATCTTTCGAGTGTAATTATAAGAAGTTATAAGAAAAAGAAAGCGAAAAGCAAAATATTGACAAATAAGAAGTTAAGTAAGACATCTTGTTTTATAAATTACTATTCCTCTGTGTGTGTGTGTGAAGGAAAAAAACCCAATGAAGTCACCTAGATATGTACATACATACATTCAGGTAGTGAAATGAACAACACTTCAAAAATATTACAATAATATTCAAAAAAGAAAAATATTTTCGTAAATTATAGAGAGCATAAAATATCAAATAACACAAAGAAACACAACAAAAATCACACATTTGTAATCGCCTTCTTTCCATTCAGCATTGAATTTTCCTGCGATGAAGATTCGAATAGGCCTTCACTTGATGGCTAAAAGAATATAAACAAAACTTTAATGAGCAGTAAAAGAAAGGTGGGTTAGGTATGAAGACCAGCTAGTCTAACAAAACAGTTGTTTAGTAAATATGCAAATGTGTAATTTTCAGTCTCTTAAACGTTATCTTGGTGAATAGAAACACACACATCAGTTCATGAAGTAGTTCCACTACTTAGAATAACTTTTGATGTGATTAAGTTCTCTGAGCTGGAAGATTTAACTGCAAGTGCTTTTCACTTTCTTTCGGACGATCTGTCTACCTATTTTCGACATAGAACTTTGCACATATGTGCACCAGTTCAAGTCGCCACACTCCTTCCATGTAGCACACAAACCAACAGAAGAAAGTAAAAGAAATGCATAATAGCGACAGTTAACATAGGTGTGAGACAAAGGAATAGTAATAACGAAGAACGATATAGTTTTATTGGAAATCATAAGTCACAAGGAGTGGATGCATCTGCGCCAGTCATTGATAACGATGAGTTTGAGCCATACCATTTATTGTCTCCAGCCCTCATTGGTTTTTATTGTCCCAAGGACCCCAACCAGGAAGTCTAAACCCTCCTACGTGACTGGCTTAAAATAACTGTTGTGGATTTCATTGACTGACTAAGTCACGTTTTGGCTTAACCACCACCGGCTCTTTTCCAACCTGACTTCATATCAACTAACATTGCCCGCCGAGGAAAGTGATGGCTAGGCATGCGTAATACAAAGCATAACCATCTCAGTCAAGGTAACTTCCCAGTTTCGTCAAGAGATTTCCCTTCCTTACCTAGAACTCGACTGATGCTTAACCTCAATATTGCTCACCTTATTATACCACTTCAAACGGGAGATAGAACGCAGACACCTATAATAAAAGACAGTCGACCAGGCTTTTCATGTCTTCCACTCTAAATGACCACATCTCACAGCCATAAAGGCGGACGGGGCGGTTTGTTGAGCAGTACACACGCCTTTCGGTCGGTCGATAGTCGGATATCACGTCTACGCCAGAGACGGCGTAAACTGGTATATGCGAAACTAGCCCTCTGTATCCGTATTCAGATTTCGGACAATATCTTCAGCAAAAAGTGACAATTGTAACCAGACCGCAAATTAACCCAAACTTCTTCATCTTCAACAAACAAATGAACAAATACTGTTAAATTTAGTGGGAGGTGACTAGCAGTGAAATCAGAGATGTGGATTTCATCCTACCTATTTTTTATTCGTCAGTTGGATATACACCTGCATTCTACAGTGAGAGTGACAGTGTTCCCACTTAGGCTCGAACCCAGGTACCTATAGTTTCAAACGCCAAAGCGTCATACAATAAACCATAAGGACTACCATTGCTACTGTTAAAGATTATATCTTCCTACGCATAGTCATACTCAATATGTATCAGTTAATGACACTACCATTCAACTGTAAGAGAATTTTGATATAAAGGCGTTGTTAAATAGAAATGTTTAATTAACAGGGATGGCCACCAAAAGAAGAGCACATAAAAGATCTTTGGAGCATGTCTTAGGCATATGCAACTCAATATCCAATTTAAAATTAGGAAAAAGTAGAAATAATTTCAGCAATGTATGATACACATGCTATGAAATCTACGATATATACATATATATTCCTTCAACTACAGCTACGTTCCAGGAAAAAATCCTCCTCTACGTTCATCAGCATTTATTTCCAGCATATGAATTTCAAACAAGCAACAAATGCTAATTCAAGGCAGTATAAAAATGAATTCATCGAATTTCTGTGAAACCTTTTTCAGCTGAATATTCTACACACAATATTATAGATATACTATGAGTAATATACATGGAGACGCATGGGTCACGGCGTTCCCCTATTATAATTAGACAAACAAACGGAAACAATGATATCTGTTATTATTTTTAATTCAGTCTTCATTTTCCTATTGATTGGTTGGACCAAAATGTTCTGTGAAAATAGATGACACGCTAGCATTTGAAATGATGGACACTGGGTTCGAGTCTTGGGGGGAATGTAAGTACATCCAATTGGCGTATCCTACATGTGGAAAATAAATACGCATACTGGATTTCATTGCTGCTAGTCACCAGCGTCTAAATTAGGAGGGAAACATGATTCAAATTGTGGAGGCTGGTAAAATTAGTGTATATTAAATCAAGAGTTTGTTTGTAAGGATTAAATTTGTTTCTGTACGAGTTTGACCACGGATTGATATCACTTAGAGAACCATTGAAACATAGGAAGCACTGGACAGCTGTTTCATGATAGTTTGAAATCATCGGCTGTACACATTCACGACTTCTCACTAGTACTCCAGGTAACTTCGCCCTGTAGGCAGTCAGTCACTAGTGACCAGTGGGGTCTATGTAGTCAGGAGTAAGGATGGATGTCCCACCGATGACAATGGTTGGTGGTTGCACCAAAATCACCAATCGGTAGAAGTTAGAATTTATGGACTGTCCGTTGAATCTGATCCCGATGGCTGAACGGTATACAAGTTTGCTTTATAACCAGAAGATCCTGGGGTCGAAACTCAGTGAATGTGCATTGCCGATGATTTCCAAACTATGATGAAACAGGTGTCCAGTGCTCCCTTTCTTTCAATGGGCCTTCAACTGACATCAGTCCGTAGTTTAGCCTTAAATAGATATACGTATATGTTTTAGGTTTTGCATGTCGTGCTTTTGTTGTTTACTAACATAAAGCTTCAGACTATAATTATTGGCATATTTCATTGTGACTAAGATATTTCATTTCACTCATACTAGTCAAAACAACAGGTGTGCGTGTGAACGTTAAACATCTCCACACTACACAGTAATTTTTTTTCACTAGAACTCCAGGAAACTCCGTCCTGCTGCAGCGAGTCACTAGCAATCATCAGATTAATTTTCAAGAGTTGGTTTGTAAGGATTAGATTTGTTTTAACGAGTTCAACCACGGATTTTCATCTGTCATTTTACATTAGTGATTAATTGTAGTTTGAGATGGTTGGAGGCAATCGGCCACAGGAAGACTTGCTTGACCTAGGTTTAGTGCAGGTTGGCAATCATCAGTCAGAAAGGCGTATCTGCAACTGCCTTGAAGGAACTCATGTCCCTTCTGAGATTCAAATCCGCGTCATCCAGTGAATACTGCAGCTAGAGACGTAACCACTAAGCTATTCAGGCTGACGGTTGACCTCCTGTGATGGCGAGCTACCTAGAATGGCGGCCACATTGCAAACCTGACTGATAGAATTCAGTCTGCACCAAAGAGAGGACTAGATACGTCACACTAGTTACTAGTGTCAAACCAATATATATATAATTCAATCAAAATCTGATGAACTGGTTAATTCCTAATTTATTGAAAATTTTGTTGCTTCTTTTAAATGCGACATATCAATTGGCATTTTGATTGATTCCGTAAAGAAAAACAACAGCAACAACAACAACAAACAATTCTTCCTCTGAAAATCGCAGTTCCGTTTTCAGTCATAATAATAATAATACACTTTAGTTTATTGATTGATTGAGTTGAACAACAACCAAAAAAATCGGTTTAAGCCAAGCGATGGCATGAAATTTCCTTATAATACACAAAAATTACACAAAAGATTAAACAATTGAAATAATAATAATGATAGTGATAATAAAGATAGATAAAGCCTTAATTCAGACAACACAATACAGGCATTTTCAGTCTGTTTAGTATCAAAATATTTCCTCTTCATAAAGGATTATTTTTTTATTATGTGTAAAGTGAAGTATATCATATCATGTGATGTAGTGGTGTTACAGCATAAGCACAGAGAACCAATTCTGTACACTTTTTCTCCTCATTGCTTTCAAAAAATTACACAGTATTTAATCAAAAGATAATTAAATATGTTCAATATTCAAGTGTTGGCTTGTAGGGATTTGATTGGCTACAGGATTTAATCATGAGTTGACATTAGTTAGAGAACCATTGGAAAACCAGCCTGGGAGTACTAGACAGCTGTTTCGTCCTAGTCTGGGACTCTTTACCAGTACGCACCCACAACCAGGACCTTCTGGTTACGAGGCGAGCTCGTATACCATTAAGCCACTGGGACCAAATACAATGGCCAGCCCATGAATTCTAACTTCTGCGTTTATCCTTAACTAGGTGTGTTTGTGCCAAGCATATAGAAACAGTTTATTTATTTAAAAAAATATGATAAAAATAATATTTAAAAACCCACAATTATTAATAAATGTGTTGGAATTTCTCGAAGTAGATTTTCTTCTATTAGTGAATGTATATTGAGTTGATCATTCGGTGTATTTGCTGATGACGTTGAATAACGCTCTAAAGTAACATGTAAGCTGAAATATAGTTTAAAAAGTATTATTATTATTATTGTCATGTCACTATTGTCATGAATAACTTTATTATCTCCGACAGAATCAAACAACAAAAAAACCTTGGAACTGAGATCGACAGCTTGGTTTCAGAAAAGAAATAAATCTATAGACAGATACAGTGGTCATACAGTTAGTAAAACGAAAGTCGGAAACTTCATGCATTTTCAATTCCCGTTGATTAACAAGTACCGTGCAGCTTAAGGTCGATGTCCCTCACATTTAAGTTGATCAACTTCAGAGGTTGATGAATTCTAATGGTGCGTCGGTGGCACAGCGATTAGGACGCTCGTCGACCAAGCATACGGTGTGGGATTCGATCTCCTACCGACGCAAACCTGATATCTATGGTTGGCCTGCAGAATTTGAGCTACCGCTATCACATGATGGAAATTTCATACTTGTACCAAAAATACGGTGTGGAATCAAGCTATAATAAAAATTTAAATTTAATTAAAATACTGAGAAATCAACCCAATACACCGAAACGGACGCGCCAAGTTACAACATAGAACTTTGAACAGAAGTGCAGTATTTCAAGTTACCACTCTCTATGTAACACAAAAAGATACAGAGATAAGAAAAGAACAGATAAGTGTGGCAGAAAGAACAGCAATATGGAAAAGCTTGAGAGTTCAATGTATATTGGAGATTATAAAGAGTGAATGTGCCTGCGCTACAGAGGGCATTTTTAAGTCCTACCACAAATATTTTCCAGTGATTAATTCTTAGCAACTCAAAAAGATCCCAACCAGACAGTCTACACCAGTCTAGGTGACTTTAACCAATTGTGGAAGACTTCATGGATTGATTTCAGGCTTTGATTTAACGCCCCCCCCCCCCGCAAACTGCTTTCCAACATAGTCCTCTGTCAGCTAACACTGCTGTAAATGAATCTGAACGTTGAACGTTGGTTCATTGGCCTTGGTCGCCATTGGCGGGAAACTCGAAGGCGCGAATGACTCAATCGTGTACAAGTCGGAAGAAGAAGATGAAAGAATAAGAATAAAAGTACAATACATTCCTTTTAAAACATTTGCATATAGACTTTGTACAGAGCATTGATTTTAACTGCCGAACAATACAATTTCTTATTGGTCCTTGTATTTTGGAATTAAAGTCGATAATTGTACCTAGTATAATTGTCAATTCGGAGCATCTTCGCAAATAATAGGAACTTAGGGTTAAGTTTCTTGAAAAACTGCTTATCGAGTAAGGTGGTGGCTTGGCGTGTACAATACTTTCGCAAGCTATCTCACTTGATGTAGCTTCACAACCTCATCGCATCATAATAAAATGCATCAACTAATTAAATATCCCCTGGGTTCTGCGGTTACGCAACACTTCTTTTCTGTTTCCGGACAGCCGGAAAGTAATGACCGCCAACACGATTCCAAAAGAACATAAAGATCTCTGACCATCAGTAGACTTATGAAACCTATGAATAACTATTTTATCACAGTTCTGATCTTTTCAAAATATTCTGAGTGTAAAACAAAAACTGTTACACTCGGTTACTACTTCCAATAATGGTGATGAACTCCTTGATTAATATAGCCTCAATGTGTCAATTCTTACTGTGAATGTGTTACTCTGCATTTAACAAGTCTGTCTGTCTGTCTGTTTTCGACATAGAACTTTGCACAAATGTGCGGAAGTTCAAGTCGCCACATTCCGTGTAGCACGCGAAGCAAGAGAAGAAAGTACAAGAAAAGCATAATAGAGACAGTGAGCAGAGGTGTGAGACAAAGGAGTAATAAAGGAATACAAAACAGTTTCATTGAAGATCATAAGTCACAGGGAGTGGATGCATCTGCGCCACTGAGAACGATTTTGAGCCATGTCACCAATTGTTTCCAACCATAGATTTTTACCGTCCCGAGGACCCCAACCAGGAAGCCAGTCTACACCTTCCTACGTGGCTAAGACCAACTGTTGTGGATTTCATTGACTGATGCCAAGTTTTTGTTTGACCATCGCTAGCTTTTTTCCAGCCTGACCCTATATCCGCTAACATTGCTCGCCGAGGGAGGCGATGACTTGGCATACGTAACACATGTCCTAACTATCTCAGTCGATGTAGCTTCACGACTTCGTCGATTGATTTCCCCTGTTTACCTAGAACTCTACACCTAACCTCCATGTTGCTCACCTTATTATGCCACTTTACACGGGAAATAGAACGCAGGCACCTATGATCAAAGACAGCTAGTCTTTTCATGTCTTCCACTCTCAGTGGCCAGGTCTCACAGATGGCCGTAAAGGAGGACGGAGCGGACTGATGAGCAGTACACCCGCCCTTTGGTCGATAGTCGAACATCTCGTCTACGCCAGAGTCGGCGTAAACTAACAAATGCGAAACGAGCCCCTTGTATTCGTGCTGAGATTTCGTCAGAGATCAGCCCGTTGGGGCTGATGGTACTTCCCAAATAAGTGAAGCGGTCAACGTGCTCTACCACTTCACTTCCTATTTTTAAACTAGGCGTCGATGTAGTCCAGTCCTGTAACGTCATCTTGCATTTGGCGGGAGCGAATCGCATGCCAAACATTCGTAGAAGACTCTGCATTTTGTCAGCGTCTTCGCCTAGAAGGACTATATCGTCTGCATATTCCAAGTCAACGAGATTATTCCCAGGTAGCAAGTCAATCCCTGAATCGCTGAAGTCACCTAGGGTTAAGTCCATTAACACATCTATGATGAAGTTGAATAGAAAAGGAGATAATGGGCATCCTTGACGGACACCACTGGTCGTCATCAGTTCAGATGACAGCTCGCAGTAAACATCTACCGATTTCCGCAGTGTATTATAATCACTAGATATGAGATATGGATTGATATGAGAAGTCAAATAGAGAAACCACGTACTTGAGAACAAATAAACAGCGCATATTGTTTTAACTACAATAAGAGTTAATACTCATGTTTGTTATATTATTATTCCACAGGGCTTCCAATCGGAACCCAAGAGAATAATAATAACAACACACCTCCACTTTTTTCTATTCGCTGAAGTCCTCTTCAACTCCGTCCACGATTCCTCACAATCTTTCGTCTCCTCCTCGCACAATTTCCTCCATATCACTTTCGCACCGACGACCCATTCATCGCTTCCCATTGGGATTGCACTGGATCGATGGCCTGGCGCGCAATATCATTCGACAACCTCCTCAACTTATACCTGAACTATCTCCAATTTCTCGTAGATATTAGGTGAACAATCAAATCTCGGCAGTTTTATTCCCAGCCAGAGTTTCTTGTTACTAATTTTTTCTTAACCGACTGGTCATTTGATCTCCGATATAGAGCTAGCGAAGGTGACAACTCTTCATAAAAGACTGTAACCTAGTTGGGAATGTTTTCGTGACACGCAGTGCAAGATTCTGATATTCGTTTAGAAGAACTGACAGACTTCACATTTGTGTTGAAAATCCGATTCTTGTTCTTTATGATGAGTGTAGCCTAAACCGGGATTTAGGTGGATGAATACCTTCCCAACTCTGTCTTAGACATCCGCATCTGCTTGTTATGAATTGAAAACTTTTTTTTTAAAAACAGATTAAATCTGGGCAAAGTTAAACATTAGACACCACTAACAACCAATCAGCAAACGACCTTGAAGGAACCCATTACATTAAAGAGGCATATATGATGAATGGAAATGTATATTTATAGAAAAAAGCACAAAATAGAGAATAAAAAAGTTACATGGGATATCTTTCTCGAACATGTGAGAGAAACATCTCCCAGTTTAGCATGGGACTGTCAATGCTTTTCCAACTGCTATCCTTTCGACGAATCCCTTTCGGAGGGAGGTGTCATACAAACCTATTAACCAAATATTGTTCGCACGCTGGCGACCACGGTTGTATTTCTTTTTTACCAGCACTGTCTCATCGACACGCACGATAACGTCTTCCCCACCCAGCAAACAAGTGATTTTCCCCATTTTCCATGATGCGATGACTCTGCAATGCTGGTACCAGTGAACTGTTGAGACATGGCTATTCTCCATCTCGGCAGCTGCTGCTCTCATAGCCTGTTTCAACACCCATTAGTTGCAGATATACAAAATCTGGGTTAGGGAGAGATGCGACCTAGCGAAAGTAAGTTCCTACGAAATATTAAAATTATCAGCTTACCCTCTCCAGATGAACAAACCCATCAGTTGATTTGGTATAGGTTTTTAAAATAATGATATCACCACACAAACAAATTCGCTCTTTCCGGAGCAACTCAAATCCAGGAAATACTGGAAAACAATAACCTCCTCGAATTGCAACTGTAGCCTTGTAAGGTCACGCATTAGAAATGAATCAAGCGCTATACAACATTGAACTACGTTCGTGAACCTCATTGGATAATTCGACATCGTTCGTGAATCTCATTGGATAATTCGCTGATTAATAGTTAGTGGTGTCGAAAGTTTAACTTCGCCCAAATCTGTGATCACAGTGGACTATTTCGTGCAGGAATAAACTGTAACACATATATGTGTTATGGAGAACCAATGAAAATGTACTACTTTATTTAGCAGATAATATAAATTATATATATATATATATATATACACTTGTTGATAAAATATTCAAAATATAAAAAAAAACTCACCGGGGTAACCTTAGATTACCGGATACTAAAGGAAGAAGTGTATAGTGCAGATAATGAGGTGAACTAGGCAATAAGCGAAGTTTCACCTTTTGTTGACCAGAAAACATAAAACCTTGACTTGATTCCAACTGAAAAACTGCCTCCTGTATTATTGAATAAAGCAGAAGTTGGAAATAATAATAATAAGTAGGCAAGGTTTGATTTTAAAACTATTTAAATATTAAGTAAAAAAGGTGACACTAAGTAAACTCCGGGCACTAAGTACAGGATGATCTGTCAGTTTTCACTAGCAAAAAACCTCAGAATAATATTTGTATTTGTGTTGGTTTGTGGGGATTTGGTTGGTTACAGGACTTCATCATGAGCTGACATTAGTTAGAGAACCATTGGAAAACCAATCCGGGAGTACTGGACAGCTGTTTCGTCCTAATTTAAGACTCTTCACCAGTACGCACCCACCTTCAGGAGTTTGAAACCAGGACCTTCTGGTTACAAGGTGAGCCAACTCCTAGACAATTAGGCCACTGGGAACCGATCCAATGGCCCGTGAACTCTAACTTCTGCCAATATATGACATAGCGCGACTCCTAACCAATTTCTTCGGCAAGTATTTGTCCTCATAACCGACCTGCTGCACAGAAATCCACAGAAATATAAAAGGGAAGCGTTATTCAAGCCTCATTGGACGAAACACACATCAACTAGGTGTTTTGTGAGCATAATTCAAACTAATATAAACAAATAAGTAGCCTAAGAGTTCTATTTGACATATTTCGGCTAGCAATAGAATTTGATTGCTTCATTCACAGTGGAGAAAGAGGTATTTCAGCAAAAAGATTACTCACTGACAGAAAGTTGACTCCCCTCACGTTACTGAACGAAACCAGTAATTTTATTGATTTTTTTTCAAAATAAAAACAAATATTATTCGAGTCCATACTTGCAAATTCATATAGATATAACTACAAAGAACAGATGGGTCTGATCTGGCATAGGCGATGCCATAATGGAGACTTCTAATCAACCTCGATTTCAAGCAGTTTTCATTTAAACGATGTGGACGTTGATGTTTCTGAATGACTAAGCAATGTCGGAAATATATCTCTAGCTTTGCTAGACATGGTCTAACAGTCATTATAAGTATGAGATCGAGCATTATTAACACACTCCATACAGACGCACGAAATAAACTAGGAAGACACAAAGATTGCCCAATGAGAATTATACAACCAACTGTCATAGAATGCTACATAAAAAAAAACAAATAAACCAAAAGTACCAACAAATAAGTGTCAAGGTAATCATTTTTAAGCAAAGTACTTCACAATAGGTTCCTGTAATCCCAAGCACCTCAGAAAACTAGATTATACTTCCTTAAAGACTTGAGATTGAACTGGAATGAATTAATTTCGTGAAAATCAGACGAGTTTTATTCCAAAACTATGTGCAGCATATTGTGGTTCATTCTAAAGTCACTATTGCAGAGTGCCTGTTTTATGTGCATTTACTTTTCCCTATAGTGACTATTTCTATTATCGAAACACAAACTTCGTATACTATAAGCACCAAGAGATGTATACCGCACTAAATCTCATAGTTTGTGACACAACTGAGGTACTGTCTAGCCCAGAAGCCCAGACGGAAGCAAGTGGTTGCTTTGAGAGGCCATCCCCGAACCACTGACCTGAAGCCTGATCCACAGGCAGTGAAACAGAGTCAGACGCTACATTCCCAAGATTGATAGTGATCAAAACAGGTTCATACACCACTTGATTCGTTCGGATACATGGAGCTCAAGTACACCATAGGTTTGGGGAAATCAAAGTTTTCCATCTCTTCTAGATAGACCTGCACTGCCTATCAGTTCGGTCGTGAGCGTCAGGCGTTCACCCTGGTCTTTTCACTTCTGTGAGGAACACCTCCACCAAATGAAGACAGTGAAGAGAACTTATAGATCAGTCATAGATCCAAACACAACCTTTCCTAAGAACTTCACTTCATCCGTCAACATAGATCTTTAAAAGTGTATCATTATCAGTGACATTTTTATTGTAGAGCCTTTTATATGAACAAGATAAGAAAGATTTGCTATCTCATTTTTGAATAGTCCTGAAAAAACTCACACAAAATTAAATCTGATCACTATCAGTCATCATTATCATTTTACAGTAACTATTACCCCTGCTACTTATATGATATAAAAGTAGTCCGAGTTTTAAATATTATTTATTAGTGGGAACATAAATAACAAAAGTGATAGTTAGGCAAATTCTACATAATATAACTAGAATCTGATCATTGTTCAGTGCATTTACAACTCGGCTGAATGATTCAGGTAATCGAGAAGACTATTCGGCTGACGGTTGTATTATAACACTACGGACCATCCGCTATGTAACGGCCAAAGTTAGATGAAGAAGTTGTACCAAAAAACAGATAAGATGATACTTTGATTGAACAACAGTAACGAGTGTAATTTGTCCAGTCCTTTCTTCGGTGCAGACTGAATTCTATCAGTTAGGTTTGCAATGTGGCCACCATTCTAGGTAGCTCGCCATCACGGAGCACACTGATTTGGTGATATTAGATGGTTGGAGCCCAAATGGTATCGTCTCTGACTGCAGTATTCACTGGGTGACGCGTTATCAAATCTCAGAAGGGACATGAGTCCCTTCAAGGCAGTTGCAGATACGCCTTTCTGACTGGTGAGTGCTAACTAGCACGAAACCCAGGTCAGGTGGGGTTTCCTGTGGCCGATTGTCTCCAACCACCTAATATCACCGGATAAGATGATAGCCATTTCCTTATGAACAAAAGTAAATATTCACCAGGAACTGTCTTAATAAACAATAATTAGTAAAAAAAAACGGTTGTGATATCAGGAAAAAAAACAAGTAAATACCTGTGCATAGATAGTTTTATTATGCAAGATAAAAGTGACTGGGAAGGCGGTGAGAGCAACACCAAAGGCTGGAAGTTCTGCACAAACTTGAATGGGTAAATTTAAAACAGGGAGTGTTGGGAGGGTGAACTTTGATGTTGCTATCAAAGGTTTCATATCAGAATTATCGGAGTTTGATATACTACAAACAAAAGAGAAAGAAAGGAAAAAAATTAAAATAAGAATCAACCACAATGAGCAATTTAAATATTTATTTCTACACTAATTACATAACTGAAAATTGGGCTTGATAACTCTATATACTTCAGGCTAACCATTCATTTTATATTTCCTTTGAAAGCCAATGACTTCATTCAACAAGATTCCAAAACTATAAGCCGAGACATACATTTCATCTTCAAGGTTGAGTTATTGAAATGACAGGTAACCAACCACTTAGTACAAATGATAAATGGACTAATTTAAGTGTTCACCTTGAATATGCATGCATATAACCTAGCCGATCATGCGCTTTTAAGACAACAAATACACATCCACTGCTGTGAAAGATGTATAATAACTTAATACACAATATTTTTACCACTTTCAATAATGTACTGGAAATAAATCTTTGTTTAGAAGCTAACATTCTCTGCAGAAGTTGCTTCGAAAATGAAAAGTTACATGAAACTGTTACACATTTTATTTGAAATCGGTTTATGGCGTTTATTTCACAGAAGAAATTAGTTGAAAACAGACCAGGCTTACTGACAACAGTTTTAAGCAAGGTCGTTGAATTAATTATGGAGAAGATTGACGACTAAGGGGGAATGATGTCGATGTAGTTGTGTTCTCTGAGCTGGATGGTTTAATTTGCATGAATTCCATTGTTTTTTCAGAAAACAACACCAGCGCAGTCTTTCGTATGAAGTGAGCTCTAACAATTCATCTCTCCAGTTGATCTGGAATGTCGTTGGCTGATTTTAGAGATTTCCTCCATCACCTGTCCACCTACATTTGTAATCATTATTTTGTTAACCTGATAGTGTTGATCTTTTGTCCGTATAACTTCTTTCTTATTGTTAATACTACAAAATCTCAATACTTGAGGATGTTTAGCCAAAGGTTTCATCCAAACTCTCTCGATAATTTTTTATAAGTAAACAGAACAAGGGGAAGATGATTACTCTAAAATATTAACAACTTTGATCACTGGTCATTCACCTGCTTATATTACTGCTTTACAATGTGATGGTACAACCAGTGCGATTTATATTCCGTTTACAATTTCCAAAGGGTGAGTCATTTGTTTGTTGGTACAGGTAAAACAGTACAACAAGAAAAAGTGCAAGTGTATCGCTGAAAACGTCAACATTATGATTTTGACTATTAATAACGTAAAGTGCCAATTAGATTTAAGATAAAGAACCCTTCTAATAGTCCTTCCTCTATATGCTAACCCCGTTCTTTAGCATGACTATGATGAAACTTCTTGAACAACAATAACTATACATTCATTGAAGATAAATTTTAGTACTCATGAGAGAAACATGATAGCTAACTTGTACTTCTGAGGTCATTAAATATAAAACATTGGTCATATAAAAAAGGTAAAGCATGGCAGTTGAATTCTGCTCATAACAAAACACTTGTACATATTTGTGAAAAAATCTTAAACAAACAGAAAAACTTTTAATTTATAAAACTGAAAACGTTTCCTAACCTAATACTTTTCGGTGCTACTTCTTATTGTTGCCGTAAAACATGGTATTCTATGCAAACCTCAACATATTTATGCTCTTTTTCATTGCTTTACACTCAGAGTTGAACATAAAAATTTTGGAGCTTCAGCTATCAACTTGCGGTGGCAGTGGTAGTTTTCTCACAGGATGGGGCGATGGTAGTCACACTATCAACCTCCCATCTTTGCTGGACATACCACCGGCTAAGCACGGGTAGAGAAGGGCAGGTTGGGCGAGTAGTCTACCACTGAACCACCAACGCACACAAATTTGTTCGATAATAATAATATTAATAACACTTTGCTTTATTCCAAAACAGTACTTGTGGTATAGAATGGAATTTTCAGCATTTCACTACAGTATTGCATCCAGTTTGTACATTAACAATAAATAAAATTCTACATAGATTATGGATAGTCTCAGTTAATTTTGACAACAACATATTGGCATGTCGGTAGCAAAGCCAAAAGTGAACAGAATGTTTGAAGATGTTAGAAAAGTAGATACTACTAGCATATTTACTGGTGTAAGCGGTAAAACATGGTTGAGATATACAAATAAAAGAGAAAAGGAAAAGAAAGAATGAAAAACGTTGTACCTATAAATGATATAAGTTGGAAAGACGAGATCCAATTGTTCTACTGACTATTTAATATGTTATAGGTTTCACGCCTAATGCTTTGTTTATCGCACAGAACACGAGCTAAGTAGGGTATAGTTGAGTATTCGTACTTGCTAGTGTGAGCATATAGTATTCTATTTAGGCTTCTGGTTTTCCCTGATGAGATACAAGGGGAGAGTTGTGAATGAAGAGGGTGTTGTGAGTTAGATAAAATGGATTTAGCCCATTTTTCACATGAGTCTGTAAACCAGAATATTAACAAGCTGGTTAAGTGGAATGTTGCCTACCCTACTGACAACCTTTAACACCTTACATAATAACATATAGTCCTTCTTCAGTAGCCCTGGAAAAACTAAGGGGGAAAAATAGAGAATAATAAGCAGGATGCAAGAGTTAACGAATCGTAAGAGTAAGGGCTGGGTTATACTACAATATCTTAACTTCTTGATGTAGAAGGTGAGACGGAATATTTTCTTAGAAATCATCAAAATATGAGACGAACAGGAAAGATCAACAGATAGAATGACACCAAGAAATTTAATTTCCGACTAGGTTTCTATTTCAGTGCCATCTATGCTGCACACCTCGTGAGTTCTAACCAGTTTGTTTAGGTCAGATTTATGCTTAAAGGTGAAACTGACTGTTTGACATTTAGAGGGATTTAAGGTAAGACCGTTTTCCTTGGACCACTGGCTGATTTTTGATAAAAAGCCATTTAGTTTGGATCGGTCACTTTGACATTTGACAGGCGAAGATACAGTCAGCATATTTAACAAAATTAATGTCATTTGAAGATGGTAAGTCATGTAGAAAGAAAGAAAAGAGAATTGGGGAGAGTACAGCACCTTGGGGGGCATCAGCTTTAGTGAGCACAGCAGAGGAGGACTTACCTTTGTATACAGTGTACTACATTCTGTTTGCGAAATAGGAATGCAACCAGTTTGTGACCCAGGACTCAGTTTGTGTCATCGAGAGCTTATTTCGGCGAGAGACATCTAGGTACAGAGTCAAAAGCAGAAGTGAAGTCGAGAAACGTGTAACGAATGTATTTAGCACTTTCATCTAATGATGAGACTATACTGTTGTGTAAGACGGCTGCAGCATTTAAAGTGCCCATCTCCTGTTTATATGCAAATTGTCTGGGGGTCTTCAAAACTTTTAAGGGAGGGTTCAAGTTTAAGAAGTACTAGTTTTTCCATCAGCTTTAGAAACGGGGAAGTAATGGCAATGGGTCTGAATTCAAAATTCTTGCTATTTCTAGGTATAGGGATAGGGACTATTTTAATGTCTTTCCATGCAACAGGTACAATATTTTTGGAAAAAGAAACGTTGAGGATGTTAGTAAGTGGAGAACATAAAGCATCTGCATATTGTTTTAGAAAATAAGCAGGTACACCATCATGGCCAAGGCTAAATTCATGTCTAAATGAATAACTCTCCCTTAACCACTATGAAAAGAAAAGAGTAGGTGCAACTATAACGCATAATTTGTTCGCATAAAGGGTATTATACAAGTTAAACAAAATAAATAAGGAATTTGTTTCTGTCTCAAGATACATACCGTGACCAGTTGACAGTTAAACATCCTAGATTAATTGATCTCAATGAATCTGTTGTCTCGGTTAATAACAACATATGACATTCAGTACAGCTTTCTGATGCTTGAACAATCACTAAAATGGAGAGGAACGAAAATAAATAAATAAATATTTTCGAGATAAATTAAAATTTGAAAACATTTTAAAACAGATAAGAAGGATTCCACAGGAATATGATTTCACAATAAAAGGTGGTATAGTATTGTACTGCTGCTAAGTACCGTCAGTAGTAAAACCATCAAAATGAATCACAGTATATCCTGCGAACATTTTCACCATGATTTAAACTCCGGGGAAAAATGTCTCACTAGCTAAGCAATTAGATCAACATAGACTGTACAAATCTAATGTGTGCCCATATACTATTTATGAAGAGCCATAGCTCATTGGCTTAAGCAATCGGATTTTAACCGATGGGTGACTGGCTCGAATCCATCTGTCTGTCTGTCTGTTTTCGACATAGAACTTTGCACAAATGTGCGGAAGTTCAAGTCGCCACACTCCGTGTAGCACGCGAAGCAAGAGAAGAAAGTACAAGAAAAGCATAATAGAAACAGTGAGCAGAGGTGTGAGACAAAGGAATAGTAATAACGAAGAACAAAACAGTTTCATTGGCGATCATAAGTCACAAGGAGTGGATGCATCTGCGCCACTGAGAACGATTTTGAGCCATGTCACCAATTGTTTCCAGCCATAGATTTTTTTTACCGTCCCGAGGACCCCAGCCTGGAAGTCTACACCTTCCTACGTGGCTTAGACCAACTGTCGTGGATTTGATTGACTGGTGCCAAGTTTTTCTTTGACCGCCGCTAGCTTTTTTCCAGCCTGACCCTATATTCGCTAACATTGCTCGTCGAGGGAGGCGATGACTTGGCATACGTAACACATGTCCTAGCCATCTCAGTCTATGTAATTTCACAACTTCGTCGATTGATTTCCCCTGTTTACCTAGAACTCTACGCCTAACCTCAATGTTGCTCACCTTATTATGCCACTTTACACGGGAAATAGAGCGCAGGCACCTATGATCAAAGACAGCTAGTCTTTTCATGTCTTCCACTCTCAGTGGCCAGGTCTCACAACCATAAAGGAGGACGGAGCGGACTGATGAGCAGTACACCCGCCCTTTGGTCGACAGTCAAACATCTCGTCTACGCCAGAGTCGGCGTAAACTGGCAAATGCGAAACGAGCCCCCTGTATTCGTGCTGAGATTTCGTCAGAGATCAGCCCGTTGTGGCTGATGGTACTTCCCAAATAAGTGAAGTGGTCAACGTGCTCTACCCCTTCACTTCCTATTTTTAAACTAGGCGTCGATGTAGTCCAGTCCTGTAACATCATCTTGCATTTGGCGGGAGCGAATAGCCTCACAAACATTCGTAGATTGCAACTCAAGGTGTTCAGAAGACTCTGCATTCTGTCAGCATCCTCACCTAGAAGTGTAACAGCAGAAGAAAACGGCCAGGCAACAGATCGTTTATTAAGGAAATCAACACATATTTATATAATTTCATGCACACTATTATAGATTATTTAGGAAAATAAACACAGTCCTGTGATTGATTGTTTTTCACAGGAAGTTAACCTTTCATCTTTTTGTGGCTGTTTCTTGAATGTCAGAACATCTAAATGCTAACCGTATCCGCCTACACAAAGCCTTTCTTCTCATTTTTCTCACGACCAACATTGGGGGCAATAGAATTTTGGACAGTGGGCATCCCTGTTGTTACATCCCTGTTCCCCAACAGTACTGTTTCAACCACAGACCCCCCAGCATAGTGTAAAAACGAAAATTCGTACACTACGCCGGTAACTGCTCTTAGTATAATTGCTGTCCTAAAAACCCTCTTGGCATGGTAGGATGTGCAGGAACGATAAACCCAGCCAGTATAGTTTGTTGCGTCATTGTGATATGCAGGCCCGACTACCACATCAAGGTAGCAGCTATCAGTCGTGGGAACTAAGTTGAACAAACTCAAAGGTGATTCTGATTTACTTTCTTGAATAAAAATAATATAATGTAGATGTGAGATAACAGTTCAAAAGGGACTCCTAACCATATTTATACAACACTGAAAGTATTCCTACTGAGCAACTAGAAAATTCACGCTAGTATATTGGATGTACATTTGAAAACAGGAGAGTTATAATCAACCACACGAAATAAAATCATTTCACATTTAAAAGTGAATAAAGTAAGACTATTTTTAAGAAATTTCTGAACACACATTTCTGAATCATTAGGTGGCGATCAAGACGATACTGTAGGCTAACTAACTACCAGTTAAATAACAGAACACACAGTTCAAAAAGAACTCTGTTGAAATTATCCATGCAATTAGACTAAATTTCATACGAACGCATTGGCAAATGCAAAAAAACTCTTTTATGGCAATTCATTTTAAGGGGGGCTTAGCTAAAATTGTGGTCTTCACAATTAATTTGCTCACATAACTCTAAACATGTGACTAATTATTTCTTGTCTCCATCGTTCACCATCCTCCTTAGAATTGTCAAGTGGAAGCATAAACCATCTTACCGTTAAGTAAAGCATCAGAAGACAATTATCACCAGATGGCATCATTTCGTTGCAATTACAATTAGGATGTTTAGTGATAATAACTTTACAAAATATAAGGACTAATAAGTAACTGAGCAACTCTGAGGACGAAAAGGTCGATAAACATTATTCTCCGGAGAAATAATTTGAAGTGAATGTGAATAATTCGGAGAGCTTCCACTAACTTCAATAAGCGTGAAGTTGAATTATGCGACACTATCATCAATTTTGGTCCTGTGACCGATGAATTCCCATTAAGACTATCGATAAGAAATATTCTGCTAGTTCTACAAATATGTATGTCTGTAATAAATGCAGGTTAATTGCGGGATCGAGTGCAATGTGTAGTTGACATTATTTCAGCCTTTAATCGTGTATATTGATTTATTTATTTAAACGCAGAAAAATCTTGGTACAGTATGGCACCAAGAAAGACGCTCCACACAATAGCAATAAGACAACATAGATCAAAAGTAAAAAAGATGTAAGTAGAAAACGGATAGAGAACTTCATCTGGAAGGAAAACAGACATACTTAACAAGTTCAAACAGTATTTGTCAACTATCATCCGGAAGGGAAGAAAGAAGGAAATTGCAGCACGTTCGCCATTGATGACTACGATTTTTGGCCATATTCGATAACGTTTCGAGCCATCGATTAGAGCTACCTCTCACAAACCCCAACCAGGGAGTCGTGATGCACCAACCGATGCTATTCTAGCACAAATATCCTTCATCCCACGACGCCACGTCATGGACTGACCACCTCTCCGCCTTTTCCATCCCGTCCTAGGGATAGCGAACAGACAGCTGTACGGAAGCCTCTGGGATGACATTCGCAGCACATGTCCAAGCCACCAGAGCCGGTGTTTCAAGATGACGACACTCAATGAATGGTGACCTCCACTGTATTAAAACACACGCCGCCGGACCTCAGAATTACTCACACGATGATGCCATCGAGCGCATGCATTCCTGCGAGGTAGCGATGATCGAACACACAGAGTCGCCGAACATCCTCAGCTCGGAGAGGCCAGGTTTCACAAGAGTATAGCAAGACAGCCCGCACCGAAGCATTGTATACCCAGACAGGCTAACATCGCGACGGCGCCAGAGGTGACTCAAGTTGCCAGGTGTATGCCACCCTAGCCTTCATTATACGGTTGGAAATCTCATCCGTCACCCCTCCGCCAGCACTCACACAACTACCCAGGTACACAAACTTATCAACAACTTCAAGCGGTTCACCCGCAAGCGTGAGTGCAGGTAAAGGCTCCTGCCAATCTTGTAACAGTACTTTTCACTTAGACGGCTCAAAATACATGCCATACTTACAGACACTGATCGCCAACTGATTAAGTGCGATTTGGGCAGCCTGCATGCTATGGCACAGTAAGACGATATCGTCTGCATACTCGAGGTCGAAAAGTCTATCTCCAGGTAGCAGATCTACACCACCTTAACGCACATCCTTCAGAACTGACTCCAGAATGTCACCGATGACAAAGTTAAGGAGAAATGAAGCGATTGGGCAATCAGGCTGTATATTGAAAACGAAAATGTGAATTTGAAAAACAAGACTTATGAAGAATGATAACAAACTTACTATTTTTGACGCAAACACCATCCCTTTTATTGGTAGAAGATATCTCATCAGCCTAAAATAGAATCGAATTACAAGATTATTCCGTCATGAATGTAAAGATAGCCTTATTGTTTGGTATATGAAAAACTCATCTGTCATAGTGTAAGCCATTATACATCAGTCATATCGACAGGAATGTTTAGCGTTTTACCAAACAAATACTGTTGTAACGGTAGAAGACAAGAGACTTTGGAAAGGAATGTTTGATTGCAATTTGGTATCTATCTATCTCTCTCTCTCTCTATAGCGAAATTATGTACACTTTATCTCCGAATCGTGATTTGCACAGTTCTTCCCATATAGTGCTACTTCTGTCCTTTGTATTGTGTTTCTTTGTCTTTTTTGGAGTCTCCCATGTTTCACCTCAACGCTCGCCGAATCATTTGCCCTCTCTGACGTCAAATCTGTCTATCTATCCGCTACTTGATATTTTCATGACAAAGAACGTCTCTTTATATACACCACATTGTGACTGTCTGTTCAACTAAGATTCTATAAAACCATCCCATTTCTTCTTGGCTTACTAATTCGAATTCTTTCAAGGTTATCATTATGTCACCTTATTGATGATATAAATATATATATATGCATATCTTTTAATTTTTTCTTCTTTCACCTGACGCTGAATTTCTTTTATATCTCACCTGTAGCTATGAATTCGTTTCAGTGATCTCAGTATAACTGGTATCTGTCTACTATTTAATTGTGTGATTACGCAATTTTTTAACCTAACTTCCACTTCGAACAGTTGAGTTCTATTATTCATGTGCTTATCAATTCCAGACTGGTTATGTTTAAAACCAGGTCGCTGAAAAGTAGAATAGACTAATCCGATTTAGTGGATAAGAAACTATTTTTGCACTGAGGTACTATAATAAATAAAACATTCCTGGAGACAACTTTGTACACATGAGATGAAATATGAGTTTTGGTAGAATATTTCTTGTCTAGACGATTATATTATAATGATCAAAAAGCGATACCTCAGTGGTAACACTTCTAACTGCAGAAGCACTGGGTGAGACATGGGTTTGTATCTCGGACGGGACATAAGCCTTTTCAAGTTGCGTCGGCAATCCAATAGTAGAATGCTCCCCAACCACTTACATGGGTCAGGGTTCAATTTCCGACCAACTAACTCCTATACCTCATCACCTAGTTTACTAGCCCATTGTAACCTCATGCCGTGATGAGAACAAAACCATCTGTAAATGAATGTGAACATTGAACGTTGGTTTATTGGCCTCGGTCGCCATTGGCGGGAAACTCGAAGGCGCGAATGATTCAATCGTGTACAAGTCGGAAGAAGACGAAAGAATGCGAATAAAAGTACAATACATTCCTTGTAAAACATTTGTTTATAGACTTTGTACAGAGTATTGATTTTAACTGTCGAAGAATACAATATCTTATTGGTCCTTGTGTTTCGGAGTTGAAGTCGATAATCGTACCTAGTATAATTGTCGATTGTGCGTTGGTGGCACAACGGTTAAGACGCTCGCCGAATATGCCCATGGTCCGGGGTTCGATCCCCGGCCGACGCATTCCTTCACCTCGGTAAGCCAGTAATAAAAAAAATACTGGTAAGAAGAAAAGGTGGGGCATGAGGCTAGAAACCCTATCCTGTAAAAATAAACACTGCTACAGAAACTTCAGGCCTCCAGCTTGAAGCCTTATGTTCCACTGGAAACGTGAGGGAATTAAAAATATAGTAATTTTCGATTCGGAGCGTTCTCACGAATAATACGAACTAAGGGTCAAGTTCCTTGACACTATCTCGAATGGGAATTTAGTAGCTTGGAGCTCCACTCGGAACGCAAGGAATGAGCAAAACAGAACTGATTATATTACCATATAATAATAATAATAAAAGGTGAGACTACATTAAAAATCAAACGAAAATCAACTCACCAGATCCAAACATAGATTATGGATTTCGAGATCACAGTTAGCAGTGTTGGTTAAAGTCAGTAGTAAAAGGAATTCTTCATTCACCATTAAATTTGATACGTGATTTTGCTAGGTGAATACACAATATACAAGAAATAGGATATTAGTTATAACACGTCATTCAAGTACAGTTAACATTAAAAACCAGGTGATTGATTAACTTGCTTTGGTGGTGTAATGACACATTACTCGCCAACTACACATGTAGTCCACGTACCATTTTTCCGATCGACGCACTCCTTACTTAGCCTCACCTACTTAATGCTTAGCCTAGAAAAGCGGCAAAGTCGGCTTTGAGACTAGCAAGATCACCATGTTAAAAAAAAACACCAATACTACTGAAACTTTAAAGCTTAAACAGACAAATAGACACGATTAACTGATAGATTCCCTGGTATATATTCATATATCCGAGCGATGCTGGGGACATCACTCGTACCCAATTCCCATGAAACTTCATGGTTCATGAAGCCGGCTCATCCTCCCGTAGGAGATAGCCGAAGTAAAGTAAGTAAAGTATATATTCATATTATTAGATACATAAGGATCCAAATGATCGCGAAATAGGTTTTGCCCGAAAAAGCACTGGCCAAACAACTTTTTTCCTTCACGTTCCTCAGTGGAACATAGGATCTCAAGCTAGTGGCTTGAAGTTTCTGTAGCAGTGTTTATTTTACAGGATGCGGTTGCTAGCCAGCTCATGCCCAACCTTTCCTCTTTACCAGGTTTATTTCTGGCTTAGCGAGGTGAAGGAGTGCGTCGGCCGGGGATCGAACCCCGGACCATGCACATGGTCCGGAGTTCGAGCCCGCACCGACGCACATCTGATATCTATGGTCAGCCAGTGAAATTTGGGCTACCGATATCCATGCTGAAAATTCCATACTTGTACCGAAAATACAGTGTGGAATCAAGCTGTAAATCAAAAATCAAAATAAATTACTAAAAATGAATTGTGACTGGAGTGTTGCGTCATTTTCATGCACATCCCTCACAAAACTGAGGGTAAACACTTTTTTTATTTGTCTATTCCAATTCAGTTGTCCAGAACAGGTCTTACATGTGCCCAGCTAAGAACCACACTTATCGAAGGGTACTGATAATAGTAGCCAGTTGCCTAGAGTATCGTAGGCAACACGGGACTCATATATGTGACTCATTGGCGGAAAACCGAATGTTTTAGTCGATGAGTCCCACTTTTGAAGAAAAAAACCAGAACGAGATAAATGTTTAATGCTTCTTAGTTGTTGTTATTATTGTTTATATACAAACTCTGCCTTAAAATTCATTTCTGTCTGTCTGCCTGTCTGGATTCAACATAGAACTTGGCACCGAAGTGCAGCAGTTCGAGTTGCCACCTTCCAAATAGCACACAGAGGTAGACAAGAAGATGAGTGAAGAGAATCAATACAGTCTGACAAGTATAAGAGTGAAACAGAATGGGTAATGGTAGAAAGGAATATGAAAGATTACAGAGACTGAATACATCTGCGCTGGCCATTGACAACGATTTTGAGCCATGTCACCTATTGTCTCCAGCCATTGATTCCTAGAGTCCCGAGGGCCCCAACCCGGGAGTCTGCATCTCCCTACCTGACTCAGTTTAACTGTCAAGGATTTCATGGATTGATGCCATGTTTTTGTTTGGCCACCACTGGCTCTTTTCCAACCTGAACCTATATCAGCTAGCAATGCCCGTCGGGGGAGGCGGTGGTTAGGCATGCGCAGCACGTGACCTAGCCATCTTAGTCTATGTAACTTTATAGCCTCGTCGATTGATTTTCCCTCTTTGCCCAACACTCTACGCCTAACGTCAACATTACTTACCTTATTAAACCACCTAACGTGAGACAGAGATCGCAGACATCTATGATCGAAAGCAGTCAACCTTTTCATGTCTTCAACGCGTATTGGCCATGTTTCAGAGCCATAGAGAAGGACGGAGCGAACTGATGAGCAGTACACACGTCCCTTGGTTGATAACCGGATGTCACGCCTACGCCAGAGATGGTGTAAGTCAGCGAAAGCAGCTCGAGCTTTTCGGATCCGTGCTGAGATTTCATCGCCAATCAGTCCGTTGGTGCTAATACAACTTCCCAAATAGGTGAAGTGGTCAACATGTTCTATCACTTCACTCCCTATCACTAAGTTAGGAGTTGACGTGGTCCAGTCCTGTAGCAGCATCTTACATTTTGCAGGGGCGAATCGCATGCCAAACATACGAAGATTGCTGCTCAAGGTGTTCAGAAGACTCTGCATTTTGTCAGCATCCTCCCCTAACAGGACTATGTCATCTGCATATTCTAAGTCCATAAGACTATTCCCTGGTAACAAGTCGATTCCTAAGTCATTACGTTCAGTTAAGGATACTTCCATCAGCATATCTATGATGAAGTTAAACAGAAATGGGGAAAGTGGACATCCCTGTCGGACACCACTGGTTGTTACCAATTCAGATGACAATTCCCCATAAGCCCTTACACGACTACGTGAGTTTGAATAGAGTGCCTTGATTAGTGCAATGTACTTTCTTGGCACTCCCTTCACAGTCAGACATTGCCATAGTACCTTTCGATCCACGGAGTCGAAGGCCGCCTTCAAGTCAAGAAATATGACAATTGTTGGACGCCGAAAAGTGTGTCTATGTTCTAGAATCTGTCGAAGAGTGAAGATATGATCTATGCACCCTCTACCTGGTCTAAAGCCTGCTTGATTTTCCCTTGTCTGTTCCTCCCGAGTTCTGCTTAGTCTATGCATGATTACTGAGCCTAGGATTTTAGAGACTATGTTCGTTAGGCTGATCCCCCTATGATTATCACACGAGGACTTGTTTCCCTTCTTGAATATCGGTATAATAAGTGACTTACCCCAGTCTGATGGCACTGTCTCTGATTCCCAGACTTTGCCTAGTACCTCAGTTAATCTACAAACTAGTATGTCACCCCCATATTTAAACACCTCCGGAATAATTCCGTCGGGTCCTGCCGCTTTGCCTCGTTTCAAATTACTGATAGCTTTTGTGACCTCACTTACAGACGGCGGACCAGTGTCTATATCCCATTCGGGTGTGTGCTGGATGTCGGGGAGGTTCAGTGTGGCTGTAGGCAAGTTAAATTGTCCCTCAAAGTGTTCTTTCCAGCGTTCAAGGCGTCTATCCTGAGAGCTAATTAAGGAGCCATTTTTCTCAGAAATAGTCTCACTTATGATTTGCCTTCTCCCACCCGTTTCCCTGATGAGTCTAAAGAGTTGCCTAGTGTTGCCTATCGCCGATGCTTTTTCCATCTCTTTTGCCTTTGTCAGCCACCACTGTTCACTTTTCATTTAGAGTTCAATTATTTTCCCAATTATTGAGTGGCTTGATAGCACGAAAGTAAACATTTAAAAAAAAGACATCAATGAACTGTAATTTGATCGAACTACTCTTGAAAAAAACCCAGTCTCATTGTTTTCAGAATACTGAGTAAATCTTCATTTAACAATGACTTTCTAAGAGTATTACTGTACGCAAGTTAAATGAAAACCGATTGCAATTACTTCTCCTATTCTGAAATTAACGGAAAAATCGCTTTTAATCAAACCTGAACATTTCTTGAAAAGCTTTAATGACCCCCAAACAGTCAGTTTATAAACAAGTTAGAATGCATTTAGATGCTGCTGCTGTTGTCTTACATCATAATATTGTTTCCTGCTTAGACAAAGGAACCAAATATGTTTGATGCACCTTTCTTGACTCTACACATCCAGTGTTAACCCTGTACCCAGATGTTTTCTGTACGGTAATCCATCCTTGACACAAACCGCGTTCTGGGCTGTTAATGGGTTGCATTCTCACTTCTCGAACAAAATGCAGTATACTGTATATGAAGGTTAATCTTCCTCTGACTTGCTTACTGGAGCTGGTCTCCATGTAAGTGCTGTTCTGTTTCCTCTTCTTTTCTCCTTCTTCTTACATGACCTGTCTCCCAGATGAAATCAACTTCGTTAAATACGCTGACGACCTGATCATCATCTTGCTTCCTGTTAAGTCCCAATCAGACTGTTGCAAACTAAGTAGCTTTTTATCGGACGTCAGCCAGTGGTCAAAGCTAAATGGTCTTACGTTCAATTCCTCTAAATGTCAGGCAGTTAACTTCAAATTAACGTGAAAATGTGACCTAGAGGAACTCGTTCGTCCACAAGATGCTTCTGGAATAGAGGGCACTTAAAAATAGAAACTAAGTCAAGTATTAAATACCTCAGAATACTTCATTCCTCTGTTCTTTCTTGGTGGTCCTATATATTGTCGATTTCCAGGAGAATGCTCCGTCTAACCGCCTACATTAGGAAGTTAAGACAATCAGGAGTCATTTAACCTCTACTTCCAATTCTCGCATCATATCTATTGTTGTTTACTGCTCCCCCTTGATCTTTCCCTGGGCTAATCAAAAAGGACTATCTCTTCCTGAGAAGGATATTAAAGGTTTTCAGTAAAGCAAGTAATGTGCCACACCTGAACTCATTCAAGAAATGTACTAAATCTGTATTGTCTGACTTTCAATACCCTTTTTTATTCACAACTCTCCCCTTGGATCTCATCAGATAGGACTAGAACTCATTACAAAAGTGGTAAAACTCAACAATACCCTATTTGACCTGGGTTTTATGTGATACAGATAGTGTTAAGTGTGAAATTTACGACTTACTAAGTTATTAGCAGAATAATTGCCTTTTTCATCCTCTGCTATTTGTAATCTATGGTGGCACTAATTCAACTAGCTGATAATTTCAGCTATTAACATTATTAAAATTATTTTATACTTTTTGTAAATTCTTGACCATATTGTCACTGGTTATACTAAAAAGCTGTCATTATCGAATTCTGATTAAGTATACCCTGTAATATTATTTATTGTTTTTGCTTTGGTCGCGTAGATTAGATGCAATCTTTGTTTATGCGAGTTTGACTACGACATGACATCACTTAGAGAAGCATTGAAAACCAGGGAGCACTTGACAGCTGTTTCCTCTTCCTAGTTTGGGAATCATCAGCAGTACGCACCCACTAGGGGGTTCGAACTTGTCTGGATACCGGAAGGTCCTGGTTTCGAACCCCAGTGGGTACTTACTGCTGATGATTCCGAAAACTAGAATGAAACAGCTGTCTAGTACTCCCTGGTTTTCGATGCTTCTCTAACTGATATCAATCCGTGGCCAAACTCGTATGAACAAATCTAATCCTTGCAAACCAAATTCTTGAATATACATAATTGTATCAAATGGTGATTTTTGGAATAAAGCGAATTATTATTAATATTATTGCTAATTATTAGTATTATCTATTATCCATATGATTCGAAATCTATCTTTTTTGGGTTAGCATATACGATTTACTAATTAACATAAAAATGATCTTATTTCATACAAGAAATATGTGGCAAATGTTCATTTCGTAATCAATGTACAGCAAAATAATAACATAAACTATACTATAACTATAGAAAATCAAGATTCCGTATTCTCACAGTCAGAGGAAATGGGTATTCATACCACAGGTAACTACGTCTAAATACTTCAGGACGCTGAAAAAATGCAGAGTCTTCTAAACACCTTGAGGAGCAGCAATCTGAGAATGTTCGGCACGCGATTTGCTCCCACCAAATGTAGGATGATGCTACAGAATTGGACTACATAGGCTCCTAGCTTAGAAATAGGGAATGAAGTGGTAGAGCGCGTTGACCACTTCACTTAGTTGGGACCCGGCCGATAACTGCTACCTTGTAGTGGTGGTCGAGCTTGAATACCGTAATGACCCAACATGCTAAACTGACTGTGACTCTGTCCCTGCAGGTCCTAGCATGTCAGGAAGGTTGTTTGGATAGCGGTTAAACTAAAAGCAGTTACCATGGGGTACATGGGATCCAGTAACCAATCGGATCAAATGGCGTATGAACCCATATGGGTCACCGCTAACCACGGGAATGCAGCTCCTGACGCTACTCCGCTGCCTTGCGGATTAGACTACAAGTCAAAGGCTCGGGGGGTGGTCCCTTAATAAAGCCCCCTGCTTCGGTCTGGGCGCCCGGGCAGTGTCTCAGCCCTCACACAATGAATTGAATAAAGCAACAAACGATCAATGAAACGTATCGCCAGTCCCAGTGCGTAGACCGCCGACGAAATCTCAGCACAGATACAGAGGGCTAGTTTCGCATATACTATTTTACGCCGTCTCTGGCATAGACGTGATACCAGCCAGCTTTCGACCAAAGAGCGTATGTACTGCTCACCAGTCCGCTCCATCCTCCTTTATGGTTATGAGACTTGGCCATTGAGATCAGAAGACATGAAAAGATTAGCTGTCTTTGGTCATGGATGTTTGCATTTTATCTCCGGTATTAGGTGGTATAATAGGGTGAGCAATATTGAGGTTAGGCATCGGTGGAGTGCTACGTAAGGAGGGGAAATCAATCGACGAGGCTGTGAAATTACATCGACTGAGATGGTTAGGACATGTGTTACGCATGCTTAGTCTAACCATCGTCTTCCTCGACAGGAAATGTTAGCTGACATAGGGTCAGGCTAGAAAAGAGTTAGTGCTGGTAGTCAAAACGAAATATGGCCTCATCAGTCAATGAAATCCACAACAGTTATTTTAACCCAGCCAGTCACGTGGGAAGGTGTAGACTGGCTTCCTGGTCGGGGTCCTCGGGACGGTAAAAAGCAATGAAGGGTGGAGACAATCGGTGATATGACTCAAAATCATCGTTCTCAATGGCTGGCTCAGATGCATCCACTCCTTGTGACTTATAATACCCAATAAAACTATATTGTTTTTCGACGTTACTATTCCTTTGTCTCACACATCTGTTTCGCATTTCTTGTTACTTTCTTCTGTTGCTTTATGTGCTACACGGAGTGCGGCGACATGAACTGTTGCACATCGGTGCAAAGTTCTGTGTCGAAAACAGACAGACAGAATTTACCATTTTCTCAAGATTCTTGGACTCTGTCTTGGGCTTAGTGTCATAGATATCCTAGAAGATCGCAGTTACATATACATCTGAAATTATTACAGCAAAAGTTGAACAACTTAAATCAAACATAACACACACATATACATATACACACACTGAAATAACTTACTGTCAACGAGAGTACTTTACAATCGAATTCGAAAGGAGACGAAATTGTGATACATGTTTCAATGATCTGTGTACACTGAATTTCTGTAGACGTGGATTCAATTGCATTTAAAGTTGACTGTTCGAGCTTCTTCTTTACAGATGACTTCATACATTCGGAGACAACATGATATTTAGTTGTTGTGATATCATTTGATGCATCGGATAAACACAGTAAGTAATCTGAATATTCACATGGTAAAATTTTTGTTGAAAAACTTAAATGACACAATAGTGTCTGCATTATATGAGAATTAGTTGAAACTGATGAACAGCATAGTGAAATTGTTACTGATGTAGAATGATTTGCCAGGATGTCATCTAACTGTTTTACACAACAAACACCTAATTTATTAGGCGATGAATGGACAGTTTTACTTTCCATATGAGTAATAAGTTGTGATGAATCACCAATTATTAAATAATTCTCTGCTGCAGTCGACTCTGGACTAGCTGTTGTTGTAGTTGCCAAAGTACTAACAACAACACTTGAAGCACCTTCGGTTGGTTCTGTTTCTTTAGGGAGAAGACGAGCAGTTAAACTAGGGAAATAAAAAGAAAACCAATCAAACCATAAAGTTTGTAATTCATGTTAAAATTGCCTAGATAAAAGAATTTCTTCTAAAAAAAACCTATATCTGCTCTGTGTTCTGAATGGAACATAGGGCTTCAAACTTTTGAAGTTTCACTAGCAGTGGTGTTGCTTCAATTGAATTTTAGATTTTCCCGTCGATTGATCGGACCGAAGTGCTCGGTCTCAGGTTGACATGTCGGCTTCTTGTGCAGATGCTTCGACGATGTCTGGGCATTTAATTAGTATTTAATTGATGGATAGTGACTAATCTAAAAATTCAATTAACATGACCCGTTGCACAAGAGGTGGCTCTGGTGGCCCAATTGGTCTAGTGGATAACGCTCTGGTGTTTGAAACTATGGGCACTGGGTTCGAGCCTCGGTGGGAACATCATCACTCACTAGGAAATGCAGGTACATCTAGCTGACGAGTCCCAAATAGGACAAATTGCCCATCCTGGATCCCACCGCTAATCACCATCCACCAATTAATGGGTGTTGCTAGACCTGAAGACCAACTCTCCACCTTTTCCAGATGTACTGACGGCTAGTGAACTAGGCGGGGTCCAGGAGTGCATCGGCCAGGAATCGAGGCGGTTATTACAGATACTAGACCATTTTGTTCACTTGAAGGTTAAAAAGCTTGACTTATTTGTTATTAGGCAAATTCTGTTACAGTAACATACAAGAAGGAGAAAAACAATAAGGCGAAATATCACTGGAAAGCACGATCTCTATGAGTGTCTGTACATGCTGACGAAGAGTCATATGTTATGTCAAAACAGCCATACACACCAAGCGATCTCAGTTTGTCATTGCCCTTTGATAAAAAATTACTTTACGACAGAAGATATCTTGAAACGAGTCAAATCCTGACAAATCCCATATATATTCTTTGTTACTTCTAATTTCGAATAACACGCCCATACTGGAAAAGTGGATTTCCAGACTAACAGTATCACAGATAATCTGATCGATGAAAAATTTATTTTACTGGTGAACAAACGACTAACAACTATATACCTATTAACCAATAAATATGCAGAATAAAATGAAGATGGACTGGATATAAAATTGGGAGATAACTGAGTAACAACATACGCCAGACCGTCGAGTGAGAGGAGACTGGAAACCGATGAGTTGGGTTTTAGAGAGTCACATAGTGATGATATGGGGAAATAATAACTTGCCGGTGGTCAGGTAGCCAAGTGCAAGCGATCACAAAGAACCGAGTGAAATCGACTTATGATGCTGAAGCTTTATGTTTCCCTAGGAACTCAAGAAAAAAAGAATCCTTAAAATGGATGTCCTCTTAGTCATAATATTCAGTCAACAAAGTAATCACTAACAACATAAGTGAACTAGTGGTGATAACAAAATATCCGGCTACGACCAATCACATCCTACATTATCAACGGAAATAGTCACTATATTCATACAGTATTCTAAAGGCTCACCTGATCTTGAAGTTAACAATGACGATGCTGTCTAGAAAGACAGTGATACTTTCACAATCTACACCCATCTACCTCAGAAAATGCAACTACACCAAAAAGGGGTCCCTTTTCATTCATTCTATTAACAAATACCCGTATAAAAATATTCAAGAATAAAACCAATGCTACTTCTTGGTGAAAATCAGATGAAGATGACATTTCTAGGCTCCGAAAGAAAGAACTCGCCAGTCAATCACGAACACAGAAAGTAACCCAACTGTGAATGTGTGATCTTTAATCACAATTAACAATAAAATGTAACGAACAGAACAGAACACTTTTAAGGTTACATTGTTTTCAAAATTAGAATATTCATAAAGCTGGGAATATTATACACTACTCTCATCTGAATAGATTAACTAGAATATAGTGAAATCTTGGTTAACTGTCATATTTTTGATTGGCATCAAATCAGTTACTAAATAACAATCACAACAAAACAATAAAAAGACGTAGTTTATATTTGAAACGAGTAATGTATTCGCGCAACACATTCCGGACATTCTGATCACACACAAGTACTTGTCATACACATTCATTATAGAAGGTAAGATAGCATGAATTATTACAATACAGTTCAAATTGCGTACGGAACAAAGTCGCAGATAAAGGGTAGGGAGATGGAGTAAAGGTGAGGGTAAGAAAAGAAAATAAGAAGGGGGGAGGGGGGAATATCTCTAAGTAAATTGAAGCTCGGTTAAATATTACTGTATGACACTGTGGGATTTTATCAAAATAAATTTTATCCATAATGGAACCTGAATTCTAAGTTTGATTACCTAGGCAGGTTTAAAGTAATAACAAATAACTTCTGGACACACAAGACAGATTTAAGCCTTTTTTATGGCCAAGGATTCAACGAATTTAAGTATGTGACCCAACCTTGTTTCATATATGGGTTTAAAGGCATTACTAAAATCAACCTTACAACCCGTCTCTATGATGTGCCTTGCTATATATAATGCTGGACATCTATTTCCGGGATCAGCTGTGTGTCCGGTGATTTTATTTGTAGCTTCAGCCACTTTGGAATATGTTCTACAGGCCTAACCTGCAGAGACTGATGGGTCCTCCCTAGGCATGTAAGTTGGTCAACTCAGTGGGATGTGACACTATTGATCGGATGCTGCAAGGGTTTAGAGGGCAGCACAGATCCCTTTTTCTCTAGGAAGATAAGTTTGACTGTATAGTAGGTTCTATTAATTGTCGCTTTGAGTTTTCGTTTAGTCATCAGACTTTGTTGACCACTCCTGTATACATCCTTTCTGAGAGCTGACTGAATAGACAGAGCTCTTTGCTTGGCACTTCCGTAACGATTAATGAATTTCAACAGTTAGTTATTATCTAACAATATTTCAGTGAGGTCTGGTGTTTTTTCTTCAGTGGTGTCGGCTGCACGTATACCGTTAATGCATCTAAACAAACACTTAACCAACAACCTTTTTATACTGTTGTGGACAGAAAACTATGATAATTTAGATACTGTCCTATGTATGCGGATTTTCTGTAGACAAAGAACCAGTACAGTAAGCCCATATTTACTAATAGCCAATACACACACAATACCAAGGTTTACGAAATTATTATTAATTCCTTTAATTCCTAGAGGAACATAAGGCTTCAACCGCACGTCTCCATTGCGTTCGGTTCTCTGCTAGAGTTTTCACCTGGCTCCAAGTCTGCCCATATGCTTTGATCTACTCTTCACATGACCTCCTCCAAGTCACCCTTGGACGACCAACTCGCCGCTTCCCTTTCGGGTTCCACCCGAGGGCTTGTCTAGTGATGTTCCCTGATGGTTTTCTCAGAGTATGGCCGATCCACCTCCATTTCTTCCTGCATATTTGTTGCATAATTGGTTCCTGCTAGGTTGATTCGTTCCCACAGATCCCTGTTGCTGATCTTTTCTGGCTGGCCATCTGATCTTGAGTAGTATTGAGCGAAGACAGCTGTTGATGAAGGTCTGCAGTTTGTTTGAGGTGCTCTTTATGACGCGCCAAGTCTCTCATAATAATTAAAGTAAATTGAGAGCTGGACGAGAAAAATCTGCCTTTATGAAAGTGAAACTCATTACTTTTAAGCCTGATATATGAAATGCAATTTTAATGTGCATGGAAAAACAGAAAAATATTCACAGGAAGGAGTAAAACATGACAGGGAATAAGTGTTCTCGCTTAACTTTGATACAATCAATAATAAACAATTTATCTGACATTGTGTATTCGTCGCCTATTCGACATTACAACCAAATAAAGCAAAAAACAATATTGAAATCAAAGTAACACGCATTTCAGTGATAATGCTTACTTTAGCTTTGTGCAATCACTTTGAGTTGGATTACGAATAGTTAAGGTGATCTGTGAAATTTCATTAGCCAGTAAAGAAATATTTTGTTGTGTAATGATTTCTAAACCTGAAGGTGGATGATGCATTCTAAAAGATCAAATAAGAAGAAAAAATTTCAACAAGTTATCCAATACTGTAGATAGAAGATCAACTAAAGTGACATTCCTTTCGATACTCATTGTGAAGAAAGAGACGATGATATGTTGAAACCAGTGGGATATAACACAGTAAGTAAACTACATTGCTAAATTCAAGTGTTGGTTTGTAGGGATTTGATTGCTTACAGGATTTCATCATGAGCTGACATTAGTTAGAGAACAATTGGAAAACCTGAGAGTACTGGACAGCAGTGCCGGTAGTCCTAGTTTGGGACTCTTCATCAGTAAGCATCCACCGGGATTCGAACCCAGGACCTTCTAGTTACAAGGCTGAATCCTGAAATACTACTACTACATAGCTAAAGATATGTCGCTTTTGTTTTCTTTTATAGACACCTACCACTACTCTAGGTAAACCTAGATCAGTAGAGATGGTTTCAGGTGATCTTTTCTATTCCTTTGCGTTTCAAGTGGAACATAGGGACTCAAGCTAGAGGCTTGAAGTTTTGGCAGCAGTGGTGTTTATTTTTACTGGATGAGGTTGCTAGCTTCATGCCCAACCTTGGTTCTTAACCAGTTTTATTACTGACTTAGCGAGGTAAAGGAGTTCGTTGGTCGGGGATCGAACCCCAGACCACATGCGTGATCGGCAAGCATTCTTTCGCTGTGGCACCGACGCACAAGTGATACCAGATATGTTTAGCCCAAATCATTAGAACTATATCTTAAAGGATGGAACCAATCTCAAAATGTACGGGTTTTATTTGAAGTAAGTGCATTTACACTGAAGAAAGTAGAGGAAGACATGCGAAAACATTACATCAGAAGACTCTGGAATTTGTCAGTGTCTTCAACTGTAAAAAACTAAATCATTTTTCTTTCTAGATCAATAGGACTTTTCCCCAGGCCAATCCTTAAAACATCCAACCCGATCAGGGTCTCATCTCTTTGTACACACATAACGGAAAATAAGAATGGTGACAGTTGGCATCCTTGATAGACAGCACTAGTTGTTGTCACCTTGCACAAGTCAGTGAGTTCGAGTCGAGTGTCTTGATTAGTACACTGTACCTTCTTAGAAGTTACTTCACAACCAGATATTTCCGCAACACCTCCCGACCAACCGAATCAAACATCACCTCAAGTGAAGGAATGTAGCAAGTGTCATACACCGGCGAGTGTATCACAGCTTATAGGGGGGAGAAGATATAATGTATGCACTCTTGTCCATAACTAAAGCCAGCCTGCTTTTCTCAAGGATTTTTGTCCCAATCATCTCTGCTTAATCTCCACTGTGGGACCTAGGATCTTAGATAATAAGTTAAGGGTTCAAAATTTGAAAGCTGAGCTCAACACTAAACTCAAACCTATCACAATTCATTGTCCTAATTCTGGACACAGTTCACTCGGTTTAATTCAATGTATGCCTGCCTTCCCTACTGCTCTTATGTGTATATAAATCCGAATCTAGACTATAAGACTTTATAATTCTTATCCAGTATATACGAATGGAATGAAGCATAACAGATCAAGAATATTAAGTAAAACAATTTATTCTTACTTTAATTAAATTAATCGTTTATACAATATAGATTTGCCAACCATATACTCCATACATACTGAAGTTTAACTAAAAACTTACTCTGTTCGAATTCTATTTCCGATGACCTCCCAATCTGGTGGAAGATTAGGAAAATCATGATTAATTATAAATCCATTATGTTCAACTTTGAGAGGATTCTTTTGTATTTGACGTTCTGGTACTGAAAGAACCACCTCTTTACTCCATAATCCACAATTATTATTATTATGAACAGAAGGATTCAAACTGGTTTCATGCTGATGCTTTCTTTGACTGTGTTGTTTATGACCAGGAATTTTGCGATCACCGGAATAGGCATGATAATCTGACATAGTATTCCATTGCCATGTTACTGAACACAAGATTAATTCATTGACAGTATCTGTATCATTGCAGCTCGAATCAGGAGGCAATAAGCCTAACTTAACTGAATCAACCTGTGTTGAAGGATTTGAATAAAGTAAAAGGCAATCAAACAGTTTGGAAATCTTCTGCACTCAGCACAAATAAAAAAATTAGAGGATTTTCAACACTGATGGTCAATTAGTTCTTCTATATAATTTAGATAATTAATGCATCATGAAAAGCATTCCCAACAGTATGCAGGCTTTTATCAACAGCTTCCACCTGTCTGTCTGTTTTAGATATAGAACTTTGCACAAATGTGCGGCAGTTCAAGTCGCCACACTCCGTGTAGCACGCGAAGCAAGAGAAGAAAGTGCAAGAAAAGCATAATAGAGACAGTAAACAAAGGTATGAGACAAAGGAATAGTAATGTCGGAAAACAATATAGTTTTATTGAGTATTATAAGTCACAGGGAGTGGATGCATCTGAGCCAGCCATTGAGAACGATGATTTTGAGTCATATCACCGATTGTCTCCAGCTTTCATTGCTTTTTACCGTCCCGAGGACCCCAACCAGGAAGCCAGTTTACACCTTCTCACGTGACTGGCTGGGTTAAAATAACTGTTGTGGATTTCATTGACTGATGAGGCCATATTTCGTTTTGACTACCAGCACTAACTCTTTTCCAGCCTGACCCTATGTCAGCTAACATTTCCTGTCGAGGAAGACGATGGTTAGACTAAGCATGCGTAACACATGTCCTAACCATCTCAGTCGATGTAATTTCACAGCCTCGTCGATTGATTTTCCCTCCTTACCTAGAACTCGACGCCTAACCTCGATATTGCTTACCTTATTATACAACTCCACACGGGAGATAGAACGCAGGTACCCATAATAAAAGACAACCAACCAGGCTTTTCATGGCTTCCACTCTCAATGGCCAGGTCTCAGAGACATAAAGGAAGAAGGAGCGGACGCCTTTTGGTCGATAGCCGGATATCACGTCTACACCAGAGTCGGCGTAAACTGGGATATGCGAAACTAGCCCTTTGTATCCGTACTGAGATTTCGTCAGAGATCAACCCGTTGGGGAAACCTTTCAAGTGAACACAGTAATAAGACAGCTGCCTACTGTTACCGATGATATTCCTGATAGCCGTGGACTGAATCATGTGGAAGATAGTAGTGGGTAGGAAGATGACAGGAATACACTAGATCGATAAGAAGACTCTAGAAGACCGGGATTTCGCGAACGACTTATGTTTAATGTCACAGAAACTCGAAGAGACTTCCAGATGAAAACTATCACTGGGAAGACAGGAATTCAAGAGAACATAGAGAAGATGGAGGTGAAAGTAACTAACCAATAACAAGGACTAATCACTTTCAACGGAAGAAATTTGAAATAGTTCATTACCTTCACTCATCTAGGTAGCATCGTTTCAACAACATGTGACATATTTTTGATTGCATACTAGTCAGTAGCTAGTGTAATGTGTCTAGTCCTATCTTCGGTGCAGACTGAATTCTACCAGTCAAGCTTGCAAATGTGGCCACCATGCTAGGTGGCTCGCCATTACGGTGCACTGTAAGATGTTGGTATTAGATGGTTGGAGGCAATCGGCAGGAAGCCTTGAACCTAGGTTTCGTGCTAGATGACACTCATCAGCAAGGCGTATCTGCTGATGGCCAGCCACCTAGCATGGTGGCCACATTGCAAGCTCGACTGATAGAATTCAGTATGCAGCGAAGATAGAACTAGACACATTACACTAGTTACTGACTAGTATGCAATCAAAAATATCCAGTATAGTCCTACAGGAGGTCAATCGCGAGGCTGAATAGCTCAGTGGTAACGTCTCTGACTGCAGCACTCATTGGGTAACGCGGGTTCGAATATCAGAAGGGACATGAGTTCCTTTAAGGTTGCAGATGCACTTTGCTGACTGGTGAGTGACAACTAGCACGAAACCTAGTTCAAGCAAGGCTTCCTGCCGATTGCCTCCAACCATATAATACCTACATGTGACACGGATGAGGTAAGCCACACCTACATCACTCTGAAATCAGTTTGTAAACTTCCTGTAATTAACATGAAGAATAAGATTCGAACTTTTAACACTTTGTGGATAAATTATGTCTTTTGTTCCAAAAACTCCAAGGGAGAAAACCGAAGCGTTTGTAGGAGAGGCAGTGAGGACAAGATGGGAGAAATCTTAAGGAAGTTGTTTCTTCCACTTACCTAAGCAACAACGTTTTGACTACAGGCTGCACAGATGAAGATATCAAACCTAGGCTCGGAAAAGTAACATAGGCGTTCATACTCTGAAGTCGATGTGGAGATCAATAGCAGCAACTTGTACATAGAACATGATATAAATTTTCAACACTGATGTTAAGTTAGTGCTTTTATATGATTCAAACAAATTGGAGCGCATGCCAATGAAATCGTTTCCAACATCCTGCGGCAGAAATTCAGGATAGATTGTTGATTGAGATCATACGCCAAGCAGGTCCTTGAGTGGAACCAGAATTCGAAATTGCGAATCGGGTGTCTGAGGATGATTTGAAGGTTTTGTGGGGAGGCAAATACTAGCGTGAACCTGAAAGTTCATTAAGTTAGAGCTAACCTTAATGTGAATTATCTATGCATATATTTCTTTTCTCGGTCTCGTGATAAATAAATGTTCCGTTTCCTTTGGAACAGCTGTTTTTAAATGCAATCCAACATAACTAACTACTTCACTTCACAAAGTGAAAATGAATAAAAAAAACACCAAAGTTAAATACATAACTTATGATGAGATACTCCAAATTGTCTAGCTTACCTTAATTTGATTACCAAGAATTTCTGGATTTAAGCATAGTAATAATACTTTGAATTTCTCTTTAGATTCTAGAAGAAATTTAGATGACCATGTCTGAGAGATTTGATGAGTCGACGTATGCGCAGATAAAGGCTTGTTTATGACATTAGATGGTATATTTGCAGATGGAGAATATTCAATCTAAGAAGCCGAAAAAACAATAAGAAAAGGCTTAAAACGAATAATCACAAAAAATTGAATAGATACACCATTACTTATCAGTTTGTGCGTCGGCGGCACAGCAGTAGAATGCTCCCCAACCGCGTATGTGGTCTGGAGTTCAATCCCCGGCCAAAGCACTACTTTACCTTACTAAGCCAGTAGTAATAAGACTGGTAAAGAGGGAAGGTTGGGTATGAGGCTAGAAACCCCTAATCCAGTAAAAACAGACACCACTGCTGCTGAAAATTCCTGCCTCCAGATGGAGACCCTATGTCCCACCGCGAACGCAAAGGAATAAAAATACTTATCAGTCTTATAACACTGAAATGAAGTAAACCACTTACAAACAAGCATACAGAAATAATTTGGTGGCAAGGTCCAAATCGAATTAAGCATACCAAAACTTTCAAATCATGTAATTCATTACGTTATATTTAGTTGACTTTTTCTTAGATTTTCCCGTCGATTGATTGAACCTAAGTGCTCGGTCTCAGGTTGACATGTCGGCTTCTTGTGCAGATGCTTCGACGATGTCTAGGCATTTAATTGGTGGACAGTGCCTAATCTAAAAATTCAATTAAATTAACATGACCCGTTGCACAAGAGGTGGCTCTCGTGGCCCAAGTGGTCTAGTAAATAACGCTTTGGTGTTTGAAACTATGGGCATTGGGTTTGAGCCTCGGTGGGAACATCATCACTCACTGGGAAATGCAGGTACATCCAGCTGACGAGTCCCAAATAGGATGAAATGCGCATCCTGGATTCCACCGCTAGTCACCATCCACCAATTAAATTCATTATGTTATACTTCAAAATTATCCGGAAAGTTTGATTCAGTCTCAAAACATGAGATTAAGACATCTTGATGTAGCTGAAGTACTACAGATCTGCAAAAGTGAGTTCAGTTTCCACCACTACCACACACACACACACACAACTCGTTCCCAGAGTTCCTGGTTTCCAATCCTTCATGACAATCTGATGGTCTTCAGCGTGCAGCGAAGGCAACTGTTGATGAAAGTCTGCAGCAGCCTGCTGGAAATACTTCTCGTGACGTACATAGAAGAAATGACTTGGCATTAGCGTTGGAAATTCAGCTTTTCTTCTCCATGCGAAGTGGAGTAGATTTTCACACTGAGTTCAGATGAATAACGATCTGCCTCGCTTTTCCAACTCAATCTCTGACATCCTCATTTGTGTCACCTGTAGTTGAAACGATATGGTCTAGGTAGTGAAAAAGGTGGCTTCCTCTAAATTTCTTCTTGTTGTTATTGGTTAAGTATCTTCATCCCCACTGTCTTGACTATGTTCACTTGAAGTTCGATCATCGCTGCCAATACTAGTACTTGAATATCAGTAGTATTCACACAATTTATTCCAGTACATAGATTATAGTAGGATGTAGTTGATTTCATGGACAGGAAGGCTTCGTGTGCTTTTGGAAGTGTGTGGGCGGTTGTTACTTCCCGGCTGCCCACACCGTGGAAGTTTATTGATTCTTCAGGTAACTGAAAGAGACCGCAGAGCGCAGGGAACAAATGCTCGAGGCCGGTCACACACGGCCTGTATGAACTGGTTTCTGGGATTGGTTCCGTATTAGTTAACTAACCACCGGTTACGGATCACCATAGGGTAAGTAGAGATGTACAATTCTCGGAGTCAACCTTTTCTAACCTCCTCTCTCCGGAGTGGAGAGACAGCATAGCTGGCATGCTGGTCATCTGAGGGAAACACCTCACTGCTGTTACACCCTGTTCCCCAGCGGTACGACTTCACCCTCAGACCCCCCAGCACAGTGTTACACAATGCCGGTAACTGCTTTTATTCTAATCGCTATCCTAACAACCTTCCTGGTATGGTAGGACCAACAGGAACATTGATTCCAGTCAGTGCAGCTTGTTGGGTCATCGCGATGTGCAAACCCAACCACCACGTCAAGGTAGCAGCGATCGGTCGGGGATTTCATCGACAACAAAAAAAGAAAATTACTATGTAGTGTGGAGATGCCTAACTTGAATCGGTTACACACCTGTTTTTTAACCAGTATGAGTGAAATGAAATATCTTAACCACCGTGAAATATGCCTATAATTATAGTCTGAAGCTTTATATCAGTGAACAACAAAAGCACGACATGCAAAACCTAAAACATATACGTATATCTATTTCAGGTTAAGCCACGGAAAGCTGTTTCATGATAGTTTGAAATCATCGGCTGTACACATTCACGACTTCTCACTAGAACTCCAGGTAACTTCACCCTGTAGGCAGTCACTAGTGACCAGTGGGGTCTATGTAGTCGGGAGTAAGGATGGATGTCCCACCGATGACATTGACTGGTGGTCGCACCAAAATCACTAATCGGTAGAAGTTAGAATTCATGGGCTGCCCGTTGAATCTGATCCCCGTGGCTGAACGCTACACACAAGTTTGCCTTATAACCAGAAGACTGGGTTCGAAACTCAGTGAATGTGTACAGCCGACGATTTCCAAACTATGATGAAATAGCTGTCCAGTGCTCCCTTATCTTTCAATGGTTCTCTAACTGATATCAATATATGGTCTAACCTGAAACAAATAGAATCCCTATATATATATATATATATATATATATATATACTTGAGTAAGAATTGATAAATAATCTGATATTACCTTGTGAGAGAAGTTCACTGTGACATGATGAATGAGAAGTGGTAAAGGAGCGAAAGACCTGTTAAAATAAATAAATAAATAAGAATAGTAGTATAAGCAAGAGAACAACAACAAATTGCTGAATATTTTAAACTCTACGGGGATAATAATATTCAGTCTGTTGATATGTCATTCAAATAAAAATAGGACACCATTTCAACTTGAATTTAAATACACTCGTTTTAATACTTATGTGATACGAAGTTGCTCCCTTGAGGAACTATAGACAATATAAGAAGAATGGATGCTGAACAAAGAGAATTCTTTTCGATAATTTCATTATCAGCCTCTACAGTTATATATATACATTATAGTGAATGAATGAATTAGTGTTATGAACAACATTAATGCTGTTTAAATAACATCGAATCAATAATATTGATAGATTACAGTTCAGTAGCACCAACATAAAATAAGCTGAATGTCAGAAAAAATAGGAAAGATAATAGTACAAATTCATGAGTTTATAGCTTCTACTAAAGGTCAGCCAAGGCAGCAGTAGTAGGGGCTGGGCTTGCTTCTTTTGGACACAGAGTGCTGGTTGTTTGAGGCGAATCGCAATAGCCTCTGGTGTTTGGAGCCTGCGGTGCTTCGATGTTTTTGCCAATTTATTTGGCACTCGGTATAATATAGAGAAGGATTCTTCTACGCTGGCTTTCTGGCCGGTTTGCACCAGATGATCCAATATCGAACTGTTAATGGTTTTAACCACACCTTTACTTAGCCATACTGCGAGATGTTCTTCAGCACGAAAAATCAAGTTCCTAGAACAACGGCCAATATAACTCGCTCCACAAGTTCAGTTGAGTTGATATATACAATTTGAAGCGGCTAGTCTAGGTACTTCGTCCTTCAGTCGAGGAATCACCAACGGTCGTGTAGAGAACAAGACGTGTAGTTCGCCAACATTAAAAGTTCTTTGAACTTATTTTCTTAATTTCTTCGTAATTATCTCGCTTGGTATATCACCCCTGAATTGGAGTCGTATATAAAGTGGTTTCTTGTTTACAGATAGTGAGTAATCCTTTTCAGTTTTCTTTGTCGTGTGCTTCTTGATAAATTTTTCGGGACAGATATTTTCGATCGAAGTATCATATACAATGTTTAATTCGTCTTCATTTACTTCTTCTGAGCACATAGCTCTAACTCTGTGGCTGAGGGTCTTCACTAAATTTCTTTTGTACTTGATAAGAACGAGGCTGTGAAAATGTATATATTGTCCTGTCTAAGTACTTTTCCTATGCAAATTTTCTTTTATGCTGCCATCTGCTTTTCTGGTAAGAAGGATATCCAGGAAGGCAATTCTGTCTTGGGATTCCTCTTCGCATCTGAATTTCATAGCCGAATCTACTTCATTGGATTCAGTAATTACTGTACTCCTATCCGAATCATTATCACAAAGAATGAAGGTTCCATCCATGTAACGGCAATAAAATGAGAACTTACTGATAAGGTTGCTCAAATGTGCATTTTCTAGCTTACTCAGAAAGAAATCAGCCAAAATGGGACCCAATGAGGAGCCCATTGCCACCCTGTCCACTTACTGTACTAAATTTTGGTTAAATTTTGTAACCGATACCTAATATATAATCACTTATAAAACAAACTAACTGAGTGGCGCTTCAATCTTAGCATAAGAGTAGAACTTAGTCATTACAGCATATGCCCTCTCCGTAAGTCCATTTTTCAGGCATATCATACAGTTACACGGAAACATACGTGAATCAATAGAGAGCATAACACGAGGGTGCCTCAGTTCAAGCTTTCACATTCTGAAAGAGTACATGAATCATATAATTTATAATAAACCAGATAACTGAGAGACAGAAAACGTAGAATAACTCAATCAGCTGATGAATTTACGTAAAAGTGGCTCCTAAAACCCCAGGACCCAAAGAAGTAATATAAATACCCTTACAAAACTTAAAACCGACATTCAAAGAATTCTGAGAAGAGCGATATGACAGTGTTGTTGATATTAGATGATCGGAGGCACATTGGAAGGAAGCCTTGCCTGACCTAGGTTTCGTGCAAGTTGGCACCCACCAATCAGCAAAGTGTAGCTGCAACTGCCTTCAAGGAACTCATGTCTCTTCTGAGATTCGAACCGGAATCACCCAGTGATGCAGTCAGAGAAGTTACCACCGAGCTATCCGAGCTCGCGACTGACCACCTCCTGTAGGACTGTGTTGGATATATTTTTGATTGAACACTAGTAACTAGTAGGATGTGTCCAGTCCCCTGTTCGGGGCAGACTGAATTCTATCGGTCACTGGGCGACACAGGTTCGACTCTCAGAAAGCAAATGAGTTCCTTCGAGGTTGTAGATACCCCTGAGCTAACGAATCAAATTTCTAACTATGTTATAGGATGCGAAACCCACCTAACCAAATCCTACATAAAGTTCATAATGTTGCTTTCTTGTGTAGTGACACTGCAGAAGTTTTCAATACTCAATTTCTGTTGTTAACAATAAGATGAATAGTATCAATGTATCCTGAGAGAAGAAGTCATCTTTCCTACTTGTTTCTTACGAACCTTTATATCATTGAACAAAAACAAAATCAGTAATAAAACATACCAACATGCATATTGTCATTTAAGAAAAATCAAAATTAGCAATAATGAAAATATACCTTAGGAATATAGCCAATTGAACTGGTTGGCCATAAGTGTATTCTCCTTGCGTAAAACATACTTTGCACTGGACTGGAATTAAACAAATAACAGAAACGGATGAAAAGCGTATCACATAAGCCGACGGCATTTTATGAGTTTTTGTTTTCATCAGTGAAACAGCAGAAATCGCATTAGTTATTTATGTCCGAACCAAGTTCACTTTTAACAGTTTGAAAAGAAATCTAGGCATTGGGTATATGATATTCATTATAATAAAGGTTTTTCATTCATTAGGAAATAAAAAAACCTTTATTATAATGAGAAATCATATTAGTTTATAGGTTGTTCAACAGATAACTTCTAATTTTGATATAGTTGCGTTCTCTGAGCGAAGCTTTCATTGCCCTACTAGGCAACATCTACAGCGCATCCTTTCATTTTGAAGTGAGCTTTTAGATTTCTCCACGAGTTTATAAGTCACCTCTCTCCTGGTGACCTTGAACGTGACTGATTGTTTTTGTATCTCTTCACACCCTCCAGCCTTCTTGTATTTCTATAGGTGTTGAGTGTTTCCTTGACCTGAAGTTCGACCCTTTCTGTTTCAGATATTATCGATTGGTAAATTTTTGTCTATGTCAATGTGTGGATTCACTGGGATACCCAGCTTTTAAAAATTCTCTAGCATTCTTGGTGTTTCCTTTGTCTAATATTTGAACGCTGTCCCAGTCTAACTGAATTTCGTGGTGGTCTGTATGTAATGGTATGAGGGAGTGAATGTCATGTCTTTTGACGGTTAGCTTATGGTCTGGATACGAAGAGGAAGGAGATGTCCACTTTGGCCAATGTAGTGATTTCCGCAGTTGCTACAATTTATTTTGTAGATGATGTTGGTTTTATCTTCTTTCAGTGTTGAGTCTTTTGGTTGACACAGAGCTGAGTGAATTGATTTTATTTTGTTGGTTTGTGTGAGACATCAATGCCTAAAAGTTTGAAGAGTCTTGCAGTGAATTCTGAGATATCTTTTATATATGGTAGGGAGATTTTCTTTGCAATTTCCTTGGTGGGTCCTTCGATTTGGTAGGTTGGCTTTGGAGTTGATGTCTTTTTATAAAGTTCCTTGGATATTCATTCTTTTGGAAGACGTCCACGAGACATCTTTCTTCAGTTTTCCTAATGTGGGAGTACTGCAATGACTCCTGGCCTTCTTGAAGATGTACACCTAGTAGGGCAATAAAAGCTTCACAAATAAACCATCCAGCTGAGAGAAAACAACCACATCAAAATCATCCAACTGGGCTACAAACCTTCTCCATCATATCTAGATATCTCTAATGCAGCAAAGTTTACGCATTTAACAGAACACGATGCTATATTCTATTGATTGACTGATTTGAGTAGTTACATACCACTTACATCACCTAGTACGGCATGCTAACGACATCCAAGTTATCTAAGCGCCAGAAGGCTCATTCGACGCAGAACTCACCATGTTGTGTAGCCAGTTTCACTTAGCTCCGAGAAAGAAACCAATTCAAACCAGCCGAATTTTTTGGATAACTACTAGAGTGAATTGTCATTGACGGGAGAGATTTAACAGAGGTGGCCTCCTTCACTTATCCGCTAAGCATCGTTTCGACTACAGGCAGTCGGAACGGACGAAGATGTCACAGTGAGACAGTATCGGAAAAGCAAGACAAGCCTTCATCAACCTGAAACCAGTTTCGAAATCTTCGGCACTCAGCATAAGGAACAAGATTCGCATTTCCAACACCAATGTGTAACCAATTCTTCTATACGGGTCAGAAACGTGTACAGCGTGTCACAGAAAGGATTTCCAACCGCCTGTTGCAGACTTTCATCAACAACTGCCCGCTTCGCCGGCTCCATACTGAGGATCAAATGGCCAGAAAGAATAAGCAACAAGAACCTATGAGAAGAAACCAACCAAGAACCGATCGCTGAACAAATATGTAGGAGAAATTTGAGATGGATCGGGCATACATTGAGGAGGCCGCCGAATGACATCGCACGCCAGGCCATCGCTCGAGTGGAGTCAAATGAGAAGCGAAGAGTGGAACGTTCTAGGGTGACATAGAGGAGATCGTGTGCGGAAGAGATGAGAGATTATGGCAATTGTGGATCCAGCTGAAGAGGACGGCAGAAAACAGAACAGAATATTTAGCCCTGGAAACTGAAAAATTCGTATATCTTCATCAGCTGATAATTACTGCGGCTTAAAGTGAACTGAGTTGGCTCATTTCCGATCAGTGCACCATAGGTTAGAATCCTGTTTTACTTTCTGAATTACCATGAATAAGTAGACGTGTACCTTCATAGCCCCAGTATACAAGGATGCACAAAATAATCAATTTCCATTATATTACATTGATACATAATGAGTTGAAGCTGCTTAATTTAACAAATAAAACACCATGCTTATTCAATAGTAGACATGAGACTACTTTAGGTGTAGAAAACTAATTAAATTCACTCAACGTACTAACAGAATCCAACTAACTACCGGCTATTAGAGTTTAGTGATTGACTTTCCTACTGGAATTCCCTGGCATTTAGCCTCCGGTCAGTAGTGTAATGCAAGTCGACAACAAAAACAACAAAAAACACTTCTGGGTTTACTTTTCAACTTACTACATGTAATCAAACGTGTAATATCCAAAGATATTTTGCACTTTGCTCCTGAATAGGATGAATCGGTTTTTTTGCTTTCTGATTGATCGTTAGAAACATTATCGTCTAGTGTGGTTGAATTTTGACTAGTCATCTCTTTATGTGAAGATTCTGGTTGGGTATTAACAGTATTATTCATTAGTAGGTCTAATTGTTTCTGCCATCCATCTTCAATCATTTTCACGGTATGATCAAGTTCAGGTGCAAACATTATGAGATTAGGTACACCGGTCTGAAATGAGAAGGTATATAATATAAATAGCCAGCAATAAAAAGGGGAAACAATAAACATACTTCAAAATCATAGTCAGGTGATGATGCACTGCACTGCTAAAAATTAAACTGACAGTTAGGAGAGAACTTCGGAACTATAGCAGAGCATAACTAACTGATTGTAACACAACACAGATATACAGTGATTATGCGTAATTAACACAATAAAATTTGGGCATAGTTGAATTTTTAAAATTTTCCGTAGAAGAAAACCAAGAAACGTGTTTCCTATAATAATATGTGGATTTAATAATTAAAGGGTTTGTGTGATCGACTACCAGTTGACAGTGATATGGTAATCCGAATGCAGAACACCTTCGGCAAAGCTGTCATCTAGCCAGAGACAGCACAACAGAATATCCTGAACGCCAACTGTACCTTTGAAGATGTTTTAAATTGCTCTTTATGAATTAATTCTTTATGAATTGAGTCATGCAGGACGAAAAGGTCAGACGTTTTGAGGTTTTGCTTCCTATTTGTTTATAAAGTCAAAATGTAAACAGGGCGAAGTTAAACTTTCGACACCACTAACTACCAATCAGCGAATTATCCAATGAGATTCACGAACGATGTCGAATTATCCAATGAGGCTCACGAACGTAGTTCAATGTTGTATAGCGCTTGATTTATTTCAAATGCGTGCCCTTACAAGGTTACGCTTGCAATTCGAGAAAGATAGTGTTTTCCACTATTGCCTGGATTTAGGGTTGCTCCGGAAGGAGCAGACTTGTTCGTGTGGTGGTATCATGACTTTAAAAAGCTATAGCAGATCAACTGATGGATTTGTTCACCGTTGTGCTATATGTTTGAAGCGTGCTAGCATTAGAGAGGGTAGGCTGATTATTTTAATATCTCGTAGGAACTTTTTTCGCTAGGTCGAATCTCTTCCTAACCCAGATTTTGTATATCTGCAACTACTGGGTGTTGAAACAGCCGGTTAGAGCAGCAGCAGCCGAGACGGAGAATAGCCTCGTCTCAACAGTTCAGTGGTACCAGTATTGCAGAGACATCGCATCATGGAAAATGGAGAAAATCACTTGTTTGCTGGGTGGAGAAGACGTTATCGTGCATGTCGATGAAACAGTGCTGGTAAAAAAGAAAGGATTTTGGGGCAGATTGAAAAATAGGATAAGGGCTATAAATGGATCTCAAAAGGTTCTCATTTATAGTCATTTGGATGAATATATGTACAGGATGTTGTGTAACTTCTCCATTGACAGTCTTATGCTAAACTGGGAGATGTTTCTCTCACATGTTCGAGAAAGATATCCCATGTAACTTTTTTGTTATCTATTTCATGCTTTTTTTTCTATAAATATACATTTCCATTCATCATATATGCCTCTTTAATGTGATTGGTCCGTTCAAGGTCGTTTGCTGATTGGTTGTTAGTGGTGTCTAAAGTTTAACTTTGCCGTAAACAGGACCGTTAGAGAATAGTATGCTGAACTACATATAACATCTAAAGAAAATGAATCTAGTAGAATATCTAGTAATACAGAAAAAATACAAGCATCCTTTACTTTACAGCGAACTGCATAATTGTTCGGTGGTTGAAGACTATCCGCAGGAAGCGCTAGATCTAGGTTTCATTCTCGCTGGCAGTCGTCAGTAAGGTATGCTGTAACCTCGAGGGGACAGATATCCCCACAGAGGTTCATATTCGCCCTACCCATTGTACTACAGTCAGAGACATTACAATTAAGCCATTGGGGTCCACGACTGACTTGCTGTAGGTCAGAGCTTCCTGTTGACTGTCTCAAACCACTCTTAACATCAATTCAAATTACACCACGATGGCGAGTTACCTATAGCTTAATGACCATATTGCGAACTTGACCAAGAGAATTCAGTCAGCACCAACACTGAGGAGTAGACACACATGACTTTGATTAATCCAGTGATCAATCAGTGTAATCTGCAGCGCTATCTTTCAATTTATGTAAGGCTTAGCAAACCACCGTTGATTGGATATTAGTCTTGATCATTAATGCATTACCAAGGCACAAACAGTATCACATAAATAGTGGCTGTTGGGAAGAGATTCTGGCAACCATTTCACACAAACATACATGTCGAAGAAAACATATGACACTGAGGATTTTCGCATTCAAACTTCGAAGGTCTTGTTAACTAAATAACAGTGGTAGGAGCTGTTAAAATTAACGTAGTGTGCTATACCATGCTTTATTCATTAGATTTATTTCCTTAGTATTCTCTGTAACCTACAATTGTATAAACACAACTTATACACGCGCTGCAGTATTTTTGTTGTACTTTAGATTCAAGTTTTCTGAGAATAACTTTTGAATTCAGCCTACCTATAAACTTCAGTAGTGCTTAATCACTGAAAGCCTTCCAAAGAAATTGTAGAGCAACTAAACCAAGAAACTTTGCAACATTCAACATATAAATGCTTTTGATTGGACATCAGTTAGCGACTACTGTAATGTGCCTAGTCCTCTGTTTGGTGCAGACTAAATTCTCAGAAGGGACATGAGTTCCTTCAAGGCAGTTGTAGATACGCCTTGCTGATGAATGCCAACTACCACGAAACCTAGGTCAAGAAAGAATTCCTGCCGACTGCCCCCAACTATCCAGTATGCAAATGCTTACTACAATCAATGTGTAGAGTGCATACGAAATTAGACGATGAAGGTTATCCAGACATAAGATAATTTCCCACGTATTGAAGATCTGCGCAGTGAACCCCCGAAACAACTTGTAGGATGTCAGTACTGAATCCCGTTACCCAGGGGTTAGGCAGTCTGACTGATAATTTAATATTAAGGCAACACACTAGCATCGTCAAATGCTCTCCATTGTTTAAAATATTCACAGTACTCTGGATTTCAGAAATGGCTAGAGACCACATATGAATATTTCTCATTAAGTTTACGTGTACCGATGATGACTACTGGAGAATAACTGTATAACATCTTAAATGCTTCACATTAATTTTGGTATCTCCCTCAGTGCCTGAATAGCTGACCAGTCTACTTCAACACAGTCCCACTGACTGACTTTCCTACCTCTGTCTATTTAATGAAGCTGAATAACAACTAACTAGTGAAGACGTAAAAATTTCCAATATTTTATTTGCATCTGACCACTAAGGTGTTGACTATTAGGTCGGGAACAGCACATGATTAGTGATAGGAAATGTGTTCCAGAAACAGCAGCTGTCTCTCTTATCAACATTAACCGATTGCAGTGTGGCACATTAGTAGTTTTAGGCTAATGATTTCTATATCTGTCCAAAATTAACGATAATATCTAGGAGTAATCTTGTTCTGGAAGACCAGGAAGTGTTAAGATCACGAGATGATAATGCGCATTGCTCAATGACTATTCTCTATAGCGGGTAGTATCATTCACTTTTATCCCTATATGGTTGGTTGGTTGGTTAGTTAGTTAGTTAGAACACAGTTTCCACGCGTCAAACTTGAAAATTATTGGATATGTGAAACAAGTGTGTAAATAACCATATTCATTTCCGCAATTTTGCCCTGTTCACCGACCGCACTCCTACCGTGTCATTCTATAATTTAATTTATACTATAAAAATATAGTACACGCCTACGCACGATTTTTTGTTGATTTGAAGCAGTTACAAACAGAAAAACAAGGACAACTTGGTTGTTGGCGCTTCCGTCAATTTTAGGAAGCTTTCAGCAGGACTTCGTCTTTTATTATTCTGTCCGAACCGAAACTATTCAATGCACATCTACCTGTTACCGAGAGAACTTGAAGTTTAACTATAACCTTTCCGTTATAGTATTCACTAAATTACCTAGTTAAAGAATATAACAGGGAAAATCAGCTTCTCTAAAAGCATTAAACACTGGACAGTAAAACAGGTCTCAAGTCCCAGAAAAAAATAGTGTCAAAACGAATAACCACCAATAGATTCAAGTGGTAACTGCCTTATGGTACTTCCTACGGTACACTACTTAAAAACGATACATTCATCGGGTTGAAAAACTTAAAGTTAGAAGCGACCACCGAGCTAGTGATAAAAAATTAAAATCTTTTACTTTATCATTTATAAAACCGATTCACACTGCGATTCAAATACACAGTTATTGTATTTCTTAGAGATAATATTTATAACGTCAACTATCTGTACTAATAGTTACAATCATGACATAGATCCTATGGCATACATAAATCGCCGTTTTGAACCCTAAATGATACGATGAGGCTGTCTAGCTGTTTATTCCCTTTAACTGATGTTTCAATACACGCCTTTCCTTCTAGTAAGATGGATGATGCAAACCCTGTCGTCTAATAGCCTTTCTCGCTATATGAAAATAGGTAAATAGCTAGAACTAAGAATGCTGACGACTAGGATTCCAGTCACCGACGGGAAATCATGTCTATTGAAGCTGTAGATACAACTTTCTGACGAGTGCGTACGAGAATAACACTTAGTTCTAGGTTTTCCTGCCATCATCTAATTGAGGGACTAGATCAGTTTTAAGATTTCGTGTTTGTAACGCATTTACATCATTTATTAAAGATGTTAACTGTTTCTGAATCTATCTCCCTGTAGAGAATAAATTGTCCCTAGTGGATTGAGATCAACCACACACTCCCAGTTAATTTAATTGATTCATGGCACTACAAACGGTTAGACGGGTAGATAGATGTTTGATAATTACAGCTTTATTATCTAAGCATATTCAACGCTTTTTCTGTGATAGTAGCAGCTAGTCTGTCTGTCTGTCTGTTTTCGACATAGAACTATGCACAAATGTGCGGAAGTTCAAGTCGCCACACTCCGTGTAGCACGCGAAGCAAGAGAAGAAAGTACAAGAAAAGCATAATAGAAACAGTGAGCAGAGGTGTGAGACAAAGGAGTAATAACGAAGAACAAAACAGTTTCATTGGAAATCATAAGTCACAGGGAGTGGATGCATCTGCGCCACTGAGAACGGTTTTGAGCCATGTCACCAATTGTTTCCAACCATAGATTTTTAACGTCCCGAGGACCCCAGCCTGGAAGTCTACACCTTTCTACGTGGCTTAGACCAACTGTTGTGGATTTCATTGACTGATGCCAAGTTTTTGTTTGACCGCCGCTAGCTTTTCTCCAGTCTGACCCTATATCCGCTAACATAGCTCGTCGAGGGATTTTAGGCTTCAGATTCCATCGACAAGATACAATCATATTAATTAACACATAGACTATCCATTTCACATGCTTGACTCCTCTAAGAACTTTGCACACATCTGTGAAACTGAAAAAAAAGTGGAGGGCTTTGTATGACTGTGTCATTATTCACCGTTATTATTTACGACTTAGTACTAGGACTGAAGATCTATACTGAAGATCAGATGGCCGGGCGGGAAAGAATACCCAACAAGAGACTATGGCTGGGAACAAACAAAACAAGAAGTAATCGCCAACCAACAAATATGCAGGAGAATATGGAGATGGATTGGACACTCGCTGAGGAGGCCGCTGGGTGACATCGCGCGCGCGTCAGGCCATTGCTCGAGTGGAACCCGAAAGGGAAGCGGCGTGTGGGACGTCCAAGGGTGACATGGAGAAGATCGTGTGAAGAGGAGTTGAAACAGTATGGACTAACATGGATGCAGGTGAAAAGCACAGCAGAAGCGAGACAGAAGCAAGTGGAGACGTGCAGTTGAAGCCCTATGTTTCACTAGGAACCCAAGGGAACAATAATAATAAATAATATACTAAGGACTCTGAACACGACAGTGTATTGATACCACTTCATGAACTAAATGTAATCACGATGCATGATAACTCACCTTAAGAAAATCAAAAATAGCCTGTTGAGCTTGTATTTTCTCAGAGTTAGATATCAAGCTATCTAAAATACATTGAACAGAGGAAAATATAATAATTTTTGAAATACAAAATATACAGGAATAAAGCAAAGGTGTTTTACAGATAACTTTTTTTTAAATAAATGAATGATGGTGACTTGTTCAATGAAATGAAAATTAATTCCAATCTACTAGTTAACTTTTTGCATCTCAGAAATGTAGATGATCATATGCAACATACATACACACATACATACATACATAAATACACTTACAAAGGAAATGAACCAATAGAAATTACTTAAAATGCTTTACATAACAACGAAAACAAGAAATACGCTAAGTGTAAAAATGTAGAATACATTGTGATGAAAATGCATATTCGTTTATTCAGATTGTCATGAATAGCATTCATCTAAGTGATGTTTAGGAATTTCCTATTCAGCATCCTCATTTTACTTCAAAAAAGAGAATGTGGGTCACGGCCAAAAAACATCCATGTAAACCACTAAACGTTTAAATACTGACTAAGTGTAACTCAATCTTCCAAGGTTATTCCACACTTTTCTTGTATTTGGTGTGTGCTGTTGTTGTTGTTGTTGTTGACGTTGATTATGCTGATGACGATGAGTAGTCTTCATTTCAAAATGTCCAAACATAATACTTTCTAATGAAACAGTTGAAAATAAGCCATTTTGTTCCACAACCCCCTGAGGAACTAATTTATCCAAGTCAAGATAACTACCAATAAAGGCTTTCTGTACTTCTTGAATAAATCGTGTACACTCAGAGTCAGCGGGATCATATTTACACTCGTCAAACTTTTCTATCTCCTTCGGTTTATTAGATGATGATGATGATGTTGATGATATAAAATAAGAAAATCCAAAGCATTTTACTAGAAGACTCCATGGAAAACAGGAAAATAATCGGCAAGCGCATAGTTTATTAGAAGATTTTTTATAAGAGGAGTCTGTATTCACAGATTTCATGCTTCGTTTCATACGTCCTGTTTCCTTTACTTAGTTATATTGTGGTAAATGTTTACACATTTAACTCCTTAATAGCTAGTTATTGGAATCGCACCATCTATTATTTGGTCCAACATGCAAATAACTTTGCATAGACAGTCCGAAACATCCATTGTACATCTCAGATGTTAAATTAGAGAACTACACACAATTTTGATCACTTTGAAGGATATATACTCCATTTGGTATAACCATTTATTATTAACACAGAGAATACAAAGAAAGTATACAGAAAACAACTAACTATTCATCGTCCAGTCGATATACCCTATTGATCAGGCATGTGATTTCTGTTTAAAAATGACTGACCACAGATAAACTATGATTCTTACGAGTTGATCACAGATTGATATCAGTTAGACAGGACCATTGAAAGCCAGTGAGTACTGAACAGCCAGCTGTTTCATCCTAGTTTTGGGGATCATCGGCAGTACGCAATCACCTCTAGGGTTCGAATCCAAGACCTTCCGGTTACAATGCAAGCTCGTGTACCATTCAGCCACTGGGACCCGATTCAGTGGCCACTGCATGAATTCTAACTTCTACTGGATTCGTGATTTTGTGCGACCCCAACCATTGTCATAGGTGGGACATCCATCCTCACACGTAACATCTGGATGAGCCTCACTGGTCACGACTTCTCACTAGAACTCCAGGAAACTCTGTCCTGTACCAAGTCACTAGTGAGCATCAGATTAATTTTCTATATAAGATTGGTCATTAGTATGTACTTTTGTTTTTTATTTAACTGAGTAATTTTCATGAACTTTATTTTATCATTGTTAACCATGTTAGTTGTAAAGCGGTTGTCAAGAAACTACGAAATGATATCATCTCGCGAAATTTGTCTTCTTAATGCCTTGTTCTAATTTTCTATAGTTTGGTTTGTAAATGGGTGTGAACTGCCGATGATTCCCAAAACTAGGATGAAACAGCTGTCCAGTCCTCCAGTGCCCATTTTAATGGTTCTCTAGCTGATATCAATCTGTGATCAACTCGTTAAAAACAAAACTAACCCTTACAAACCAAACTATAGAAAACACTATGATTCACCTAAAGTACTTTAAACAACTCTAACAATTTCACAGTATAACTACTCTTTGACGAATACCTTCATATGAGAAAAGATATAAATTTTATTTTTATTTTTGATCGCAGCTTGATTCCACACTGTATTTTTTTGGTACAGGTATGGAATTTTCAGCATGTGATATCGGTAGCCAAAAGTTTGCAGGCTGACCATCGATATCAGGTGTGCGTCCGCAAAGGGGTTAAACCTCGGACCATGTGCATGGTCGGCGATATTCCTAACCACTGTGCCACCGACGCATCCTTCGGGCATTGTGAACACGTCCTTTATGTGGAATTTTTATTATTTTCTTGTCTCTAGCATAATTCTTATCCAATCATTATAACCATTTACTTATGTTAAACTATAAAGATTTCATCAGCATTGGAGAACACTGGAACTCTCTGGAAGCTAATTGGACAGAAACCTGCATAAACATCTTAGGCAAGATGAAGTGAGGAAAGTAATAGCTTTTCTCTACGGACACCTGGAACAGATTGAAGCAGATGGAGAGCAGTGAAAGATAATGAAGAAACCCCAATGTGATCAAAGAGGTAAAACAAAAGAAACACTGGGTTGATCACTTCAGAGGAGTCTTGAATTGAACGCCCCACTTGCAACTCATCCAGAAATAATATCAGCGGACAAAAACTATGATTGAACATCTAACCTCCAACACACAGAAGTCTTGAAGGTCATAAAGCATCAAGATTAGACAGGAGCTCGGCAGAAGAAGCACTGAAAACGCACAGACACGCTCATACAAATACCGCAGGCGTAAAAGGAAGGAAAGGTGCCTGCCGATTGGAAGAAAAGCTACCTTGTCAAACTGCCAAAGAACAAATGCTTAAACCCTAAGTTCCACTCGAAACCCAATAAGCAAATAATAATAATGATATTTATGAATAGATACGTGAAAGTCTCCGAAGGTACAGCTCTGTACATCAGAAATCATTTGCACAAAGTGATATTTTATCGCCACTATCACACTTAAGTTATTCCGACTTTAAAAGAATCAACATAATGTGTTAGTTTCTTGTATAACATAAACCACAGACTATTTCACATAAAATACCTCTCTTATTCAAGACAACGCAATATCTTAAAAGATATTAGTGTGTGTTATTCGGCTAAGATTTTGACAGAAAGGCAATGTGTTTGTAATCCAACATATCCTAACCTCCCCTCCCGGACGTACTAATCTTGGAAAACTGCCTACCAAACCAGCATTAAGTGTGATTAATAGTTTTTTTAATTGCAAAAACCATAAACTTGGCAATTACTTTGCATCAATATTACTTCTATATGTCTATATCTCATACTTGAAAAGCTGCACTCATATAATAGTGAAGTACTACATTTGGTAGCTTCTAAGGTTTCCTAGATCAGGTAAGGACTCCTAGGCTAGAGTCATCAGGATGCTTCGAATCAATAATTAGAGACTGATGGTAATATAATACTTAAAATCGCTCGCTATGCTATGGAGTATCCACTTCTTGAGAACATCGAACATCTTCCAGATTCTAGAAATTCTCCTCCTTCACATTTCCGCCTATCGGAATTACACTACATGTCTGTTCTCTACTTTCAAGTATGCTTTTCCGATGTATGGCAACCCTTGCACAAACTTCTACCTTGATGAATCAATCAATCCTTTGTCAATGTCTATAAAGTAAAGTAATCAGGCAAAAGTTTTTAAATCTGTATCTAAGAGCATATTTTGTTGGTTAACTGTAAAATCATATTCACTTAGAGGAGGCAAAGGCCCAAATTCCTTTTATCATTGAATTGGTGGATGGTGACTAGCAGTGGAATCCAGGATGCGCATTTCGTCCTATTTGTGACTCGTCATCTGGATGTACCTGCATTTCCCGATGAGTGATGATGTCCCCACCAAGACTCGAACCCAGTCCCTTTGATTTCAAACGCCTGAAGCGTTATCCACTCGGTGGGAACATCATCACTCACTGGGAAATGCAGCTGACGAGTCCCAAATAGGACGAAATGCGCAACCTGGATTCCATTGCTAGTCACCATCCATCAATTAAATACTAATTAAATGCCCAGACATCGTCGAAGTATCTGCACAAGAAGACGACATGTCAACCTGAGACCAAGCACTACGATCCAATCAATCGACGAGAAAATCTAATATTTAATCAAATCATTTATCATACCAAAACCAATTTTCCATTGTACGAATAAAACTAGAGGTCCTGGGTTCGACCCTCCTTATACAGATGTGGACTACTGAAAAATACTTCTATTGTGATGTGAACCAGCTGGCTGTTATTGAAAAAAAGTTATTCTTTGATAGAAACCATTATCATCTAGTTATGAAAGCTTAATCGTGTAATCGAAGAGGCTAACTACTACTAAAAACACTTCCACTTTGCATTAATATTTTTCTAACAAAAGAAAAAGAAAACAGTCAAAAAAAAATTGAAAGTACGGCAGTTTGCTAGACAATAAATTAACTTTGTCAAAAGAAATCTGAAACTAAAGAACTTACTAGGACCAAGTAGTTCCAAACATGAGGACAGAAATATTGTGGGTTGAGCGACTATGTATGCACACCTAAAATGTAATCAATATTTTAATTATAACATATGAATCATACAATGCAGCTGCAATCAAATATTTGGACTACTACTACTGTAGATAGAAGAGGTATAGAGGAAGCTGACAGTCTTTTGCCACCAGTAACAGATTGTTAAAAAAGAAAATACTAACACAAATGAAATAAATTATATGACTGCTTTTTCTGATTTGAACTTTAAGAAGATAATTTTGTCGTCGCTTGCACTTCGAATGAGACATAGGGCTACAACCTAGATAAAAAACTTCAACCGGAACAAGATGGATTCAGGAGAAACAAATCATGTATTGATCAAATCCTCACTCTACGGATCATCATTGAACAAAGCTTGGAATGGCAGTCACCTCTCCACCTCACTCAACTTCATCGACTTTGAAAAGGCCTTCGACAGCGTCGATCGAGAGGTGATTTGGAAACTTATTCGCTACTACGGGGTCCCATCGACAATTATACATCTCATCCAACAGTTAGTTGTACGACAATGCTGCATGCCAAGTAATCCACAACACGAAACTTACGGAAGCCTTCGAAGTGAGGATGGGGGTGAGACACGGCTGCCTACTATCACCAATGATCTTCCTGATTGCAGCAGATTGGATAATGCGACAGACAACAGGCAATGAGGAAACAGGCATAAAATAGACTCACACAAAAAATCTGGAGGATCTGGACTTCGCCGATGATATACGCCTGATTTCCCACAAACTGGAAGATATGCAAGTGATGAAAAGCAACAAGTTGGCAGAAGAAGCATCAAAGATAGGACATCACTTCAGGTGAACATAGGTAAAACAGAGGTGATGAAGATTCCTGGCCAACACCAACACCAGCAACAACAACAGACAACAACCAGCCAGCATAAATGGGAGGAACCTGAAAGAAACAACTTCCTTCACCTACCTGGGAAATATCGTTTCAACTACATGCGAAACTAACGAGGATATCAAAGCAAGAATCGGAAAAGCAAGACAAGTTTTGTGTTGAGATCAACAGCTCTCAGTATCAAAAATAAGATCCGGATTTTCAACTCCAATGTGAAGTCAGTCAGTGCTACTATACGGATCAGAGACTTGGAGAGTCATAAAGAGCATCTCAAACAAACTACAGACCTTCATTAACAGCTGTCTTCGATCAGTACTCAAGAACAGACGGCCAGAAAAGATCAGCGACAGAGATCTCTGGGAGCGAACCAACCTAGCAGGAACCAATTGTGCAACAAATAGGCAGGAAGAAATGGAGATGAACTGGCCATACTCTGAGGAAACCATCAAGTGACATCACTAGACAAGCCATAGCTCGAGTGGAACCCAAAAGCGAGGTCATGTAAAGAGGATATGAAGGCATTTGGACAGACTTGGAGCCAGGTGAAAACTCTAGCAGAGAACCGAACGTAATGGAGACGCGCGGCTGAAGCCCTATGTTCCTCTAAAAATTAAAGGAAATAATAATAATACGGCTACAAACTTTTGAAGTTTTATTAATGGTTCTGCTGTATTTACAGAGTATGGCTGCTTCCCTTATGCCTAGTCTCCCCCTCCTTCTACATTTACCAAAGAATAATATACTAAGCAACGTTTGATAATGCGTTCCTCCGGAATCGAACTCGAATGAGCTTTCTACCCTTGAACCACCGACGAATTCATAAAAATCTCAGACATCCTTAGTCTTTCTCTTGTAAAATGTTAATTAGAGAACTGTAGCATATAGAAAAATGATAGCTTTGAATTCTATGCCAAAATTTGTCATAATCTATTTGTTTGTCGAGTTTGACGCAAGGATTGATATCAGTTAGAAAACCACTGTAAACCAAAGAGTAATGGACAACTGTTTCCTTATCCTAGTTCGGCAATCATCGGCAGTACACACCCATCGCCAGGGTTCGAACCTTCCGGTTACAAGGTAAGCTCATAGACCATTCAGCCACTGGGATCCAATTCAATAACTCATGGGTACTGCCGACGATTCCCCAACTAGGATGAAACAGCTGTCCTGGTTTTCAATGGTTCTCTAACTGATGTCAATTCGTGGGCAAACTCGAAAAAACCAATCTAATCCTAACAAATTAACTTTTTTAAGTAATTCTATTTGTCTGTAGATGACTGAATAATAAGTATTTCCATATCCTCAAAGAATGTATATCAGAGGAGAAAGTCACTGCTGATAAGATAAGTACACTCAATTGAGCAACTTTTGAAGTCTCATAATATAAGATCACACCCAAAGATCAAAATATGATCATATACCATAGTTATCCGTCTATTTAACAAATAATAAATAAAAACGGTACTTAGATAAGCTAGATAAATCCTTACCAATGATCTCAAGACTATCCACCATGAAAGAAGTCCGTTATAAGCTTAGGGACCCAAGTCTATAGTATATTCATTTTAATTAACAGAATACCATATTTAATCTCAAATAAGGGTAGGGTTCTTTAAAAATCAGTTTATCCTCTGTTTGAAAAAAATGCGAAAATACCACTCTAAATGTAGATAACTAGAGAGTCACTAATGATGACAATAAGCTCTAACAGAAATAAACCACAGATCCCTAAGCTTTTTGATATTGCTAAGAAACATTTATCGCAACGTACACAGAGTGCTTCGGTAGCATGTTATGGATAAAATAGTGATCATGTGGTGCTTTTGATGGTCAGGTGAAATTGTTCCGTATACGAGATTAACGGATTATCTTTAATAATGTTAGATAACGAGAACTTAATACGCTTTTTGTCTTGATTAACGCAAAACTCTAATTCCTAACAGTTAGCCAAAGATAGCATATTTATAGTTTCCAACTAATAACCAAGTTTCATGACTGACTGAATTTCAATATAGTACTTTGTACAGAAGTGGAGCAATTCACGTTGCCACAATCCATGCAACACGTTTAGAAATAAAGGAGATTCAAAAGGACTTCAATAAACACAAAATAAGCAGGAGAAAGAAAAGTAACATGGAAAAACATGAGAGTTAAATGAATATGAGAAACCACAGAAAGTGAATGAATCTGTGCCATATTGTGAACAATTTAGAGCTACATCACCCAAAGTGTCAAGCCATTGACTCTTAGCATTCTGAGTACCCCACAACCAGGCAGTCTAAACTTCCCTATGTGGCTTAAATCAACAGTCAGTCAAAAATTTCACGGTATCATGCCATGTTTTTATTTGGCCAGTTTTTTGTGAAAAATACATCATCAATAAATGCGCATTCTTTTCAACATGAATACATATACAAAGTTTAATTGCATGGTGGATTTCATCATGAGCTGATATCAGTTAAAGAATCACTGACAAACCTGGGAGTACTGGACAGCTGTTTCGTCCTGGTCTGGGACTCTTCATTAGTACGCACCCACACTGCGGGGCTAGAGTCCAGGACCTGCTGGCTATAAGGTGAGCTTGTAGACCACTGATCCAATGGTCCTTGAATTCTGACTTCTCCCAAATCACGACATGGCGCGACCATTTCGCAATGTCTTCTTCGATGAGTTACTGCCTCATCTTTGACCTGCTGTACCCTACTGGTCACGGCTCCCCACTAGAACTCCAGGTTAACTGCCTGAATAGGGCCAGTCGCTAGTGAGCATCAGGTTTAAAGTTTAATTTAAACTTTAATTTAAATTTAATTGATTAAAATTAATTAATTAAACTTTAAATTAAAATTTAATTAACCACACCTTTGAAGCCGTAACCCTATTTAGCACGGAAGAGACATTCCAATGTAACTGCACTCAACAAATGCGTATCCCATGAAATAAAAGACAACTATGCAAATTCTGATGACGTGATGATGAATGCAGAGATTACACATCAAATCCAAGGTATATATCCTCCCTCACTGATCTTTCTTTTAGACATTGGGAAATACCGTCTTTAAAATGCTTTCTTTGCAAGCACACAAACTGAGAAATAGTCATTTTTTTATCTGAAAGACTATGTATAGTAACTGTTACAGAATTAAAACAAATGATACAAACTGCACTCATCAGAAAAAAGGACTGATAGAATTCGACTGAATAATGTACCATAAAATAGTTTACGTTTGCATTGATGATACAATGATAGAATGCTCGCCGCCAACCACGCATGTAGCTGACTGACAGGTTTCAACATAGAACTTTGCACCGATATGCAGCAGTTCGAGTCACCACACTCCATGTAGCATATGAAGCAAGAGAAGAAAGTAAAAAGAAATGTAAAATAGAGACAGTAAACAGGGATATGAGGCAGAAAGAATAGTAATATCGAAGAACAATGTAGTTTCATTGGGTATTATAAGTCACAAGGGGTGGATGTATCTGCACCAGCCATTGAGAACAATTTTGAGATATATCACCAATTGTCTCCAGCCATTGGTGTTTACCGTCCTCAGGACCCCACCCATGTAGCTAGGGTTTGGTTCCCGGTGGATGCACCCCTGAACCTCCCTTGACCGGTAGTAAGCCCGGTAAGAGAGAAAGTTAGGCGTAAGGCAAGCAACCTCACCCTGTTAAAACAACACCATAGCGCTACTGAAATTTCAAGACTCAAGCCTGAAGCGTTATGTCCCACTGGAAACGCAAAGGAATAACACTAAAATGGGTTCAAACAGTACATAACAGAGAAAAAGGACGCATACGACTTACGTTACAATTCGTTTCAGTGTGAAAGAGTACAGGGACCACCATTTCTCGTTACGATATTCATTGATCACACTCAAATAACAACTAGAAACAAATTAGTTAGGCTGTTTCTTTTTTTAAAAATTACCTCAGGGCTTTATCGTAATCCTGTTTATCATAATATTCTGAACCCATTAAAATACCTAAAAAGTAAAATATGGCGACGAAAAGTTGGAAATGATAAAATTACCGACAAATCTCAATGATATAATAAATAAATGATATTATTCATTATTTTAAGATTGCCAGTCAATGGAAATATGAAAGGAATAACGAACGATCGTAAAATCCATCGTCAAAACCGAATAAGTTGTGAACTGAACTTGAAAAGACATTACTAGGATTTATATCACAGAGGCACCTTCAATTTTTCTTCTAACATATACTGAGAGAATTTTGAATAACGCCTGCTCAGTCAGTATACACTCAACTTGAAAACACATCTAGAAGCTCCAAAAATTAGGTGACACTTATAAACCAGCGTACAAACGATACTAGACAGTGAAGTCACAATCACACGTGTTACACAATGTTATAATCATCTACGCAAGCACTTATAACTTTGAAATTCAAATAATAGGTGGGGATTCAACTTAATTTAGAGAACTGTTCATTCAAGGGAGCACTGAACAACTGTTTCGTCCTGGTTTGGGACTCTTCATCAGTACGCACCCACCGGGGTTCGAACCCAGGACCTTCTGGTTACAACGCAAGCTCATAGACCATTGAGCCACTGGTACCCTTATAAGGAACTGTTCATTCAAGAAATTTCATTCACCTGAAACTTTCCATATTCAGTTCTGTGACCAACTTAAAACGTAGAAAAGAAAAGTAATTTACATCTTAAGGTGTTGACTTTGTGGGAATTCTGGCTGATACCAAGATAGATATCGTGGTGAACCAACATCCCTTCTAGAGAAGCAGGAAGTTACCCGGGGTGTTCAATGCTTATCCAAGTAGTATCGACCTTTAATGAAATAAATCCTGTAATTTAAATCTATTAATGTTGGTTGGTAATTCATCATGTTGATGGTCTTTACACTTAGCCTTCAAAAATGTTCTTGTATATTTTTCAAACTGCACAAACTTCCTCTGTTTGCCACCTTCATCTCTAATTCTTCTGTCATTACCATTTTGAGAAGTACAGGACTCAAGATATTTTGGAAAACGAAAGCATTAGATCGTTACTTTGGGGTGACAACTCCTCTCTTACGAGATAGGATAGTTTAAGTATGGGTAAAAGATTCGAATACAAAAACTCACATGGATACAGTTTCATTCGTTCAGCTTTATATCGTTTGTACTGAAGTCGAGTTTGCTCCAGCAATGGGATAATAAAAGTCTACAAGGCATATAAAAGAACCCACTTGATAATGTCAATAATAATAAGTATATCGATCAGATTACTGGAGTGTAAAACTGCTGATCCCAAATCAAACTTTTTTCCCACAAAGACGAAAACATATTGGAAAATATTAATCTCTGTCATACTGTGGTGAGAGCAGGCTGCTAGCCGATTGGTTGGCACTAATCTACGTTAAGGTCTAGGTCACTAATATGGGCCGTGAGAAAATATGAACAAGCCTGAGTCAACAACCAATCACAGCAAAGTTAACGTGGCAAAATATGATTCGCAGAGAGAACTCTATTTGTCAAGGAATCCCGAAACAACCAATCAGAAGCCTGCGTTTGTCTACCTAAACAACCAATCAGATGACTGCGCTTGTCTATAATAATGTAGTTGAAAGATGTATAAATACGTGTTGATTTTCATAATAAAACGATCTGTTGCCTGGCCCTTGTCTTCTGTCGTTACATTTGGTGTCGCTGCCTACCGACAAATGAAAAGCCTATACCCTGCAGTTTTTGATGGAGACATATGGATCTTCGGGCAGGACTTCAAGGCTTCTGCGCAGTTGAGTGGCGTTCAAAATCTGTCAGCGATGGAGCTGCTACTTGAGACGCTGCTGGGAGGTCGGGCGAAAGCAGCATATGAAGGTGTGGGCCGAAGTATGGACGAATGTTCGACAGGGTCAGGCAAACAGTTTCCAAAGTGGGAAGGACCATATATGGTCACTTCGAGATGGGGTTACGCAGACACAGTCGCAATGGCGAACAATAAGAGGCGCGTGAACGTCAGCGAGCTCCAGAAATGGATACAGCGAGACAAGCCAACGATGACGCCTGCACCAAGTAGATCAAGCCGACTTCAGTCGCACGTATTTGACGGGGGGACGAGTGTGGTGAGAGCAGGCTGCTAGCCGATTGGTTGGCACTAATCTACGTTAAGGTCTAGGTCACTAATATGGGCCGTGAGAAAATATGAACAAGCCTGAGTCAACAACCAATCACAGCAAAGTTAACGTGGCAAAATATGATTCGCAGAGAGAACTCTATTTGTCAAGGAATCCCGAAACAACCAATCAGAAGCCTGCGTTTGTCTACCTAAACAACCAATCAGATGACTGCGCTTGTCTATAATAATGTAGTTGAAAGATGTATAAATACGTGTTGATTTTCATAATAAAACGATCTGTTGCCTGGCCCTTGTCTTCTGTCGTTACAATACGTTTATGTTGTATGGAGGATTTAATCATGAGCTGACATACAATCAAACCAAATCCCTACAAAACCAATATCTGAAAAAAAATACGTTTATATGCTAATTCATCCAACCTTTTTGAACGGTTTCGTAATAATCTAGGGATAAATTCCTTATTAGGGAACATTAAGCAAAGACTGCTTAACGAAGAAGATCAAATGCTGCCATCAGATAGACGAAAATGATGGACACAATGTAGATAAATACATCTGCACTTGAAAATCATCTTTCAGAATACCATCGACACATTATCCTGTGATGGCAAAACACAGCAGTATTTGGTAGCAAATTCTTCAGAGTTGACAAAATGAGTTATGGCGAAATGCATAAACCACACACACACACAGTGAAATTTCCATCTGAGCATGTTCCTCGTTTTATGCTCCTTTCGTCTTCCTTTCATGCATTATATATATTGTTTCGCAAGGATCTTTCATTTGTTCTCTTCGCTCCGCCATTCAATATTCTTGCCAAAGGCATCACAGTCATTATGCCTACTTACAAAATCTTGCCACTAAGTATCACACACCACAAATAAGGTAACTGTGATAGATAGACTGAATGCATTAAATCTTACTATGGTGCATACAAACTTTGATCATATTTTAAAAATTTTTTGCTGTTGTCCCAGATTCGTTTACCACAATGGTGTTATTCGATGTGGTAGATTAATCACAAAAAGCATACGTGGTTTCCAGCAACGGATATTTCAATATACTTCATTTAACAGCTTCGCTCTATGTTGGCATATGTATAATAGACTCTCTGAAGTTACATACTAGATTAGTCAAGCTAACATCTATCAATTCTAAAATAAACTGACGAGACGACCTCAGATTCCCTTATTCGAAAACATAGCCTACAGAATCGAATCAACACACATACAGTGAAAATACCACGTCTAGATGATTTGCTTTCTTTTAGATTAAATATAACTATTTGCAACTTCTGTTAGACTTTGGAATACCGACTTCTCAAGTTCCACGCGGAGCATACGGTTTCAACAGCACATCTCCACTTCATTTTATTCTCTGCAGTCCTTTTCAGCTGCCTGCACGATTGACCATAAGCTTCTGTTTACTCTTCAGATAACCTCTTCAACACCCCGTTCGGGTTATGCTCGACAGTCTGTCCTGAGAGTAATGTCACTTATTCGTCTTTTCAGTGTACATCCAATCATCTACCTTCATTTTCTTATGCATATTTGTTGAAAAATAGGTCCTTGGTGGGTTTGTCGCTACAGTTCCTTGTTACTTAACCTTTCTGGCCATCTGATGTCCAGTGTCAAGCGAAGGAAGACGTTGATAAAAGTCTGCAGTCTGTTGAAAATGCATTTCGTAACGCGTAAAGTCTCTGAACCATACAGAAGCATTGATTTGCCAAGGGAGTTTGAACATATGGATCCATGATAGAATGGAAATCAAAATCATATCTACGAACTTTTTAACTCCCTTTAACTGAGCACACAGATCGATAAATGAAGTGACGTACGTCCTCTATTCTCGGAACAAGTAAAGATGAAGGGATATTGTGGTGATGAAACTACACACAGTACAAAAATACGAGAAATACATGCATCATAAGAAAAGCAATAAAAGCGTTGCTTTATCGAGTAACATATAGCTGAAATCATACTAAATATGAACATACAGAATGATCCACTTCAAGTTCCTCTCTCTGTAGATTTAAGATTCCTTCTCGTTCTTTGATTGGATTAGGTGGTTCGATGCTCTGAATCCCTTGACGCCAAGGTCGTTGACCATAAAACTCAAGACCGTCAACTTTTTCTGTAGCTGATGTCCCTTCAACTGGAGATAACTGATTAGGTGAATGAGGAGGTGACAAGGCAGCACTATCTGCAGCTGGTGAAATTTGTTTCCTGAAGAAAAGAGGTGATTGGGCACGAACAAACTCTACTGCAGTATTAACTGTTGTACGCTTTGATTTAAAAGATTCTGAATAGTTTGGTGACTGGAGTATACTATCATTATCTTCTGCATAGAGACCACTGTCTGCGACTAAAGCTGCCTCGACTCCAATAGTTGAATCATATGGCTCAGTTGACAAGGGATAAAATAATTGATCATCTGCATTCATTTCAGCAGCTTTCACAGTAGGGATGCACAAAGCTTGACACAGCTGACGCCGACAGATAGCATGTCTAGCAGCTTCTTGATAATATAGCCCAGGATGCTGTGTCATAAGAGGTGTAAGACTCGATTTGATAGCTTCTTGAAAAAGATCACCAAGAATTTCAAATCTAAAAAGGGTTGAAACAGGCTTAACATAAGCAAATATTTCTTACAGATGAAACTAAAGCTATAAATATATCAGGCAGACAAATAGGACTGCTTGAACATAGGGCTACCAAAAATTCCACCTTACAACATTTTGCAAAATTGCTTTGGTTTGCTCTTTTAATTTTGTTTTAATTTATCAATAATGTGTCCTAATCGTATTATATATAATCGCGCATTTTTAAAATCATTACAACCTACCGCGTTGTGTCATCCACAAAAATTGAGAAAAAAGCATCACTGTGGCTGGCAGCGTGCACTGAAACGTACACAAATTAATCAAATGACTGTTCCTGAACTCGTTAGCACTAATTGTAGATCCCTGTCCAACAAAATGGATTACCTTCAATCCCTAATGTATTCCAATGTTTATCGAAATGCTGGCGTTTTAGCAATACAAGAGACTTGGCTGCACCAGCATTATGATGATAATCTAATTTCAATAAATGGATATAAAGTTTTTCGCCAAGATAGAAATAGTTCCAAGAAAAAATATGGAGGAGGGGTAGCCACATATATAAACACAAATTGGTCTACATCAAATCACGTTTGCTTCAATTATTCTAATGACAGTATAGATTGCATAACCGTCAGGTGTCGCCCAAAACACTTAAGTAAATATTCTTATATATACATAACAAATATTTACATAACACCCGATTGTAGCCTTTCTAATATAGTTATGTTTGCAGATGAGTTTACTGAATTCGCTGCTCCTGCATTCGGAAACTCGTTGTCTATAGTCTGTGGTGATTTTAATTTATGTGATCACAGCTTTCTTACTTCGCTTGGTCATGAGAATCTAGTCAAGTTTAATACACGTCTGGACAAATCACTAGACCTGGTTTTCATAAATGACCGTGATGTATATGAAACCCGAAGGAGAGCTCCTTTGCTAAATTCTGACCACTGCATTATTCGTATTTTACCGAAAGTGTACGGCAAGTCACAACGAAAATTGTTTAGTCATTTAACAAAGAAGATACATGAACGTTCATATTCCCATGACAACATTCTAGCATTAAGAAGCATGTTGCATGATACCAACTGGGAACTGTTTACTGACGATAAGTTGGATGCTACTGTCTCTAATATAACCGATTATCTGAAGTTTTGTTTGGATATTTGCTGTCCTTATGAAACACTGTTTTCGAGATTTGACAGAATCTCTTCTTTGCAACTGAAAAAACTTAGAAGACAAAAAGAGAAGTTGTATAAGAATTGTGATAATACTGGTGTCCGTAAAATAAACACCCTTATAAAAATTGAAATAGAAAGGTTGAACAGACTATATAATGAAAAATTTTTATCATGTAAAAATCCTTCAAACATTTGGAAACTTTTCAATAAACTAACAAGTAAAAAACAAATGTCCGTTGATGCTTATTCTGATGTAAATGCTTTAAACAAATCATTTATCAAGAAACAAATTAATATGGTTGTACCTGATGTACCTAGTCAAGAAAATGGTCATTTTCAGGGTTTTGAAGAAAAGGATGTACTATTATGTTTGAAGTCATTAAATCCAACACACAGCCTTGGTCCAGATGGTGTACCAAGCATTCTTCTCCAAAAGTGTGCAGACATCTTGTGTCATCCTCTTACTCAAATCTTTAACGCATCATTTAAGAGGGAAACGGTACCTGCTGACTGGAAAGAAATCAAGGTTGTACCTGTACAGAAATCATCTTCTGGAGCAGGTATAAAATTTAGACCAGTCGCTATAACATCTCCTTTTTTGAAAACTATGGAGAAACTTCTTTTGAATATTCTTAAACCTTCTTTAAAAGCTTTTAATGACCCTAAGCAGTTTGCTTATAAGTGTGGAAGAAGTACATTAGATGCAGCCATTGTACTACACCACAATATTGTTTCCTGCCTTGATAAGGGCGCTAAGTTCGTTCGAACAGCTTTCTTAGACTATACTGCAGCTTTCGACTCTGTTCCTAGGACACTTTTATTAGGAAAGATGATTTCAGCACAAACAGAGTCCTGGGCAACTAGATGGCTGTCTTCTTATTTTAAGGATAGGAAACAGCATACTGTTTTGGCTGGAAAGCGCTCCACTTCCCAGCTAACTGAAAGTGGTGTGCCTCAAGGTGCAGTACTTTCTCCATTTCTTTTCTCTTTCTTTCTGCATGACCTTCCGAACTCACCCAAAGTTAACTTCATTAAGTATGCTGATGACCTGACCGTTTCTGTCCCTGTAGTTGCCACATCGGATTGTTCCTATATGAATGGCTTCCTAGCTGAAGTTAAGGATTGGTCTCGCTCAAATGGTCTTAAACTAAATCCAACTAAATGTAACACTGTTGATTTCAGCTTGAGAAGTGAAAAAGACATGCATGGATTGATTCAATCTCATGATTGTTGTAATATTGATGGTACCATGATTGAGAGTAAGTCAAGTGTTTCTTATCTTGGCATTAGTTTCTCGTCAAATCTTTGCTGGTCGTCTCATATTCTTATAGTTTCTAAGAAAGTTTTCCGTCTGACTTATTACATAAAGAAGTTGAGACACTCAGGTATAACTCAATCTCTTATCATACAATTTATTAATTCATGTGTTTTGCCCATCATTCTTTATTGTTCTCCATTATTCTTCCCTGGGCTACTCAAGAAAGATCATATAATACTACGAAGAACATTGAGGGCTGTAAGTAGGGTCAGTGCTATCCCTTTGACTGAACTAAATGACACTGTTGTCAATAGGCATATGAATTCTTGTAAACACTTAGCTAAAGTTATCTTATCTGATAGTGAACATCCTCTTTATTCACAATTGTTTCCTTGTATCTCTTCGGGTAAGACCAGAAGAAATTTTATAAACATTTATGCTCGTACTACAAAATATAAAAATTCGACCGTTCCATATTTGGCACGAGTATTGTGTGAAGAGACAAATATCAGAAAAGAACTTTTACAACTTTTGAATCAGTAACTAAACTATAAAATGAAATGATGCATATTAATGCAAGTGTTATTTGTTATATTATTTATTTATTATTCACTATGACCTAGAAATGGTGTGATTTTGTTGGGTTTTTTTATTATTATTTTTTTTTTTTTTTTTTTCCTATTAACTATCAATATTTTAACATTTTATATATTTATATAATTATAAACAGAGCTAAACCATTGCAATATGTAAAAGAAACGCTGAAAATTCCATGCTGTAAATTGTTTTTGTTGTGGAATAAAGTGATTATTATTATTATTATTATTATTATTATTAAGTACAGGTGAATCAAGGATTAGTGTACTTACTGTTTAGACATCCAAGCTTCATGCTCAAACGCCAATTGTGGTAGGCCAACAAGATTGGAAAAGAAATTAATGTGTTTTCGAAATTGTGAGATTGCATCAGAGGCATTATTCTGAAAAGCCAGCCGGCATATCTACAAGAAAACAAAACATTCATTAAGTTATCAATCATACTATGACTAGTGAAGAAAATGCTGGGAACTAACTAAAAGCACCACTCAGTCTACAGATAATCTGGGTATGTTACGTTGATGATACATTTGTAATAATTAAGACAAATGATTTAGAATATACCCATAAATTAATAAACAACATACTTGAAAACATCAAATTCACAAGAGAAGAAGAATTAGATATCAAAATCCCATTTTTAGATGTCTTAATCAGGAGAACCAACACAGGAAATTTAGAAACACAAGTATATAGAAAATCAACGCACACAAATTAAATACTCAACTATACTGGCAATAATCCAATTACTCACAAAAGAAACTGTGTTCAGACATTGTTTAAAACAGTTCAAACACACTGTAGCACTCCAGAGTTGAAAAGAATGGAAGGAAAATACTTACTAACGGTCTTCAAAAAGAATGGATATTCGCACAATTTCATCAAAAAGTGTTTAAAATCGAATCACAACACCAACAAGGAACCATCACCAAAGAACACAAGAAAATTCCTCCTACCGTACATGATAAATATCTCTGAAATAACAGCTAGAATACTGAAACCGTTTGACATGCATATATCACACAAGCTAGCCAGTCAAATTGCTAAATTCGATATTATGCAAACCAAAAGATCCAACAGAAAAAGAAGATAAGATTAATACCGTTTACAAAATAAATTGTATGAACTGTAACAGGCATTACATCGACCACAGTGGGGGTCCCCTTCGAACCAGAATCCAGGATCACAAATCAGCCGTGAAAAGACACGATATATATTCTTTCATATCAATGCATATACACAATTATGGACATCAGTTTGATTGGAATAATGTAGAAATCTTAGAGAAAGGAGACACTGAAAGTGCCAGGAAATTCCTGGAAGCCTGGTACTCAAACGAACATACAGTTAACAAACATGTTAATATAGACCAAATATGCTAACTAATAAAAAGCAAATCAGGTGACCAGAAAGTTTAAAATCCAAGTCAATAGGAAATTTCATACATTTATTCCCCTTAATGAATTTGAACAATGCAAGAACTACAGTTTTAGCAGAATAAAATGGTACCATCTTTTATTTCGTTGCCTTCTCGTCAGCTGCTTACATGGCAAAGACATTATTAAATATATCTACAACAACAATTTTAACATACTTGCACAGAGTTCAGTTTAAACAAAAATCAATCGATCAATATACGCATACACTAAAAATATATACATATATAAATATGCAATATTAACCACTATTCCGAACAATAATAATCAAACACAATGGAAACTTTTAGCATTTCACATTCGGAGGAAAGAGAGGTGAAATTATCCAGTTACCAGGGCAAAGAAAGGCTGATAACCGCTTCTTTCTGGACGCATAAATCAGGTTTCATGCGCTTGATGGAAATGGCTTCAGCAAACTTAAGGAGAATGGAGCTATTTTGCTTATTGATAATTTTGAACGACTTTTCAACGTCCACCTCATGACCCGTGTCGAGAAGATGCCTGGTGATGGCACTATTTAAAGCATTTGTTCCCTTTAGACGTAAGCTTTTTGGTACATGTTCGGAAAATCGTAGATATGCCCTTCTTTCTGTCCTTCCAATGTAACTGCTCCCGCAGATACATGTAAATTTGTATACACAGTTGGAGGTAACATGAGAAGGATATCTATCGATTTTCGATTGCACCAAAGAGTAAGTTGTTCGATAGACGGGAACGAGCTTAGCTGCAGGATACGCTATGGCTAGTGATGTACTCAGCCTTCTGTTGATAATCGCTGCAATATTTTCACCTTTGTAATCAAGCTGAAGGTAGACTGGCTTTTTTTCCACTGTGATTTGTTTTACTCTTTTGACTTCAGATCTTCCATACTTGTTGATGAACCTTTGAGGATACCCATTTCTCTTCAATATCTTTTCAAGGAACTCAAACTCCTCCTCTAGTTTCTCTGTAGAGCATATTCTCCCTGCTCTATAGTACAAAGTTTTGACCAGACCACGTTTAAAGCTATGTGGACAAAAGCTATTAAAATGTAAGTATTGTCCTTTCCATGTGGTCTTTCGATAAATTGACTTTTGAAGACCACCGTCTTCTAGGCGTTCCATGGCTATGTCGAGGAAGTGAAATTTTCCGTCACTTTCGTGTTCCATAGTGAAGTCAATATTGGCGTGTGCACCATTGAATAATCTTAGTAGGCGTGAAGCATGACTTTTATTTTTGCACACTATAAATGTGTCATCAACATAACGACAGTAGGAGGATGTTTCGTCGATTGCATGCTTCAGCTTTGTTCTTTCAAGGTTAGACATGAAAATATCTGCTAAAACAGGGCTAAGTGGACTGCCCATAGCTACACCATCTATTTGGCGGTAAAACGTGTTGTCAAATAGGAATTGCACATCCATGGTGCACATAAGCAGTAGGCGTTTGAATTCAGACTCTGGGAGTGGGAGAAGATCGGACTGCTGACAGATGATTTCAATGGTTTCATTGACTGGAATCATTGTGAATAGGGAGGTTACATCAAATGACACCATGAAGTTATTTAGAACGTTCATGTGATTCACACTCTCAGAGAAATGAAATGAGTCTTTCACCGTGTGCACGCCTAGCCGTTGACGAATAGGCTCCAACTTCTCCGCAAGCCAACGTGCCACCTTATGTTGGGGCGAGTTGATCATCGAAAGTATGGGTCTCAATAGGAAATGATCAATACATATGTAAAGATGGTTAGACGCAATTACATCTCTCATGAAAAATTTAAATCATTTCAATTTATGCTAAATATTGCGCTGAAGATGTTGTCCAGAAGGTGGACGACAAAAGCTCCGCAACTAAACCAACCAGCTCAGAGAACACTAATAATTGCAAATCATCCTCCTGAGCTACAAATCTTCTCCACTATTTCAAGTATAAACATTAAGAAAACGAAAGCGAAAACTATGTGGAAAATAAACTGGCACTTAGTGTGAAAATACTAACACACACACACGAAAATAGGTTATAATTAAGTAACCTCATCCCTAAACTTCTGGTTGTTGAAATATACACTCCAGTTCATCTACTCCACTTAACTCGACTTGAGCAAACTAATTGTACACTGAGAAATGAATTTGGCGCAAACGGTGTTTTCGTAGTACTGTGGCTCTAATTAACGAGGTGTAAGGCAGCCAACAACAACAACATCCAGCGCCAATCACCATCAACGGGAGGGATTTGAAAGAGGTTACTTCACTCACTTATCTAAGGAGCATTGTCTCAACTACAGGAGGAACGGACAAGGATGTCAAGTCGAGCGAGAATCGGGAAGGCTAGAAACACATTCATCACACTGAAACCAATCTGGAAATCTTCGTCACTCACCATCAACAACAAAATTCGGATTTTCAATACAAACGTCAAGTTAGTCAGTTCTTCTATACGGATCAGAAAGTTGGTGGGTGGGTCACAAAGAATATTTCCAACAGCCTGTTGCAGACATTTATCAACAACTGTCTCCGCTCTATACTGAAGATCAGATGGCCGAAAAGAATCACCAACAAGAAACTATGGGAAGACACAAACCAAAAACCAACCCCCAACCAACAAATATGCAGGAGGAAGTGGACAGGAGTGGATTGCACACTCGCTGAGGAGGCGGCTGGGTGACATCGCGCGCGCGTCAGGCCATCGCTCGAGTGGAACCAGGCCGAAAGGGAAGCAAGCGGCGAGTGGGACGTCAGTTCAAGTGTGACATGGAGGAGATCGTGTGAATAGGAGTTGAAAGAGCATGGACTAACATGGATGCAGGTGAAAAGTACAGCAGAAGACAGAAGCAAGTTGAGGCGTGCAGTTGAAGCCCCATGTTCCACTAGGAACCCAAGGGAACAATAATAATAATAAGGCAGCCAACTAATATTATAAGCCCTCGCATTAAACGTGTGACTCATTGCTAACAAGAATGTGGGGTTACTGCGTAACAACATAATTCATATCCCTATCTAACAATATATACCTTCCGAATGAATAAAGATCTTGCTCGTGGCAAGATTCAAATTATCAGTCTATAAATTATTAGACTAGCTGCTGTGTTGCGAGATCACCAATAGCTGGCAAAGGCCCCGGCTATTAATCCACAAGCTGCTGGATAGAATCTCGCTGCGATCCTTCAATCAAACACCACATCAATAATAAAACAAATCTGCGAATTGAGAATTTTATTTAGTGTATTACCAGTTTATCTAAGTAGCTGGTCAGAAATCGGATGGTTCGAAACTGGGTTCTCCGCTGATGAGCTCGGCCCCAAACGAGTGAAACAGCTTTTCCATGTTTAGTCCTTTCCAATCTGGCTATCAAGGACTACTAGCTGATGTGACTGATGTCCAGCTATCCATGTCAATCATAAATCAATACTCATCTGGCAGTTAAACGCTATTTGACGAAGTGTAGCCACTAAGTAAACTGGAACTTAATCAAGGAAGTGAAATATGAACCAAACAGATTACCTTGTAGTTTATAAATCCAGCTACAGTTTTCACTTCCAGCATATGAGCATCTAACATTCGCAATTCTGTTAAGTGATTATATGCCTGTTGATAATGCCTGGAATAAAACAGGAAAAATATATTAGTGTGATAATTTTCTTTCCTTCAAATTCCAGTGGAACATAGGGCTTCAATCTAGACTCGCTTGAATTTTCTGTAGCAGCGTTTATTTTTACAGGATGGGAATGCTAGCCTCATGCCCAACCTTTTCTCTTTACCAGCTTTTATTTTTGGCTTAGTGAGATAAAGGAGTGTGTCGGTGGCCAGGGATTGAACCCCGGACCATATGAATGGTCGGCGAGTGTCCTAACCGCTGTGCCACCGACGCACGTTGAATGAAGGCAGTTGTAAAACTAAGTTCATTTAAACTCGAAGATGCAGTGCCTACTTCTTTTTAAAAACCTTCAGGAAACAGATTTCTGCGTCGAATCCCCTTAAATATGTTTTAATAATATGATGAAAAATTGTTTGGTAGTATCTCTGAATGCAATACACAATGATAAAAATGTGCATTTAAAAGGCACCAAGGGGGTTTCACTTAATTCACAAATAAAAACTGTAGAATCAGCTTCACTTTACAAACCTGTGTATCTAAAAATGTCAAACACCTGTTAAAACTGACACGCAACGCATGCAGCTCAATAGCTAAGTGGATATGAAGTCCTAAAATAAGATCGCAATATCAAATACTATGTGTGACTTCGGTCTCTTACTATGGGCAGTCAACATACATCCAATGAGCATTTATGAATAGAAATATTACTATATTATAGCTGATTAAAAATGCCCATTAAAATTTTCAAAAGAATGGATACTGAACAAAGAGAACTCTTTTTGATAACTTCATCATCAGTCTCTACAGTTATATATATACATTATAGTGAATAAATGAATTACTGTTATGAACAGCATTAATGTTTAAATAACATCGAGGCAATAATATTGATAGATTACAGTTCAATAGCATCAACATAAAATAAGCTGAATGTCAGAAAAATTAGGAAAGATAATATTACAAATTCATGAATTTATAGTCTCTACTGAAGGCCAACCAGGGCAGTAGTAGGGGCTGGACTTGCTTCTTTTGCATACAAAGCACTGGTTGTTTGAGGCGAATCGCAGTAGCCTCTTCTGTTTGCAGTATGCGGTGCTTCGATGTTTTTGGCAATTTATTTGGCCCCCAGTAGATGATTCAACGCTGGCTTTGTGGCTGGTTTGGACCAGGTGAAGTAATATCGAACTGTTGCTGGTTTTCACTACAACTTTACTTAGCCATAGTGGAAGATGTTCTAGAGTGAGCACAAAGAATCAAGTACATAGAGCAACGGACGATATAACTTGCTCCACAAGCGCAGTTGAATTGGTAGATACAATTGGAAGTGGCTAGTCTAGGTACTTCACGTTATAACTATCACATATGTAGACAAATGACAGATGCTATTCAATGAATTTAGTAATTGCATAACACTCTGACCGAATGCAACAAGTCATACCACTGCTATTTGAAAATAACAATGCAATTACTTTTTTTCAAGTCAACTTTAACCGAGTAATGATGGCCTAACTCAAAGAGTCAGTCTATGTTTTCATCCCACTGGATCTTCTCGTTAGTGTGCACTGTTGACTGTCATATGATTATTTCACTCCAGATAGTGTATGACACAAAGGTTGGTTGGATTGTAGACTTACTTTAGAGCCAATCCAGGATCTTGCTTCAGTTCACAGTAGAAAGCAATTTTGAACTCATGACGCACAAACAGTAACTAGAATGAATGAAACAGTTTCAGTTTATATTAGGATTTGTATAACCCATCTCGTCAATCAAAAGTACACAAAAGTTAAAGAAGATATACACAACATAAGAGTTTATATGGATTTATACAAGTGGTAGGAAAACTGACCAATAAAAAATGGGTTTATTATTTGTAAGATATCTAAAAGTAAAGACATTTGGGCGAAGTTGAAATATCGTAGGCAAAGTCAAGGTCTTTCAAAATTTGACCTTCAGGAACCAATCAGAAACAGGGAATGCCATGAAATACCATTCCAAATCAAATCATGCCTGCCTTTCTGGACTTGGACGAGGCAAATACAGTATTCCACTTATTCTCTAGGTACTTTTTTCGGTAAATCTATACTGTTAGGTAAGGTTATGGCTTTTAAGATTAAGGTTTAGGGTTAGGGTTAAAGTTAGGATTAGGGTTAGAGTTAGGAGTAGATCAAAGAACAGTGTCATAAATATTAATGGATCTCAAAGTACCACTGTAACAGTAGAAGACAAGACACGGAAGCCAAGGTATACATTCAAGTGATAGAACAGCTATTTATATCTATATAGTTTATATTCTTTAAGTAATCACTGAGCGTGTGATTTCGGCTTACATTCAACGACATGAAATAGAATGTTCAAAAACATACATTATTCAGTTCTGTTGCTAATGCAGTATTGAACTGTGGGAATAGTATTCAGACGTTAACACCAACAAATACAATGATTCTTATTGTAAGAATAATATTCCGTCGCAACCCATTGTCTGTATTATACCACCATACCATGACCTACAGTCACATAGATGAATAAATACATCACGCATGATACGATTTCTCGATAGATCATCTGGGTACTGAGTGGGAGAAATTCTTACAACACATAAACTAAATAGTATAACATCATATTCAAGTATTGGTTTGTAGGGATTTGGTCGATTGGTTACAGGATTTCATCATGAGCTGACATTGGCTAGAGAACCATTGGAAAACCTGAGAGTACTGGACAGCTGTTTAGTCCTAGTTTGGGACTTTTCAGCAATACTCATCCATCACCACGGTTCGAACCCAGGACCTTCTGATTACAAGGCGAGCTCGTAGACCATTAAGCCACTGGGACCCGATCCAATGGCCCATGAATTCTAACTTCTGCCAATTCACGACATAGCACGACCACTAGCCAATGTCTTCGGCGAGTATTTGTCCTCACACCCGACCTGCTGCACCCTACCGGTAACGACTTTTCACTGAAACTGCAGGTAACTTCCTGTATAGGGCCAGTCGCTAATATGCATCAGATTAATTATCAAGTGTTGGTTTGCAGGGATTTGATTGGTCACAGGATAGATCAACTTTTGGATTAATTTAAATTTTCAGATTCTCGTCAATTTCAAATGAAATTAACCCAAAAATCTCCACAAATCCTATAACCTGAATATCGATCGCCAGTTAACTGGTTGCTACTATATGGATTTCCCGAAGCTGCAGTGGGAATTCATAACCAGTGTGGTCCACTATGTCAAGATGAAGTAGCTTCTCATTGAAGGCATTGGTGAGGGCAGTGCTAAACCACAAATTGTCAAAGTTAGAATTCATGGGTCATGGGATTCCAGCCCAAATAGCTAAATGGTCAAAAAGCTTGATCTGGTAACCTGAAGAACCTGGATTCGCTCCTTGGAGGGGTCGTGGGCGCGCAATGATGAAGAGTCGTCCCCAAGTAGGACGATACCACTCCTTAGTCTTCAATGATTTCTCTCTCTAACTCGTGTTGTTTCATAACGAAAATTTGACTAATAAATAAATTTCACTGAAATTTGGAGTGTGCTAAACTCTTGGAATCTTAATAATAATAATAATAGTAAAGTTTGTTAATGCTATTTACTTTTACAGTCAAGAAGTTGCTTTAACTGCTGCCCGGACCACTTCTGTCATTCGAAGTAAAAACATTTTGAAACTTATTCATTTGCCGCAACTCTTTAGGCACTTATTGTTTTAGTCAAAGGAACATCATCAACAACCAACTGTGATAACAGAGAGATGTTCGTAAGCACTATTGGCACCAAGTACGCAATATATGAAAAAACAGCAAAACGGAAGAGGATAATCACACATATAGTACACAAGATACCTACCTGGTGACTAGCTTTGTTAAGTGAATCTTTGTGTGATTTCACTTTCTTCGCTTGATTGTGGTAATAATTGGCAGCCATATCACGGAACTCATCTTCTAATCTATTTTAAAAGTAAAACCGAAAAACCAATCAGTATGAAAGAAATTCTTCCCTTATCGATTGATAAAAGACATCTATCATGAAGCCTTGAATGAATGAAAGTTTTATGAGTGTCAGGTTTCGTTAACAATGCATGCTTGCCATATCGGCTTACAACAGAGATGAAGATTTGTATCTGCATAAAAGCATAATATCTCAAACGGTTAAATATGCGTTTAAATTTGTGAACGAAAACAGTGGACTCAGGAGCCTAGTTCAAAACTTTCTAGCACTTGACAGAAAACCATTCATCCAAAAAGTAGAGGTATGTACTTTAATTTAATGGTCACGTTAAAGTGATCAAGTTCAATAGAAAATGTATCACTAGTTAGTCTGCAATGACTAGGTTGGATTAAACTGTTTTTTTCAATATTTATCACAAACAACTTCAGTTAAAAAATTATTGAAAACCATCAGTGAATACTGAAGAGCCGTTTCGTCCCCCATTAAAACTCCTCATCGGCACACACCTGTGACCCGACCAGGGATCAAACGCAAAACCTCCGAGTTATACGGCGAGCTAGTTGACCAATCAGCCACTGGGACAGAATCCAGTGGCCTATCCACTCTAAATTTCGCCAGTCTGCAATATATATGGTGCGATAGCCAACCAGTATCCTCGGCAAGTATTTGTCTTAACACAATAAGCGTGTATTATTGTCATATGTGATTTCACAAGAAAGTGTCACCCCTGAAGGGATTTTAAATTAACTTTTAAGCGCGATTTAAAAAAACAGCAATGAGTGTTCAAAATATCTTTTATGGTTGCATACAACTACTACACTGTGGTGCTTAAACACCTATTGAGGATTAGAGATGATGGCACAATTAAGCAATTAAAATACAGCAACTTCAAACCGACAGCTAGAAATAGTCTTTTGGAATTCAATCACGCAACTTATATATATAATAAACGCATATTACCTTAGGATTATGACGCAAAAGCACTTCCCAAATGCCTTCAAAGTTAGGCTTTTTAGAGGAAGATTTGCGCCATATTCATCTGTTAAGCATTAAGATCCTTACGAAAATAACGATAGAACTCGAAAAAAAATTCCACTCGGAGGACTTGTAAATGATTAACTGTTTGAGGTATTTCTGAGGTAAAGAGATATGTATTCAAATCTGCGAACTCGGGAACATAAATCAACGATCTCATCACCATCTAAATACGCTTTAGGTTATTTCTGAGCACCAACATTTTTGATGAAATTTATTTCACCTGAATAATTCTGATTAGCTAAACAATTGTCATTCTTTGGAATATAACCTAAGCACTATTTCAGAGTCATACATGCTATTTAGTTTGCCAACTTCAAGGACCCTGATTTTAGCATCCTTGGATTAAGGGGTACTTTGACCTACAACACTTAAAGGTCTCACTACTAATAAGTGTATTTCAGGAGATCCCTCATGCATACAGAAGCAGAAACATTATGGTACCAAACCACAGTAACAATGTTGTATCAGGCCTGAATCAAAGCTTTATTTCTTTAAATGGGTCTACATTTACACAAACTACTGATTTTCAAATACAACTAAAGACTAACGGTATATGAAAGGCTTACTGACGCAAAACAAACAACATAGTGGAAAGTAGGATAATGAAGACAAAAAAGTATACCTTGTAATACATCCATAAAGTAGATTTGTATGTGATAAGACAAATAAATTCTTTCCTGGAAGATCACATTTCGTGCACAACGACTGAGCTCGATCCATAGCATTAAGATCTTCACCCAATGGTAATGGAGCACGTTTCTGAATAAGAACAACAACCAGTTTGCTATCTCGGCCGACAATTTTTGATCTAAATTTAAAGTGAAGATAAAAAAAAGAAGGGTAACAGAAAATATTCTTACCTAACAGTTGCCACCATCTGAGCACATTCAGATGACTTTTCTTCCCAATGTGGTTCATCCCAGTCAAGATCATAAAACAAAGCTACGAATGCTGGTATTTCTTCTAAATGTTTTCTCATCCAACCAGTTTTAAGGATACCTTTTGGTAGAAACCATTCATAAGAGGCTGGTTGCTGAAAATTGACACAAATTCAATTACAAAAAGTAATACATACACCATAGGAAAAAGCTTTATTCTGTTCAAAACAAAACACAGAACACGTAAGTTATCTAGTTTGATTGTATCAAATTCTTAAACGTGCAACGAATGAATGTTTGGCATGCGATTCGCCCCCACCAAATGCGAGATGATGTTACAGGACTGGACCACACTGACTCCTATTTTAATAATAGGGAGTGAAGTGGTAGAGCACGTTGACCGATTCACTTATTTGGGAAGTACCATCAACCCCAACGCGTTGATCTCTGACGAAATCTCAGGACGGATACAGAGAGCTAGTTTCGCATATCCCAGTTTACGCCGTCTCTGGCGCAGACGTGATATCCAGCTGGCTATCGACAAAAGGGCGGGTGTACTCCTCATCAGTCCGCTCCGTCCTCCTTTATGGCTGTGAGACCTGGCCACTGAAAGTGGAAGACATGAAAAGATTAGCTGTCTTTGATCATAGGTGCCTGCACTCTATCTCCCGTGTGAAGTGGTATAATAAGGTGAGCAATATTGAGGTTAGACGTAGAGTGCTAGGTAGGTGGAAAGGGAAATCAATCGACGAGGCTGTGAAATTACATCGACTGATTTGGTTAGGACATGTGTTACGTATGCATGACTAGTCATCGCATTCCTCGACGGGAAATGCTAGCTGACATAGGGTCAGGGTGGAAAAGAGCTAGCGGCGGTCAAACCAAAACATGGCACCAGTCAATGAAATCCACAACAGTTAGTTTAAACCAGCCACGTAGGAAGGTATAGACTGGCTTCCTCGTTGGCGTCCTCAGGACGGTAAAAACCAATGAAGGCTGGAGACAATCGGTGATATGGCTCAAAATCGTTCTCAATGGCGCAGATGCATCCACTCTCTGTGACTTATGATCTCCAATGAAACTATATTGTTCTTCTCCATTACTATTCCTTTGTCTCACACCTCTGTTTACTGTCTCTATTATGCATTTCTTCTTCCTTCTTTTGCTTTTTGTGCTACATGTAGTGTGGTGACTCGAACTGCCGCACATATGTGCAAAGTTCTATGTCGATAACAGACAGACAGACTTAAACGTGCAAAGCATATGTTTTATGTTAAAATGCAAAGTCAAAATGTATAAGATGCTAGAACTGAAATGGGATAGGTTACAGATTACACTACATTTAGATAGTACTAATATTCCTGAGTTTTAGAAAGCGCTTACTGAATATTTACTACCATTCCTCTAATTCTCGACTGAAGCACGATAATGGAGAAGTAACCGCATACTTGAAACCTGTTTAACAATAAGTGTCTTCAAACGCTAATATACTGTAACTCAACAAGTCGCTTCTCTCTAAACTTTATCTTAATGTAACCATTCCTTTCTCAGGCGTGAGGCTAGCAACCCCACCCTGTAAACAAAATTGCTACAGAAACTTCAGCAAAATGAACCTCTTTGCACCAAAAGAAAAAGTCTGTGTGGGAACATGGAACGTCCGAACTATGTACGAGACTGGGAAAGCTGCCCAGATCGCCAACGAGATGAAAAGATACGGAATCCAAGTGCTGGGAATATGTGAAAGCAGATGGAATGGGAGTGGACTCACCAAATTGTCAACGGGTGAGTCAGTGATCTACTCCGGTCACCCAGAAGATAACCACACGCACACCGAGGGCGTGGCTATCATGATGTCACCAACGGCAACGAAAGCCCTGATACAATGGGAGGCGATTTCGTCCAGGATAATGACCGCCAGATTCAACTCCAAAGGAAGGAAAGTGTCAATCATACAATGTTATGCACCCACAAACAACGCAGACCTCGAAAAGAAAGAAGAATTCTACAGGCAACTACAGGCAACAATGGACAATACTCCAGCTGGCGACATGAAAATACTAATGGGAGACATGAACGCCAAACTGGGACCAGACAACACAGGAAGGGAACTCATCATGGGTAGAGAAGCTCTAGGAGAAATGAATGAAAATGGAGAACTCTTCGCCGACTTCTGCGCCTTCAACGAACTAGTGATTGGTGGCAGTGTATACAAGCACAAAGATATCCACAAGGCTACATGGGTGTCACCAGACGGGCAAACCAAAAACCAAATCGACTTCATCTCAATCTCAAGGAAGTGGAGGCGCAGCCTACTGGACACAAAAGCAAGAAGAGGAGCAGACGTTGGCTCAGACCACTATCTCGTACAAGGGACAATCCAAATCAAATTAAAAGCTTTCAGGGAATCAGGAGCTGCAGATAGACCACAAGCCAAGGACCAGGCTACAAAGGACATCTTCATTGCAAGCATAAAGGACAAAGCCGAGACACAAATCAACACCAGCGAAAAGGTCAGCGTCGAAAAGCACTGGAACAACTTGAAAACGGTGTGGAGCCAAACCTGCATAGAAATTCTAGGCAGAAAAAAGAGACAGGACAAACAGTGGCTCACTACGGACACTTGGAAACTAATAGAAGAGAGAAGGACAGTGAAACAAAAGATTATCCAGTGCACTGACGAGCAACAAAAACAGGAGCTGAATGCAAGCTACAATACACTGAACAAAAGAGTGAAGAAGAGTGCCAGGGAAGACAAAAGAAAATATTATGAAACCATGGCAAACGAAGCAGAACAAGCTGCAGGCAAAGGAGACCTCGCCACACTCTACCAAACAACTAGGCACCTATCGGGCAAACGTTCGACACAGATTAAGCCAATAAAGGACGACAATGGAAAGTCAATCACCAAAGAGGTGGAACAGAGAAAGCACTGGGCTGAACACTTCAAAAGACTTCTAAATCGTCCGCCACCTACAACACGCCCAACAATACCAACAACGGAAGCAGAACTACCAGTGAACACTGACCCCCCGACGAAATCAGAAGTCCTGAATGCAATCAAGATGCTAAAAGCTGGGAAAACACCAGGACCAGATGGAATCCCAGCAGAAGCTTTGAAAATAGACCCAGAGACAACAGCGGACTTGATGACACCACTGCTGGAGAAGGTGTGGAAAGAGGGCAAAGTACCCGAGGATTGGAAGAACGGATACTTATTCAAACTTCCAAAGAAAGGAGACTTAAGTCAATGTAAAAACTGGCGTGGAATTATGCTTCTGTCCATTCCAAGCAAGATACTAAGTCGCATCATCCTGGAGAGAATCAAACAAGCCCTAGATGAAAAACTTCGTCCGGAACAGGCTGGATTCAGGAGAAACAAATCATGTATTGATCAAATCGCCACTCTACGGATCATCATTGAACAAAGCTTGGAATGGCAGTCACCTCTCTATCTCAACTTCATCGACTTTGAAAAGGCCTTCGACAGCGTCGATCGAGAGGTCATTTGGAAACTACTTCGCTACTACGGGGTCCCATCGACAATTATACATCTCATCCAACAGTTATACGACAATGCTGCATGCCAAGTAATCCACAACGGGAAACTTACGGAAGCCTTCGAAGTGAGGACGGGAGTGAGGCAAGGCTGTCTACTATCACCAATGATCTTCCTGATTGCAATTGATTGGATAATGCGACAGACAACGGGCAACGAGGGAACAGGCATAAAATGGACTGACACAAAAGACTTGGAGGATCTGGATTTCGCCGATGATATATGTCTGATTTCCCACAAACTGGAAGATATGCAAGTGAAAAGTAACAAGTTGGCAGAAGAAGCATCAAAGATAGGACTTCACGTGAACATAGATAAAACAGAGGCAATGAAGATTCCTGGCCAACATCAACAGCAGCAACAACAACAGACAACAATCAGCATAAATGGGAAGAACCTGAAAGAAACAACCTCCTTCACCTACCTGGGAAGCATCGTTTCAACTACAGGCGGAACTGACGAGGATATCAAAGCCAGAATCGGAAAAGCAAGACAAGCTTTCATTACTCTCAAATCTGTGTGGAGGTCAACAGCACTCAGCATCAAAAATAAGATCCGGATTTTCAACTCCAATGTGAAGTCAGTCAGTGCTACTATACGGATCAGAGACTTGGCGAGTCATAAAGAGCATCTCAAACAAACTTCAGACCTTCATTAACAGCTGTCTTCGCTCAATACTCAAGATCAGATGGCCAGAAAAGATCAGCAACAGGGATCTCTGGGAGCGAACCAATCAGGAACCGATTGTGAAACAAATAGGCAGGAAGAAATGGAGATGGATTGGCCATACTCTGAGGAAACCATCAAGTGACATCACTAGACAAGCCCTCGAGTGGAACCCGAAAGGGAAGCGGCGAGTTGGTCGTCAGTGCAAGGGTGACTTGGAGGAGGTCATGCGAGGAGGAGATGAAAGCATGTGGACAGACCTGGAGCGGGGTGAAAAAGTTGGCAGAAAACAAAAGGCAATGGAGGTGCGCAGCTGAAGCCCTATGTTCCTCTAGGAACAGGTATAAGAGCGAAACAGAATGGGTAATGGTAGAAAGAAATATGAAAGATTACAGAGACTGAATACATCTGCGCTGGCCATTGACAACGATTTTGAGCCATGTCACCTATTGTCTCCAGCCATTGATTCCTAGAGTCCCGAGGGCCTCAACCCAGAAGTTTGCATCTCCCTACCTGACTCAGTTTAACTGTCAAGGATTTCATGGATTGATGAGGCCATGTTTTTGTTTGGTCACCACTTACTCTTTTCCAACCTGCACCTATATCAGCTAGTAATGCCCGTCGGGGAAGGCGATGGTTAGGCATGAGCAGCATGTGACCTAGCCATCTCAATCTATGTAACTTTATAGCCTCGTCGATTGATTTTCCTTCTTTGCCCAACACTCTACGCCTAACGTCAACATCACTTACCTTATTAAACCACTTAACGTGAGAAAGAGATCGCAGACATCTATGATCGAAAGCAGTCAACCTTTTCATGTCTTCAACTCGCAGTGGTCATGTTTCAGAGTCATAGAGAAGGACGGAGCGAACTGCTGAGCAGTACACACGTCCCTTGGTTGATAGCCGGATGTCACGCCTACGCCAGAGATGGTGTAAGTCAGCGAAAGCAGCTCGAGCATTTCGCAGTATCACGTAGTAGTTTCTAGGCTCTTTCTATTATTGTCTCACTGATTGCTTGTCATTTTCGGTTTATTTTGTTGATCACGGAGTGACTTCGAAGAATATTTGAATCACAGTACTCAAATATTCTTCGAAGTCACTCCGTGATCAACAAAATAAACCGAAAATGACAATCAATCAGTAAAACAATAATAGAAAGAGCTTAGAAACTATTACGTGATACTGCGAATTGTTTTTAATTTTTATCCCTTTGCGTTCCCAGTGGAATTTAGGGTTTCAAGCCAGAAGTTTGAAGTTTCAGTAGAAGTGGTGTTTATTTTTAGGGGATGGGCTCGCTAGCCACATGCCCAACCTTCCCTCTTTACCAGTCTTATTACTGGTTTAGTGAAGTAAAGGAGTGCATCGGCCGCGGATCGAACTCCTGACCACATGCTAGGTTGGCGAGTATTCTACCGCTGTGCCACCGACACAATGATACTGCGAATATGTGCTTCTAACTTTCATCTAAAAATCAAAAACCAACCATCCTAAACAACAAAAAGCTTTTTAAAAATGTCATGCAAATTTGATAAATGAACCGGTTATATGAACACGAATTAGCGACAATCCTCTTTATACAACTGACTAAGAAGTGTCTACCAAACAGTGTACGTAAAACAAACTGGGTTATTGATTATATTTTTCATGACAAACCTTATACTTTGGCTTCGGAAATTGATAGTCAATTGGTCGACAGCGAAAATTAAACGATTCACGATCATGACTTTTACTGGTGTTGAAAGCCCTCCAAACTGATCGATGAACTTGATTTTTTTCTGTATCCAAACCAGAAAAGACTACAAGCGGCTTAGGTTTGCAACATAGCTCTTCAGGTAGTTTCTCAATGTGTTGCATTCTACAGTCTGTAACAAAATATGCGGAATAACAAAAAAAATTTCACTTTAATGTATGCTGAAGACAAACTACGCATAGAAAGATGCAGAAGGTACACATAACGAAAATGTACATGCTTTCAGCTGAACTAATCAGTGTCAAGAAAGGGGGAAGCAATCAATAACAACTTATTAAGATTATTATCAAGACATGTTTTGAGTGTTTACATTAAAAACGAAACCACTTTATTCAGCCCTTTTAACTAATAATCTGTTGGTTTGTTTCTTTATGGTACTCATATTTTCTCACCATTGACTACACTCATCATCCCTTGAAACTTATACTTTTTGTTGATTGTGAAAACAATTACATTATTGAACTAATTCTTAATGACTGCACAATTTATATGGATTTAAATGGAAATCAAAACTCACTGTTACTCCACCTTTTAACTGCACTACAAAACATTTCCTGATATAATTCTAATTTACCTTTACTGTGTACTGAGTGCAAAAATAACTGATTACAATATCTGCCAGGATTCATCCTCAGTCTCTTTACCCTAACGCTGCAGAGACTTTTTTAAGCATCTTCGTGGATGTGTTAACTTGAATTAGGCTAATTAAATTAATCAGTTCCATTTTATTATTTTCTGGGAGTTAAATAGTATCCACAACTGTGTTCGAAGAGTGTTAAAGGCGTTAAGATGAATGTTCTGATAATTATTTATGCAGCTCATGTGTGATTTTAAAATCTCCATTATTAACATATCGAAAAGTAGCTAACTTGTAGTTTTCCCAAGACTACAAACCAGGATGCACACACATCTGCTGAGCAACATCATGGTCACAAACCATTGGTTGTTAAACTACCATTATAACTAATCAAGTTTCCCTGAGTTTCTTTAACTCTACCACACCTTGGTTTGATTACTATTAAGTCTCTTTAGCTATAACTCTATTATCTGAAAATTCACCAGGTCTTTTCTGTTAAACTAATTTCACTATTGCTAGCAAATATTTAATGCTTCAACGCCACAAAATAAAACAGTACAATATCTGGCATGCAGTTCTTACTGATTAATTCCCAGGGTCACTCTGTGAGAGCTTTTCCCTTTTATACAGAGAAGAGACTTTGAAATTACCATTTCTTAAAGTTATTTTATAGGAATAATTGGAGGTAATATCACTAGGGCTAAAATCTTAAAAAGATTAAGGGAATTCTTAGGAAGGAAATACAGACTAAAGGGAAATGTAACTTTGTCCTCGCAGAGATCAGTGAAGTAAGAAATCCCGTTGTACAATACTAAGTCTCCTTCCCTTACTTTCTATCAATAAAATGACGACAGATTATACGTTATCCCGTCTTCAGAGGAAATATATATGGCGATGAAGATGACTATTTCATCATACAGGTACTAACACAAGCATAAGTTGGACAAATTATCAGACAGAAATTAACAACATTAAAAGCACATTCATGGGTATTAGTTATGATGGTACACATGTCCATTAGGCCACTAACTACTAATAAAGGCTTAAAACATTGGAATATGAGTCACCATAATTCATGATCTTAAAAACCCCCAGCAGATTGTAAACACTGACTCTTAAATACCTATGGAAGCTCCAATAAACAAATCTTCGATACACAGTACACGACATCAATCGCAATATGATAGTACAAAAGTTAACCTGCGTTTCAATTATAGTATATTAAAAACAATTGAAAAGTATGCACCGGAATGCTCGTATCTATTTATTTCTCATTTACAAACGACCACTACAGAATGAAGAAACTCCGTTCAAACACTGTTTGGTGCACTGTTTCGAGCTGACATAACTTTCCAACTTTTATAAAAAGAATACTGTGTACCAAATACCTGAATAAAACAAGCAAAGGACGCCTGTAGAAGCAAATAATGGATATAAATTCCTTCCAGCTAATGTTACTGGGAGAAATAAGTACCTCAGGTATAAGACAATCACATTTTAAAATCCCAACGCGCAGTGAACTATTCCAAGAGCAAACAATAGACACCAAAGCCGAACGACCTTCAGTCAGATCGGTCAACATAACGAATGAACGCCATTCATAATAATCTTTGCAAGTTTCACCTAGATTTAGTTTTTGACTTCTGTGTGGAAAATAGGTTGGTTGTGGGGGAGGGGGTACTAACAGATGGATATGTGGAGGTGAAATTAGTACCAGGCTTTCGATGATTATGCATTTAGACAAAACCACTGTTAAATCACTAAGTCTGTAATCGTTGGTTAGTCGTAAATTATGGTGATTTTTTTACTACCTTCCTCTTGAAATCAAAACTCTGCTTCGGTAAACGATAAACAGCCACTTAGATTAACTTTTGTTTCGACACCGCTTCCATATGTCAACAGACACTCCTATGAGTTACTGGGACCGATTTTTACAACATATTATGATATGCCCAGTAAAATTCATTTTTGTTACATTTATATTGCAAAAACATTTTTTGTTGATTAAATATCAACTTTTCACGTAGAACCTGATTGGTTCACTCAAGGTCGTCTGAAGTTGGTATCTGTTTTTTACTGTTGCCTCTAATTTTTCTCAGAATTTACCAAGGGTGGAACTGAGTGGCGATATTTGCCCAACGAAAGCCGAGAACCGGCAAAGTTAAACTATTATAGAAAAACCAGTTGCATTGAACAACCAACCAGGACTCAGGTGCAAAACAGTCGCATAATCGTTGGAAAATACACTAAAATGTATTGCGACCATGATATTAACAATGTATATTTGTAGATTATGTGTTGTTACAGTGTCCCCTAGTCACTGCAAAGATGATCTATAGAGAAATCGTACCATGCGTGATGTATCCATTCATCCAGGTGTCTGTAGGTCATGGTACTTTGAGATCCATTGATATTTCTGACACTATTCCTCGTCCTACTCCTAACTCTAACCATAATCATAACTCCTAACCCTAACTTTAACGCTAAACCCAAACTTAGCCCTGGAAAATAAGTGGAATACTGTATTTGCCTTCTCAAAGTCCAAAAGGAAGGCATGATTTGGTTTGGAATGACATTTTATGGCACTCTCCGTGTCTCATCGGCTCTAAAAGGCCAACTTTTGAAGGACCTAGACTTTGGTTATGATACTTCGCCCAAGAAGCGTTTTCTAACCACCTACAGGAAAGGAAAACCGATCATTTTCATTCATACTGAACCCTATAGTGTTTCTTAGGTGATGACTAACGCATCACAGTAAGTGAATGAAGAGAAAAAGTGGTAAAACATGCAGCAAGCAGGTCATTTTTGACGTATGAGGTGTGGGCGAACGTAGACATATGCAGCATGATGTCTCACTCCCTCTACTTCAATAAACGAACCCTCCACTCTCACACATACGGTGAGTAAACACCTATCCCACGCACTTTTCCCTATGTATCTCATTAAAGTTTCGAATTCCCAACTTTTCCTAATTTATTCAACAGATACATTCCACGCGTGGAGTATGAGTATTCCGACATCTTGTCTATTTCCACGAATATATTTTCTGATTGCGATTGCTCTTTCACCTGTGAGATTTGATTACTTGCAATTAAATCATTCTACTCATATCACAAATGCTGTTAAAACGGTTCCCACTTTAGAAAGTACGAAAGAAAGCTCCATTTCTCAGTGAATACATTATTATTGTTTCTTGTCTATCTAACATCTCACCATTTATGGTTAAAAAAATTCACACTGGTATCGAGCTTAATTACGCTATGGCTACGAATTATTTCGGGAGAAAAACAAGAAAACACACTTGAGTTACTGCTGAAACGCTACGACAAAATAACGCGCTCTTCAGCTTAAATGTCCAATAGTCGTTGACAGGCTTCACTAAGCCTTGAGGTCCGTTTTCCCGCTAGACACATGTTATGGAGTCCTGAAAAATATATCTGTTCAGAATTTTTTAGATCTCACGAGTAAAAAACACTGAACGTGACATCTCTTTAGGACGATTCACGATAAAGTACACGTAACTCTGGAGTACAGTCTACAATACAGCATGCCGCTCGTCACTTTGTCTTCTCACTCGTCCACACGGCTTAACTGTTTCACTACTAACCGCGCTGTTTCCTTCAGAACTTCACGGAGACCTCTCGTCCCCGCCCGAAGACTAATCTACAACCGGTGCACAACTTCTATTAGTCGACACGGCCCCAGCAGAGAACACTCCTGTGGATTATAACAGCGGTTTGTGACAGAGGATTTTAACCGTATCATTAAGTAACCACCCATTTTTTCGACTTTCTGAATGTATCTTTTATGATACACTGTCACAAAATTCTTCCAGTAACTTGAATTTTTATTCCGATATTTTGTACCGATAGCAGCATCCTCACTAAGTCCACTAAAATGGCGCTTTAAAATACTCTCAGCTTTTAGGCAGATTCCTGCACCACCTACTTCACTGACTGTCGCAGAAGATGTACGTTATTTGGTAATAATGCATGCATCTTACTAGAGTACCTCTACTTGGACTTGCAATTTTTGTTTCACATGGAAATCCTCCAGTAAACATATATACATTTTGACTTACGAACCACCAAGTGGGATCGAAGCGAGTCTGGAGACGAAATAGACTGCAAAAAGCAAGGTGGCGCAAGGACAGTGGGTATAGGGAAGTTAAGACAGCTAGAGAACATGTACACTTAATAGAGATACACTGGAATTAGACAACTGGTAGGGATTGAAGCAGTTAGAAAAACTACGCTTTGAGTTGGCCATGAAACTATCTGCAAGAGTTGGTGTGTAAGGTCAGGAATTTTTTCGAGTTTGACCACGGAGTGATATCACTTGGACAACCTTCGAAAACCAAGGAGTATTGCACAGTTGTTTTACACTAGTTTGGGAGTCATCGGGAGTCATCACCGGGGTTCGAACCCGGGACCTTCTAGTTACAAAGCAAGTTTGTATACCATTCAGCCACTGGGGCCTGATTCAATGGCCCATGATTTCCAACTTCTACCATTTTATGATTTAGCGTGACCACCAATCAATTTCATCGCCAGGAAATCCACCCTCACACATGACTGGATGGACCTCATTGGTCACTACTTCTCACTGGAATCCCAAGAAATTCAGTCTTGTAGCAGGTCATTAGACGGCATCCGACTGATTTATTGGAGTTGGTCTGTAAGGACTGGATTTGCCTTTTCAAGTTTGACAACAGGTTGATATTCCTTAGTGAACCATTGAACAACAAGGAGTATTGGACAGCTAATTCATCCTGATTCGAGAATCATTAACCAGATAAGGCGTGAAAGACTTCCTATTAATTCTCTCCACTATCTCAATTCAAGTGCAAGTAAGACTAACTGCTATTTGGTTCGGCATTTATGGTGACCAGTGAGTAATAATAATAATAATAGTATATTCTCATTTTGTACATGAGGGATGCCAGTTTACAGGCAACATCAATATGATAAATTACATATACGATTAGCAATCACAATTAATAATAATGTTTTAATAAAATACACATTTTTCCTACTTGTGTAGGACACACCAAATATACAGGCATGGGTAAGAATTATTTAAATTTCATAAATTCGGTTTATGGTTAAGTTACATGGTTGCTGGCGTTTTTGTCTTAGGTCTGTGGGAACAATATGATAACCAGTCATTCAATGGAGCACGTCATGAAATATAGGAATATTAACTTCGCATTAACAAAAAAACCCAAGTATGTTTTGGATGGATTAAAAATACTTGGGAAAAAATAAAGCTTGAAGTAATTCCTCAATATAACTTGGGTGTGTACAAATCCGAATCTTATTTTTGATTTGATTTATATCCAAATTGGGTAATAAGGAAGCTATTTTACAGATACGATCAGTTATGTTATAAGTTACAATCGTGACGTTGTATTACAAATTGATACTTTTCCATTGGTATAAGAGTATATTCCACAAATGTAATCCAGGTTGCGTCGTGGGGAAAGTTAATTCGTTATTAACCAGGCAACTGAAAGATACGGGACCAATAATGTTTGCAGATCATTTGTCATTGTAAATGGTCAAATATCCACATTATTCATTCTCATTCAAAAAGTCAAATAGAAGCTGAAATGGTGAGAGAAAAAAGAAGACAAACAACAGCAACGCAAAAGAAAGCAACGGGAGTCCTTAAGGAGTGATTAATAAATATATACATATATATTCTGTTTTGTAACTATGCTTATTTTTGTTCATTAACTAACTAGTCCCGTTACGCTAACTTTTATATTATGTGTGAACTAATATTACTGTCCTGTGTAGAAATGTTTATCATCTAGTTCCAATAATATTAAAATTTATAATTGTAGTTTGTTGTAACTACACGTTTAAAGAACTTAAAATATCTATGTATGGTGAAAAAGAAGGTGTAAGAGTCAGGCGCAAAAGTGCATTGTCATCTTTGAGCAGTCTGGTGACTGAGGAGATGAACACTGGAAGTGTGTTTGCATCGCGCACATTAGCTGGTAGTCTATTCCAAATGACTGAAAACTTATTTAAGAAGAAGTTGTACCGCACGTAAGTCTGACAGTGCTCCATAGCAGCTAGGTTGTGATGATTTCTAAGATTGTAACTGATGACAGCGGTAGGTTTAGTTATTGGCTCGGAGGAATGCAAGAGAAGATTAGTTAGCTTATAGTAAAAGATAAGGTTTAGCTTAAGGCGTCTTTTCCAGAGGGGTTCTAATCTTAGTCTTTCGCATCGCTCATGGTATTCCAGACCACTTTCTAAACCAAGAGTTCTTGAGGTAAACTGCCGTTGCACTCCCTCTAATTTAAGCTTGTCATTTTGTCTGAGTCCGCTAAGAATAAACGGGCAGTATTCTAAGATAGGTCGGACACATACTTTGTATAATAAAACCCTAGTTTCACAACAAAAGAAATTGCGTGTTATGCATCCTATCAGCCTTCGTGTTTTACGTCTGGCATAATCAGTCTGTTCAGCGAACGTTAGGTTACTAGAGTATCTAATACCGAGATCTACGACTGAGTTGAGCTTAGCTAGTTTTCGCCCATTTATTTCAAGAGTTAGATCAAGGTTACTGTTTCTGATATAAATCCAGCCGCATTTGTCAATGTTAAAATTTAGACAGGATTCAGCACACCATGTTGCAAGGCTACTTAGTTCAAGATGTATTTTAGTAACCATATCGCTTAATTCATGAGTGTAGCAGGAGTAGACGACTTTGAGGTCGTCAGCATATAGGAATGGTTTGCCTAAGGTGAAGCACTTGCAAATGCTGTTAATGTAGATTGTGAATAAAAGTGGACCTAGGACACTACCTTGCACGACCCCACTTGAGATCTGCCTAGGATGAGACAATACAGATCCAACTTTGGTTATTTGTACCCTGTTGCTTAGAAATGATTTTAACCAGTTCAGTAATGGGTTGCGAATTCCACAAGAGTACAGCTTCTCAAAGAGAATACTGTGAGATACCATGTCAAATGCCCTAGATATATCGAAGTAGAGAACAACGACTAGCTTACGTGCTTCGCGACTACTAGTGATGCAGTTGAAAAAGTCGAAGTGGCAAGTAACGCAGGATCTATTTTTGAGAAATCCGTGTTGAGACCTTGTAACAAGATCTTCCCTAATTAGGTAGTCTGACAATTGATCTTTTACAACTTTCTCCATGATTCGTGAGATAACTGGGGTTATATTTATGGGTCTGTAATTGCGGACGTTTGCCTTATCCCCAGATTTGTAATGTGGAATTATGAAGCTAGTTTTCCACTCACTAGGGTAAGTGCCAGTGTCCATAGATATTGAGAAGAATTTAAGGAGTAACAAGGGTATATCACACCCACTGTTTTTGAAAATTATCGAAGCTAGGCCATCCGGTCCCGTACTAGTGGAAGGTTTAAGGCTTTTAATTGCTTGTACTATTAACTGATTAGTGAACACAATGCTTTCAAGGGAAGAGATAGTAAGGGGAGCGGTTTCACCAGGCATATGTGTTTCTAAACTAAAGTTTGCAAACCAATCACTGAAAAGTTCACAGATAGTGGCAGGTTCATTGTAGATTACTTTGTCGTGAAGTAAGTATGGGATTTCCCTCGCCGACTGCATTCGTTTTTTAAGAAGTGCCGTTAAGTTATAAACTTTGGAGGTACTTTCAAGTGCCGTTAACTCTTTAATCTACTGGTAACACTCCTTTCGTGGAACTTATTCTCAAGACAGTTTTCAGCGGACCTTCTCTATGGACTGACAGCTTCTTGAGGAGACCTGTATTGACTTCACTTGATATCCTGTACATGCGCGGATTCTGGCGGAGCAATCTACGGCCATTTCTGTTTCATTTGCGATTGAATAAAGTGTGCCCGCCTCTTGATACTAGGTCACAAAAACAGGAAACAATTAAAGACGTTTTCATCCAACAGACCGGTGGTTGGAATCACCGATAAACAAGCGCAAGGATTTTCAGGCCAATGCTTTAATTTATTTAAACGGGGATAAACATACGTTTAGTATGGAGTGTGAATTATTACAGCCAGTAAATGTCCCCCATTGGACGTAAGTCAGAACCACTAGAGTGTGCGACGAATGTCATAATTCAATATATAACTTCATCACACGAACATTCTTAGCGAAGTCAATTCTAGGCGGGAGACGACTTAGGGTCTATACAACACAGAACACTAAGGTCACCCAAATGTATTTAGTGATTAAAGATTTTAGAAAGACGAAACATGTAACCAAGTAGAAACTATATGGTCTCTATGACTTTTAGGGTTCTCTCTATCCACTGATCGATATCCTATAAAATTTAAGCTAGAGACCTGAAGATATCAGTTACTGCCATCTGAGAATATTACCATTT